CATCCCATAGGAGGCCAGACTGGCCCCATCTTTGCTGTCCTTTCTCTTCAAGCAGGCTTTTCTTGAAGACAATAACTGGTTGACCAAGGGGATTTTTGTAAAGGGAGCATTTTGTTCTCTATTTTACTTGTGCTTTTAATATTGCTCTTATTATGAGTTTAAATATTAAACATTGTTTAGTGTTTTTTAAATACTGTAACAATCTAAAATTTGGCTTTTGGCTTAGTTTCTTTTTTACCAGGTCCTTTAGAAGAAAGGTGGCATATACGTATTTTAAATAAATAATAATTAATAAATACATAGAATGTCTTCTTTCTTTGTGGCAACTTGATAGGATAGCTGCTATCGGTTGATCACCACTGAGCTGTGTCTTCCGTTAAAACACTGTTGGTACCTGGTTACAATCTGAGTATTTCTCATACAAGACAACTACGACAATCAGTACACTTAAGCACAACTGAAGTTTTGGGTCTAAGCATGTTTCTTAGGCATTTCCATGTATAAAATATGAATAAAACAACTTTTGAAGATTTTTTTTCTACCTTAATCTGCTGTCATCATTTCTACTTCACCTCTTTAATTATGCCTTTCTCTCATTTTAATCTCTAAAGAATTACATTGGTTGTTAAATACGCCTCTTACAGGCTTCAAGATCTTTTTTCTAAAAATAATTAGTAGAAGAGCTGAAATATATTTTCTTATTAATATCTTACAGATGTATTTCCTCATAAATATATTTTTATTAATTATTGTTAGGAATATCCTCGTGTGTGTCTGTGTGGGACATTAATCTGCCACATGAAATTCAAAACCTGAAGAAACATACTGGCATAAGACAGGAATTAGCCGAGAAAATGAAGACTTTTTCTTTGGATTAACTGGCGAAGTGGCATGTCGTCATTGTTGCGAGGCGGACACCTGTTTCAAGGAGCTTTATACATCAAAGTTTGTCCTAGCTGCATTGAACTGTAGAGCAGAAATATCTGTCAGAATATACCACTACTTGTACCACTCAAAATATGGAGAATATTAGTAATAAAGCAGAACTGTAAACTAAAATTGTAATTATTGAAAACCATTTCATTTGGAGTTTTTATGTCAGTTATGGAACCCCAAATTTAAAATAATTCCACTATTCCACATTGTATATTCTCTTTGTGTGTATAGATTTTTTGTATGCTTTGTAACATTTTTGAAGCATTGATATGATATTCATGAAGGCATGTTACACCTGTACAGGACAATCAATCAAGTAAGCCATGCCACCTATTGTTCTGTAAAAACTGCCAGTTTTTTTCACAACTATGCAATGTAAAGCTCAAGCTAGAACTTGTGCTCCTGTCAAATTGGAAAGCAATACTCAGCCCAAAACATAAAGGGAAGCAAGAAAGAAAACATGATTCAGTATAAAGTTACACAAAGGCATATTACACCTGTACAGGACAATCAAGTAAGTCATGCCACCTCTTGTTCTGTAAAAACTGCCAGCAGTTATGTACAGCGTTACCATTTGTTTGCCTGACTGAACGTGGCATTCCAGATTCTGCTGTAAAGAGAAGTAGTTTATTTCAGTGTGTGTGTTTGCTGTTTCTGCTTACTCAAATGACTGTTTGCAGTAGAATCCTTCAACGGAACTTTGCTATTTTCCTTTCCCTAAATAAAGACCGCTTGGAGTGCTTTCCGTGTTTGTGAAAGGAGTCGTGATGTGCCTCTGTGCCATACCACTAGCATATCCTTGTCAGAATCCTCTTTTTTTTCCTCCCTCTTCCCATAGTCACCAGTGCCACACTTTATTTAATCTTGAAGCTCATAGAACCAGGTAGATGTTCTACTCATATTGTGCATCTTCTCACTGCAAAAAGCTGAAATTGCAAAGAAGAGGACATGTAGGGCTAACAATGATTCTGATGCCAGTATTAAAGCCTGCTGAGTAAGATGAGGCCATAAGACGTCTTGCACATTTGAAGAATCGTTAGTTCTCAATAAAAAGAAGGTTTATTGGAAAGCTCTTGAAGAATTGTTGTTTTTCCCGCCCTCTGGAATGTAACAGCTGTATGTGTGTGGATTTCCGATTCTGAAACCTTGCCTTATTCTTTATTCTAGATAAACAAATGGGAAACTCCGTATTGTAGCTGGACAAAAATTAGAATATTAATATATTATATACAAAAACATCAATATAATGTATCACCAACTGATATCAAACCATCAAAGAATATTTGTAAACAATGTTCTGTCTTAAGCTAAGCAGGTAAATAATATGATAAAGTTTCATATGCAAATGTATGCAGTCCAGGTATCTATCTACTCATAGAAAATCAAAATCTAGGGTCTGGAAGGGTTGAGTAGAAAGTCCCTTCAAATGTGCAGTCAAGGTCTTGGATCCTTGGGATAATGTTGATGAGCTCCGAGCATAAATAACTGCCCACTAAGCTCGTTTTGTAGTAATTTAACTTCTTCAGAAGATATTCCTTGGACCTCCAAGATGCTGGAAACAGGAACATTCATGAACCCAAAAAAAAGTTATTCCTTGGACCTCCAAGATGCTGGAAACAGAAACATTCATGAACCAAAAAAAAAGTTATCAAACTTAATAATAATAGACCTCATTTTGTTAGTTGTGCTTGCCGCACTATTAGGTAATATTGAAATCCTTTTTTTACTCACAATATATTTGTACCCCTGGCCAGCTCAGCTAGGGGTGAAGGCTTCTGGAAGTTGCAGTCAAAGAACTCCTGAGTTACCCAAGGTTGAGAACTACTAGTCTAGCAGAGGGTGAGTGGCGGAGGGCAGAGGAGAATTTGTGGGTGCAGGAGAGGTTAAGTACATGTCTCTGTGATTCCGTTTCTTGAGAAGTACCCACAAATTGTGCCCGCAGTTGTAAAAGTACACTGATCCCTTTGAAGCGACTGAGTTCCTGTAGAAAATGTGGCAAGTGGGGGGGGGGCTATAATACAGTGGATATAGCACATGCTTTGATTGCAGGAGGATGCTGGGCTTTTACTTGCACTAAAAAGATCTTGGGACAGCTGAAGACCCATCTTTTCAGGCAGGCTTTTAACAATCTTGATTGAATCCCTGAATGCCTTCTTAGAGTTAAGATAGCTTTTAATGTTTACTTACTTTTAATTATCCAATTGTATTTTAACTATGTTTACCCTACTATGTTTTTAACTCTTCTTTTAATATTGTTAGCCTCCTTTGGTCCCCTTGTCAGGAGAAAGATGGCCTATAAATAAAACGAATAAATAGCCAGCTTGCAGAACTTCAATTGCTGATGATGCCCATCAGGTGAGATAGTACCGGTTTACATGGACCAATGGTCTCAATTGGTATATGCCAGTTTTTTAGTTTTGTATTAAGATTCACTGGCATAAACAGTTTTTAAAAGAATTTTTCCACCTCCTAGTAAGCACAAGCTGCTGAAAATTTCAGGCTTATCTCTTTTTTATAATGTTCTTCATTTTTATTTTCTTTCATTAATTAAATTGTATTTCCTAGACTCAAGTCTTGATTCCCAGATGAGGACTAAAGGTAGGTTATTGTGATTGGCATTTTGCCTGAGAGTGACAACAGGATCAGCCTGAAACAGCAAACTCTTCGGGTTCTAAGTGAGCTCAAACATAAACCATTTTCTTGTGGGCAAACATTTGTTCATGCAGTCCAGCCTATCAGGAAAGTGAGGTGAACAAGGATGGGGAAATATTAGGTTACAAAAAGGCACACGAAGAAGAGAAATACTGGAAAGTGGCTTCTGCTATTGTTCCCTCATGACCAGTATGAAATTGCCGGTGTCTCTGATTCTGGTATTCAGTGTCTATGGTACAGGTAAGGACATTTAGCGGAGATGAATTTTTACAATACATTCAGCATGAGAAGTTTTGCCTTTGATTGGCATTGTTTCCTCACCAGTGCTTATAGAACAGTTTTGTAGGATAGGAATTAAAGACCTTTGGCACTCCGGATGGATGGGACTACAGATCCCACATTTCCTTATGACTGGACCCCATTGCCTGCAGTTGCAGAGAGTTGACAACCCAAACATCTAGAAAGTCGAAATTCCTCAACTCCAGTTATGGGGTAATGCCAGGCAAACATGGCAGTGATTCTGACTATTGGTGACAAATAAGAGAATCAGCAACTTTGGATTCTTACAGGAGTGGCTCAATGGTCCCATCTTTGTTGTCCTTTCACAAGCAGGCAAAGACCTTTCTCTTCAGGCAAGCCTTCCCTCATTAACCAGCTACCTAGAGGGCAGGGTTGAGTGGAACTGAAGGGAATTGGAATTGAGCAGCATCGGGAGGGCCAGAGTTTAGTCCTTTTGTCAGTGTTTATACAGTATCTTAAATCAATCTGTATTATCAGGCCCCTGTGGCAATCTGTATTTAAATTATGATTTGAAGCAGGACAAAAAGCGGGTAAATATTTATGAGAAAGCAGGTACAAAGTACAAGACAGTTTCACTGAACTCATTCCAGACATAATTTCAGAAACCACACACAGAGAGGAAAGGAGGGAGAAACTTCTGAGACTAACCTTGGATATATGTAAATATTGATTATTTTAAAACATCCTGGTTTGATTCTTGTGCAATCTAATTATTAATGTAACTGTATTGTTTTAACCTTTATAGCAGACACAGTCACTAAAAACTTTATTGAAGACATAGTGCCATGCACTACTGCTGATTGTCAGATATTACTAATGGATATTTTTAATAGCAGTGGCTCTGCTTTCTGTACTTCAGTCTAAATGGGCCACAAGCGCACCACATTCTTAGCTGGCAATAGCACACATTTTTCAAACAGTGGTCCCTCCTTGCATGATCCTGAATCCTAGTCCTGGTCCTATGAGTCTGATTCCTCAGAACCGACCCTTTCCAAGCACCATATCATCACTGTTTAAAAGAGTTTTCCTGTTTCACAAGGCTCTTTGTAAATAACTTCTGCTGGGCTTATGGCTTTTATTCTGCTGTGTTTTTAAAAGTTTGGAGATTTGGTATAATTTTAATCCTATTACAAGTGTATGTTTCCCTTTAATTCACCTTGTAAAGTTCTATTTTATGAAAGCCAATATAGAAATGATTGAAATAATGGTACAGTAGTACCTCAGTTTATGAATGTAATGCGTTCTACGGGATGTTACATAATGCAAAAAAAATAAATAAATAAACCAAAGCGTGGATTGCCATAGGAACGGGAGAGGCATTATAAACCTCCAGACGCAATGCATCCTGAGGAAACTTCGTAAACCAAAAATAAAAAGTAAACCAACACATTATTTTTAATGGATTTTGCTTCATAAACTGAAAATTATGTTAACCAAGGCTTTCGTAAACCGAGGTAACACTATATTTTATTTTATTTCTATTACTGTAACAATACAATTATTGCTAAGTAATGAAGGTGGTGGGAGACACATAGATGTCACCATATATGCTGGAATACTTTTTGTAGCCAATTTTACAAGCAGAACACAAACCACCTTTCAGAAGCAATCGTGAAGAAATAGCGTCCTTGGAAAAATGGTGTTTTAGCTACAGGTCGTAGACTCCTCTGCCTGAAGCACCATGACCAGTAATCATGATCTTCAGGGATCAACAAAGTAACCTGTGGATTCCACTGTACAGGGACAGGAAGTCTATGTAAGGAAAGGTATGTTCAGGGAATAGTAACCAGTTGAGGCTGGGTAGGAGCCTTACTGTAGCCCTATATATGACAGAAGGTGCTTGTATACAATATATGATGGTAGAGTCATAGCTAAATATTAGAGAAAACAGTTTACAACAGAAAGCACCATGTTCTATTCTGGGTAACTCTAGGGCAGGACTAGAAACAGCTCCTGCCTAAACTCTTTTGGTGAGTCTGCTGCTGCTCAGTGGCATCCACTTTTTCACAATTTCACACCTTCTATACTAGTGCTTCCCAATCTTGGGTCTCCAGATGTTCTTGGACTACAACTACCAGAAATCCTGGCCAGCACAGGTAGTGATGAAGGCTTCTAGGAATTTTAGGCTAAGATCATCTGGGGACCCAAGGTTGGGAGACCATTGTTCTAGACTAGTGGTTCCCAACCTTGGGTAACCTAGGTGTTCTGGGATTGCAACTCCCATAAACCACAGCCAACACAGCTGATGATGAAGGCTTCTGGGGTTTGCCATCCAAGAACCTTGGGATATTCAAGTTTTGGAGCCGCTGTTTTAGAGTGATGGACTAGAGCTTCTGTACATTCCAGCCAGCATGCTGTGCTAGTGAGATGGCAGGAGTTGTAATTCAACATATTTGAGGAGCACCAGCCAGGGAAAGGCTGGTGCAGATTATAATGATACTGTTCTCAGTTTGTATCAGATAGCTTCATACCCCTTTGGACTGAAGAAATGTTCCTGGGTGAGAGAGTAGAAAGCAAAGAGAAACCTAATCTGTCTGGGTTACAAACAAGCAAAAGGAGGATAAAAAGAGAGCACGTGGAAGATAGGTAATGGGGAACTCCGGCTTTAAATAGCTATCTCCCTTCCTAATTAGTTATTTCTCATTCTGGAAAGTTCTATCTTTTTCTTCCTGCTTGAACTACCAGCAGCATCTTTCTCCCTTTCTCAGGAAGTATCAAAAGAAACCCACGCTGATAAAAGATGTATGGGATAATCCTGCAACAAACCATTAAAGATAGAAGAACCTCTGGGGATACAATGCTATTCCACCAAATTTTGAGTTTAGGTAATTTACTGCCAGTTTTTGAAGACAGCTAGCTTTGGGAGGGGGAGGCATTGATTTATGTGAGCATCTTCCAACTTTGAAGGAAAATGCTATGCTATATTAATAGCCACTTCTTAGGATCTAGGTCAAGGAAACGGAACCATCTGAGTCAACAGCTGCAACAAAGTGATGTTTCTGATGACATGGTCATATCAGGCTTGCGTCTTGAAGTCCTTTCCTCTGGACCTAGGAATTGATTTATATTCGGCTTAGAAATGTTAGGAACATGGTAAACTTGGATGGAGGTCTGTTGTAAGAAGGAGAAATGAGATGTACTGTGGCTTTTGGGGGGAAGGGGGAAATAGGCATCAAAATGATTAGGAGAAAAACTCATTGATATTAATTGACATGGGGTTTACATGTACAGATGATGCAAGAACTAATACTTTAGAGCTCTCTTAGTATCCTGGGGACTTGGCTGGGCCAAAGTGACCTGCCTTGGTTCCAGGCTCCTCAGAACAGCAACAATACATCACACATTGAAGTTCCTGAATAGGAAGAGAGAGCTATTTATTGGGGAGACCTTCAGAAACACTAGACATAGACCTTATCCTCCCCCCCCCCAATTCATACAAGTTGCAAGGTGGCAGACCTAATGTTATGGCATAAATCATTCTCTAAAAATTCAGAACTTCTGATGCCTTAATTTGGTTTTTATCTTAAGCTGGGATCTTTCTTGTTGTTTTTTAGGGAAATCACGTGCCCTTGATATACTCGAAAATCCACTTTCAGGTATAGTAATGATGTTAAAATACCCCACCTTCCCATTTTTCAAAGTCATACTCTGTCAGCAGCCAATCAGAGGACTGAGGAGTAGGGGGCTAGGAATTTTGAACCTAGATTAGCTGGAACCCAGTGGGAGGAGTGTCCTGTCATTCTTGTGGGAATCTGTACTAGCTCCTGGTGCCCTCCGTCTTGTATTTCGCTGCTGGACTCAGAAAAGAAGGGATTGGGTGATAGAGAGAAGGGAAATTTCATATTCTAATAAAACCCATCTATGCAGAGCAGTTTGAGAAGACATCCCAATACCATTGAGAAAGCAAGAGATTAGGATGGGGTTAAGATTACAAACATGTAGAAATTACATTTTCAAAAGAAGACTTTGAGACTAGAATTTCAATATGTATCATGAGACCTCCTTTCTCTGAGCCTTTTCTCAGTAGAACCCCCAGAGCCCCAGGCTTCAAGGTGGGGAAAGCCCTTGAAAAACATCCTGGACTTCAGCTTACACCTATTGAGGCTCCAGAGAAGGGGTTGCTGCTTTTAGTAGGTGCTGCCAACCATCCCCTAGAAATCAAAATGCAAAAATAACTTTTAACATGCCACAAAGACATACCAGATAACCATGGCTGAACCTTGGCTAGGTGTGAGATTTAGTTAACCTGAGTTTTTCTTAGAAACATTCGCAGACCCAAGATCTTTATTTAAAAAAGAAATAATAAAAACAAAATGGAAATTGTACCTGGCAAAAGTCAGAAGTAGAATGATTGCAAGGTTCTGAAAACCATTACAAAAACCAAGGAACAAGCTTCTGGAAATATGAGCAAGATTATGCAATCTTGCTCATATTAGATCATTGGCAAAAGGTTAACAGGCAATGCAAAGCACAACACAGAAGAAAAACAAGAAAACACTAATCTGTTATGACAATGAAATCCTCTCTCTCTCTCTCTCTCTCTCACCTTCTTGGTCCCATGACAGTTCAGCTACTTCTAAATTCTATTTACCAAACCCTTTCTATCTGAGGGCATAGTTAATCACTCTATTCAGCTATGTTCTAACTCATGTCCTTTCACTGTCAGGATCTCATCCATTGATGTTGTTCTAACCCCTCTGAGTCTCCTAAGATGCATCTTAAATTTTCCTGAACCCTTGACTCCACACTTCAAAGACTTGAAGGTGTGAATTCCAGAGACACCAACCTGGGATGATTCCTTTGAACTATTCAGGTGTCAGTTGTTTCCCCATGTTACAGTAGTCTAATCTAGAAATTACGAGCCTGTAATTTACGAGCCTGCTCAATACCTCCAAATGTCTTCCTGGACCATTTGACTTGCCACAATTAAAATATCACAGAGGGTCAGGTGTCAGTTGTTTCCCCATGCCATTGCAGCCTGTTCAATACCTCCAAATATCTTCCTGGACCATTTGACTTGCCCCAATTAAAATATCACAGAGGTCTTTCATTTGGGGCAGCCTGTCTGAAGTCCTTCTGATCTCCAATTTCACAGGAACTAAGCTAAGACACATCATTTATATAAGGAATCAAAATTATATCAAGGTATCAGTTAGGCATCTCCATTTCTGCTCAATGTTTTCTCACCTTTTCTTTTTGCAGGATTCATCAACATTGGTGATGGAGTTCTCCTGGAAAGTGATGAAAACAAGGAAGATTCTGTGTCAGAAGGTAAAATACATGAGTTTATTCTCCTGTCCCTTACCTTTGTGCCCCACTAATTCTGTGCTGACACAATGAATTGCACCTGTTTGTTAGTTCTCTTGTTGCTGAGATGGTTGTTTCAATGATTAGCTTTGTTTTGCAAAGAAAAGGGTAACATGAGTACAAGAAGGTTCTAGTCTTCTTCTTCCTAATAATAATTTACACATACAGCACCCATCAAAGAAAGAACGGTAAAGATGGATCTTCTCGTTACCTCCTATACATTTTGGTGTTGTCCGCAGTTTATATATACAATATAGAGCTTTTCAGTGTAGAAGCCTATTTCAAGAGAAAGGTTTATGAGGTGGTTTATAGTTTATTTTGTCCTTTCGCTGAGCATTCTTTTGTTCTCTGGAGCCATCTGAGCTGTTTTAGAAGACATGAAGATTTCAAGTACAAGTTTAATACATTTAATAACCTTCTTTTACCTCAGGTGATTTCATCAACACAGGTCATGTCCATCTGCAAGAAAGTGATGAAACGGAGGAAAGCACTGTCCTTGATGGTGATCCAGTAGGTAAGATACACGGAACCGTCTTCCTCATCTTTGAATCCCCATGTCTCTATATTGACATGTCTGTCGTTTAGTGTGAATGCAGAGGGACAGGGGATGGGCCTTCCTGAAGGACTGTAAAAACATTTGGGCACCCCCTGGGCAATGCCAGTTTCCTCTTCCCACTCCAAAAGTGTCGTTGGATTGCATCTGACATGAACAAAGATGTGCAAATGGACAGAATCTTAGCAAACCACTCTATTTCAGCTTTGCACCATTATATAATGCTTTTATGCTGCAAAACATTAAGGTTATTTTGCAAATACCATTTAAAAGATGTGCCCATGCCGATGAATGGCTCTTTATATTTCACTTTGGTCAGTAGGATTGCAGGCTTTAACTTTAGTCAGATGGGCTTAGGAGATCATCTCACTGAACTCTGCTGACCCCACTAGGATAAGAGTACAGCAAAGGATATGGTATGCTTTGCCTAGCATCATGTGCACATCCATGTTTGTTTGGAAGCTTTTTAAAAAGTCTTTAAAACTGGGGTTAAAACTATTTTAAACAAACAAACCCTTACCCCTTATCTTTCTTTATTTTAAGCAGGTTAAAAAGCCAGATACATGTATAGTAAAACAAAATACAGATTATCTTCCTAATTATACTTAGCATGCTGTGCCTAATGTAAAATTGGAAGAGAAATATCACAGTTAAGTAAACTGTTGACAGTAGGGAAAAAGCCACTCCTTTTTTCATCAGGGGCTAGAGGTTGGGGGTAGGAAAATCTCTAGCATCTCCTAGGCCCCATAATGTCAGGAACAAAGGTTGGACTTGACCGCTTCTTCCGTGCCACTATGGAATGATACTGGTGGGTGAGGACCATGTACAAGTGCTGGCACCTGCCCTGATGACAGTGGCACAGTCATAAGGCAAAAGAGGGGGCACTGTGATCTTCTGGTGCTCATCCTTTGAGCACCATTTCCCTCATTTCACAGAGATGCTTTTCCATGTAAAGTTGGGGAGAGAAAGCATGCATTCTCTACTAGTAGAGTTTTAGAAGAGGTAGCTATGTTAGTCTGTGGTAGCATATCAGGTCAAAAACTAATTTTTTTAAAAAAAGATGACAAAAATGTTGTGGACAAAAAGGAAGGAAGGAAGGAAGGAAGGAAGGAAGGAAGGAAGGAAGGAAGGAATAGAATTATGGCAGATGGATTGGATACTAATCCCTCCTGATCCCTCTTTCATGCACTCCTACTTCCAGCACTGCAATGTTGTTAGAAATTATATCCAGCCTCAGAAGCAATATACTGGGAACCCAAGAGGGAGGGTTCTGTTGTGCTGACAGCTTGCCATTGGGGTCTGGCTTGCCACTGAGGGCAAGAGCCAGATCAGAGAGGTGATGGCAAAGCTGGTCTGATGTGCAAGGATAGCAACAGCTTTATGCAATGTCCTCTGATCCTGCAATGACTGGCAGGAGCACTTTCCCTTCCAAATTTGAAATAGTCAGTGACCTCTATGCTCCTGTGTAGCGTTGCCTTTTTTATTTTTTGGACAGTTGCTTGGTGTTGGCTCCTCCATAGCCCACCTACTCTTTGGAAATATTGTGCTTTCTGCTTCATATTCCTAATCAATTGATGTTATTATTGTTATTGTCACAGATAAACCACAGCATGTTCCAGATAGTGCTCTCCTCTATTTGAAAAGAGACACAGATGTTCTTACAGGTAAGACCAGACCATGTCTGAACTAAACATGATCTCCTGCTTGTTATTAAAAAATCACTAATGTTCATTATTCAAGGAGCAGCAAACTTTCCCTTCCAAATTTGAAATAGCCAGTGACCTCTATGCTCCTGTGTAGCGTTGCCTTTTTTATTTTTTGGACAGTTGCTTGGTGTTGGCTCCTCCATAGCCCACCTACTCTTTGGAAATATTGTGCTTTCTGCTTCATATTCCTAATCAATTGATGTTATTATTGTTATTGTCACAGATAAACCACAGCATGTTCCAGATAGTGCTCTCCTCTATTTGAAAAGAGACACAGATGTTCTTACAGGTAAGACCAGACCATGTCTGAACTAAACATGATCTCCTGCTTGTTATTAAAAAATCACTAATGTTCATTATTCAAATTAGGGAGCAGCAAATCCAATCAGGATTGATGATGAACACATGAGGTCAGCCTTCCTCCCTGCTTCATTTTCCAAATTAGTATCACACATGCGGATGTTTGCCTCACGCAGGCACCACTTTGACAACTTCTAAGAAGTGAATGGAATATTCAAGCATACACACAGGAATTAGAAATTCTACCTATTTTCCTCTCCTCTATGTTATTAGGTGAAGCTTCCACCTGGGGCACAGGATTGTACAAAACATTTAACAATCGCATGTTTGCTTTCAAATCATCCTGCAATTTTACGTTCTGTCGACACTGTGTTGAGTTGGGAAGAGAATTCAACATTGAAATGAATCGAAACAGGGAAGGAAAAATTGGTCAACTATCCATTGTGCTAGATGCCAATACTATAATCGTGAAAGATGGCCGAGTGTTTGTCAACCAAAAATAGTAAGTGATCTTTAAAACAAAAATGAAGGGACTAGAGACTACAGTGATTATGTAGCCAGAGATTTGTTGTAACACTTCACAAGCCTTAATTGCTTCTTAATCTTTTGTTGGATTAAATATTACTAGCCATATATAAGAGCTGATAGAATACAGTAGTTACCCTGTTTTCCTGAAAATGAGATCTAATCTGAAAATAAGCCCTAGTATTTTTCAAGATGCTCGTAATATACGTAAGCCGTACCCCAAAAATAAGCCCCAGTTAAGTGGAACTCCATCGTCCACCATTGTGCCACAACCAGAAGAAGATATGACTGTATTTGAATTTGTGATTGAGATTTCATGTGTAGATTGTTGCACACGAAAACAAATAAGCCCCAGTTAAGTGGAACTCCATCCTCCACCATTGTCCGCAACCAGAAGAACATATGACTATATTTGAGTTTGTGATTGAGATTTCGTGTGTAGATTGTTGCACACAAAAACATTAAAACTTCCCCTGAAAATAAGCCCCAATGCATTTTTGGAGCAAAATTTAAAATAAGACCCTGTCTTATTTTCGCTGAAACATGGTAGTAAATTAGGCCCTGAAACTGTGGATTTTTTTTTCAGCTGACTTAACATGCTTCAGATAAAAGTGTTACTGTATGAAAGCTGCACTTGATAGTATTTCTCTAAACTTTAACAAAAAAAATATATTTTCAGTGTGCAGGTGCCATTTGACAATAAAATGATCCGTATTAAGAAATATGGGGACTATACCAAGCTGGAAAGCCGCAGAGGTATTCTGACATTAGTATGGAACAATGAAGATAAATTATCAGTAAGTCCATCCATTTGCTTTCTAATAGATGCTGAATTGCACAGTGAAGCAGCTTCACAATACTGTAATAACAAACATGGTAACAAACCACACAAATCACCTTCCTTGCCTGTTTTCAGTGAAATTCACACATTCTCATGCCTTGTTTCATTGACCATTAAAATAGATGCATTGCTTGGGTTGTTTGTATCTTTCTGAGCAATCAGTTGTCCTTTTCTCCTTGTGATGTGTGTTTCCCTTTTCACAAAGAGAAAAGACGTTAGAGACACTTTGCACAAATCACAACAGATGAAAAGGGGTGATTGCCTCAGTCTTCCGCTGCAGGTGATGTCTCTCACAGGAGGCTGAGATTCTCAAAGACTGTCTCAACCGTAAATGAAACTAAATATGTTGGCAAACATCTTCCCATTTCTATGACATAATCTCATCTACCGTGTTTCCCCGAAAATAAGACAGGGTCTTATATTAATTTTTGCTCCAAAAATGCATTAGGGCTTATTTTCAGAGGATGTTTTATTTTACAGTCATGTCATCTTCTGGTTGCTGCACAATGCTGCACAATGGTGGAAGGTGGGATTTCACTTAACTGGGGCTTATTTTTTGGGGGGTAGGGCTTATATTATGAGCATTCTGAAAAATCATACTAGTGTTTATTTTCAGGATAAGTCTTATTTTCGGGGAAACAGGGTAGAGGTGTGGCCAAGTCCTATACTTGTATTCATAAGCATAATTGGTTTGAAGATTCCCCGCCATTGCTAGATGTAGGGAGTAAGTATATGGCAGAAATGTCCCTCCACCAAGGAAAAGGAGCTCCACTAATGACGGTCGAGTCCAGTGCTGTTCCCCACGGTGCAAGCATAAAGCTATCCTTGATGGTGTCTCCATCTACAATGGCAGATGTAAAACCTGAAACAGCATTCTGTCGATGGGGCAGGGATGAGCCAGCTTTGGATCAGCCAGCTGATCCATTCACCTGAGATGGGTCCAAGTTATTCCCCTCACCTATGCCAGTCTAGTATAGCTAACCCCCCACCCCACTCCAACTACTCTGAATGAGAGAAGGATCTGAAAAACTGTGCCCACAGCTTCTGCTCTGGCCTACATACATTGGCATTGATGTAATCCCACTCAGGAATGTCTCTTTCTTTGATTTTTATTTTCTCTATTGTTGTCGTATGTTGCCATTGATCAGATGGCAAAGGAGCATGGTGGATATATTCCATACCATGTGATATGAGAGAACAAAAGGAAGTTAATATGCATAAATATATGCATTCTTAAATATTAGCTTCCTAATATATATGAAGAGACCCAGTGTGGTATACTGGATAAAGTGATGTACTACGAGCCAATAGATCAGGATTTGAATCCCTGCTCAGTCATGGAAACCTTTTGAGGGGTTGGCGATTTGAATCCCTGCTCAGTCATGGAAACATTTTGAGGGGTTGGCATTGCTAAAACTACCTCTTAAATATCTCCCTTACCTTGAAAGCCCTGTTATGGTTGCTATAAATTGGATGCAAGTTGATGGCATGCAATACACAAAAAAGAGTCTGTAATTTCATGCCATGATATCGGTTGTACCCATCCCTCTTAGACTCCTTTTCCAAAGAAACCTTCTTAGAACTGTTCACTGGAATCTTAAGTTGAATTTATAGATGGAACTAGCTCACTGACTTTACTGCTGCTTTAGTCTGATATTTCTTTTATTGTATTGTATTTTGTTCTGAATTTCTAAAAATGTTTTTTATAGTTTCTCTATGTTGTGGGCTGTCTTTTGAACCTACTATACACTGAAAGGAACAGAGCTTGGAAAACTTACTTTGGGGGTCAAAAATCCCAGAATCCTATAATTCTGGGAGTTGCTGTTGTAGGCCTACCCACCTTATAACTTCTCCAAGCTCTGGAAAGGAATTATATAAATAACAGAATCAATTAACAACGGATGCCCCATGTAATAATTCTTTTGTGGATGAGATGCAGACTTGGCATCAATAGCCAGTATGGTTCAGGATACTGCCAGCCCTCTGCTACTCTAAGTGGCCAAAGATGATTGAAACTAGACAACAAGAAAAGGAGACTGCTTCCACTTTTATGATTCCGAGCTCCATAGCATGGAACCTAGTACAGCACTGGAAAAGAGACTAAAATAACGACATGTATAGACTACACTCTTTCTCCATCATTCTCGCCCAACGTGTTGAAACATTATTTTTCTGATCCAAAACTCCCAGAATCTCCTTCCAAGGATGACTGCTCTTCCAGGCTCTGTCCTCAGATTGATTGATGGCTTTTACTTTATTTTTTTCCCAAAGAAGGACTTAAGGCAACCAATATCAACTAGCCCATGGCTTATTTGAATCTTAAGCCACACATGAACTTTTACTTGATTTCTACTGAATTGTGATGAAGAATCATGTGCTGAATTGTGATGAAGAATCATATGTTTAACTAAAATGTTACACATCAGGAGTACATTTAATCTGATATTAATTTGATCTTCATTCTCTCTGTGTTTCTAAAGATTGTTATACTTAAAAATCACAGCACCTGTGGACTTTGTGGAGACAGCCATGGCAGCACAGGTAAAAATACAGTATCCTATTCAGTGTGTTCCCCATAGATAATACAGAGATGGTGCAACCTTTAATGACCACATAATAAGTTTGTTCACTCAATTGGTAGATGAGGACAGGTCAATTTCCCTAAACCCATAAAGGTAAAGGTAAAGGTTTCCCTTGACATTTAGTCCAGTTGTGTCTGACTCTAGGGCATGGTGCTCATCTGCTTTTCCAAGCCATAGAGCCAGAGTTTGTCCGAAGACAGTTTCCGTGGTCACGTGGCCAGCATGACTAGACACGGAACGCCGATACCTTTCCACTGAGTTGGTACCTATTTATCTACTCGCATTTTTACATGCTTTCAGACTGCTAGGTTGGCAGGAGCTGGGACAAGCGACAGGAGCTCACTCCATCGCTTGGATTCGATCTTACGACTGCAGGTCTTCTGACCTTGCAGCACAGAGGCTTCTGCAGTTTAACCCACAGCACCACCACGTCCCTAAACTCTTAGAGGTCAGAAAAATAAGTTGTACAAAATTTAAGATACCATAAACTTATGCTAATTTGAATGTACTTTGTCTTGAATATAAAACCCTAGCTTACAAATGGACTTTGGAGTTTTCTCATCCAGCCTGCAAACTATTACAACTGCTGTTATCTCTAATCAGTGTTTAGAACAAAGAGAGTATTTAGAGTCAATCTGCAGTGCTGAGAGTTGTTTTGCTGGCATGATAACTGTTACATGGAACTGAGCTGTACTTTGTGGGCATAAAAATTATTGTATTGGGGTTTATTCCTGAGTAGAGATACTGTGTATGCTTTATATGTTTGGGAAGAAATAGGCAAGACTTAATGGAGGCTGGTGATTCTGATGTTACAGAAGCACTGAATATAATCCAGGATTTGTCCAAACTCACAAAGAGTTATGTAGGGTGTTAAACCTGTTTTGGAGGTAAAGTTCATCACACGGAATAGGTCTTGTAAAGTTCAAACTAAAATCCAAAGTGGAGTCACCACCACTCCCCCAACAACTTTGGAGTCCCCAGCTTCCATTGACAAGATATACATCTGGTCCCACCCATTCTACATTGGCCATACCTATGTTCTTGGCCCCACCCAATCTTCTTAGCCCCACCCAGTGCTATAACGTGGACCCAGAACTGGAATTTGTCCCTTAGACTGCAAGATCAGAATCAATAATAAAATCTACATATTCAAATCATGTCCTTTGGTATGTATGTCTTATGTTTCAAATTTATTTAACAGCTTGCGTGCATATACAAATCAGCTTCACTTCTCCTAAAATAGCTGTCTAGCTTGTGGATAGTTTTTGAGGATATATCTTGTAAGAAAGTTCATCATACATAGAATTCAATCAAATGTAATGAAGGAAAAAACGCAACTGTGCCACAGCAATTTTTGTGTCTGCATTGTACACGTTATTGACACTGATAGTTTAAATTACGTAATATAGAGAGAATTGCTCTTTTTTCCCTCTAAAGGCAAAGACATCACAAACCTTATTAAAGACAGCAAAATCCCAGATACAACTTGTCCCGATCCTGTTATTGAACAGACTCTGAAATGTGATGATGGGAAAGTGGTAAGAACAAACTGTGCCTTCTTTATAGTTTGACCACAAAATAAGGTGAATGTTTATATAAAACAATTGAATGGATGCCACAAATGTCTCCTTCTCTGTACATACACACATGATTCATATGTTTCTTTTCTATACCTTTGCTGCATAAGAAACACACTTCTTGTGGCCCGAAAAACCCACAACAACCAAACACTCTTCTTGTCTGACTTCTATGCTATATATAGATAATCTAGGGAGTTTAAGATAAGCCAGAATGCTGTGGTGTGTTCTCCACATCATCACTGGGGTCCTTACATTGGCCTGGAAGGGTTATCTGTAGGATCCAGCTATTCATGCAGAGCTGGTCCAGGGCCATTTGCTGCCTGAAGTGAAGGACACTTCTTTTTCCATGTATAAAACCCATCTGGATTGCCAGTTGAATCTTTCTTCAACACCGACAGTGAGCAGTGTCTTCCACAAAAAATGATTAAAAGCCAGTTTAAAATAAAACAAATTTAAATGTATTCGCGAAGGCTTTCACGGCCAGGATCTGTCTTCAGAGGACAGCACTCTGTGTTGGCAGGAGTCCTCTGAAGATGCCGGCCACAGAGACTGGTGAGACGTTAGGAAGAACAACCTTCAGAACACGGCCAAAGAGCCTGAAAAACCCACGACAACCAAAACAAAATTCATTTGACACACACACTACTTCACTGGCACATCTGTAAAATGAACACACAAGCCATTAAAGAAGAATGCCGAAGTGCTACTTTGCTGGGTCAAACAATCCAATGCAAACCATCTACTTTGTTCAATGCAGCATTGTTTAATCCACAACTAGCCACTGTTTGAAGTGGCTGAAGAAGCTCTCTGTGTGTGTTTATCATTATATCTCAGGCTGTTTCTAAGGGTAAAATCCATTTAAGAAGCTGTGTACACATAATAAAGAAAACTACAGTATAGCCCTCTCACCAATAAAAATAGTAAAAGTAAATAGAAACTATAAACACGAGAATTCTAGTTAAGAAATTAAGAAACCAGAACCAGTAAATTGTTATTATTTCAGAAAGGGAGAAATATATTACATAGGCAATGGAACAGAGGGTTTTTTTAAAAAAAAATTATTTACTTACTATCTGTAGCATGTTATTACCCATCTACCCCATATTTTGCTGTTAGAGCTCCTAGAGTGGCATACCAGCAGCATGTGGTCCAAAGAGGTGTCACTTTAGGATAAGCCCCCCCCATCTCTGAGTTTTGGACTATAGCCCAGCCCATCTGTAGAGCAATCATGATGAAAATCAATTTGAAACTGCATTGACAATACAGACTAAACGTGTGGTGGAATAAAAACGCGTTAAATGCATCTCTGTCTATAAGACAGTAATGATAAATCTTTGCAATCTTTTGATAAATCCTGGTACCTCTTCAGTGTACAAAAGAAAAAGACAGTTTCCTGTCTTCTTATTATGTTCTTTTAAGGGCCTGATCACTCAAGTCAAGAGAACCCTAGTTATACCTCTTTGGCCATTTTTTTAGATTGTTTCATAAATTTCCAGTCACACGATGCATGGTCTTGATCAACTTATTTTCCCAGCCAGTGGTTTATCTGTGGTTTATTTCCCCCTCATTGGGAGAGTTGTTTTATTTTGTACCAATTATGAATTGCTTCATTCCTTACTGTTTCAGTGTATGTGAATGTTGGTGCAGATTTATTTCATTTGCAAAGGGGTCCCAATTCTGGTTGCTGTGGCCACATCATGGCCACTGGATTTGTTCCCTTTATCATTATTTTTCTTGTAGAGGTATATTGACAAATCAGCTCATAACGAGACAGGCAATCCATTGCTAGCAAAAATAGCAGGAGCTCAAAGGACCCAGTCTTCCCCCCTCCTTCCCCAAGAAACAGTAGACAAAACGAATCAATACAAAATTAAGAGCAGTGTAGCAGGCAATAACTTTTCAAATAGGAAGAAATGAATCAGTATAGTTAAAAACAATGGGAACACCCTCATGAGTATATTTACCACATGACCATGAAAATAAAGGTATCAGTAGAATACAGGTATGGAAAGAATCGAAATAACTGGGATTCATTTGGCTTGTGTGATCAGGCCCTTAAACTGAGCAAATGTATCCTGTAAATTGAAGGAAGGAAGAACTGTGTAAAAGTCCTCATACCAATCCACTCGAGGGCCATTTGTATCTAAATACTAAATATTAAGATGTATGTTTGCAACTAGTTATGTAGGATCGATCTATCAATCTAGATCTAGATACATTTGTTCAAATATGCTGTATAAAATGCTATTGTTTTTATGTCCTCACACTACGTGCTGTTTTTCAGTATTGTCAAGGTATAATTTCAAAATACTTCAAATCATGTAAAAATGTGGGCAGTCTGTACCTTGAGTATGTAAGGTTATGCACTGAAGAATACTGCAAAACTGGAAATGGACTGGATGTGTGTCCTACCCTGTTTGAATTAGCCAGACAGTGTTCCTCTGGAGGACCTGGTCCATATGAAATATGGAGAAGTGATCCTGATGTGACTTGTGGTATGTATGTTTCCCTTAGCTGTTCACTGTTTTATTCCAAGTATCAATGGTGCAAACAAACAAACAAACAAAAGAGATAAACCAATGATGGGAAAAACATTCTCATGAACTAATGCTTTTATCAATTTAATGATTCTGCTCAAAGGAGGGTTAAATCTAAAACCCAAAAGCATACCTGTGTGAACATATGTTAATTTCCCCTTCCCACTAAGCTTTCCTTAATGTCAAGATTCCAGCAAGTGGCAGGGCAGGTGGGGGCTATAACACTTTACACCTTGCTGAGTTCCAAATTCAGACTAACGACATGTCTGATTGTGACTTTGTAAAAAAAAAGGGGGGGGGTCTAAAACAAGAAAAGATTTAAAACAATGAGGTCTGTACATGCTCAGTGGGCACCAAGAGCCACACAATGTTGGGAAAGTGGCTGAATCAGAAGGAAACCCAGAAGGAAGGAGAGCTTAAGAGCCAATTAACATTCATGAGCTCTTTACAGCTTCCTGTCTTAAAGGGAGGCATATCTGGTTTCCCTGGGTTACACAAATGCAAGAGTAGGTGATACCTTTTATTGAAGCACTGAAAATAAAGCAAATAGTAAATATGAAATCCACTTCCTCAGGTTCTAAACACACCACCTTCATGGTTCTGATGGGGCATTCTTGTTAGCAATGAGGCTATACTGATATCTAAGTGAGTAAAGAAGCATGCCTCTCTGAAATGCATCTCGTTCTGTCATTAAGAGTCATGAACTCTAATCCACGTTGTGCAGGGTTTGAGGGTGCTTGCTGTTTATGGCAATAATCTGCACATGAATCTACAATTATTATGTAATCATACAATGATTTTGCCACACCTCTTAGGTAAAAAAGGTACTGCAGAATTGCTTGTTTGTAAACAAAATACAAACAAAACGAAAAATGTCAACCCTTCTCACTTTGAGCTCTGACAAAAGAAACATTACTAACTTCAGTTCTACCCTTGGCAATAAAAAGATACATAAGGTTAAAAAATGGCAGTATTTTAAGGGACACAAGTATCTAGTTTGGACATAATCCCAATGATGCATAAAGATAACATGCATTGGCTTAATATTCATGCCACACCCCAGGAAGGCTGCATGGGGGAGTTAGGAATCCTTATGTTCTCTTTTCTATAAACTGTAGTTTATCATTACATCTAAATCAAGAATGCTGGTTTGTTTTAACCATGATTGACAGGAACTGGCCAGTGTCATAGATCATAGACAAAGGTGGGTTGTTTAATAATAATTACATGCCATGAAGTCAATTCTGACTTATGTCAGGCCCTATCCAGGGTTTTCTTGGAATAAAAATGCTCAGAAGTAGTTTACCATTCCCATCTTTTGGCAGCTTGCCCAAGGCTACACTGGCTGGCTCTTCTTCTGGGAGGAACAGTGGGAAATCAAACTCCCAATCTCTCCTAACTCACTAAGCTATTCTTACTCAATCCAAAATAAGACATCATGGATAGGTTACACAGAAGTAAACTCTTCCTGTAACTGCTTCACAGTTGTACTAGAGAAGAGGAGAAACTCTCAGACCTCATAATGTGAAACCAAAGTTGAGCAACCCAAAAGAGATTGTTAACCATGATAGTATAACATACCACAAAACTAAAATGGGTGAATAGAATTTTAATAGGTTTTTAAAAACGCCTTGCCTCGTGTTTGTATTCCAGTGACACCTGCCTGTCCAGAATCTGAAATTTACAGAGACTGTGCACCCTCCAACCAAGCAACGTGTTCCTATCTGTCTCCTTTCCAAGATGCTGGATGCGTGGGTGGCTGCATGTGCCCAGAAGGTAACAAATGATATACTGAGAATTTCATATATTGGCAGAATTTCAATAGACTAGTTGCTGTTCTCTCTACTGTACAAAAAATAAGTTTCTTTTGATTACACTTAGCCCTTGGGCAGCCGTTTCCTGGCACTGAGCACTGCCATATAAATGCATCAAAGCCAGCAATATGTTTAATCTCATCTTTTTTTTTTTAATACTAAACACCCGGGATTTTCTACAGTTGCTATTCCTGTTAATGAAATAAACCCTGTGGAGAATTTTCTCAACATCTCTCTCTCTCCCTGTTTATATATTCTTTCTATAATGTATAGCTATTTAGAGATGGGATGTTTTCATCTATGAGCAATATCTGAATCTTAATTTTGAGGAGTGCATGATGTTGTTTTATTTATATATGTAGCTTAAATATAGCTATATAGTTGTTTTCATTGTATTTCCCTTCTCCATGTTCCCCTGGTCTTTATGCTTCCACATGCATATAGGATTTGAGCTGTGAGCTCACAGAGTAGAAACCTGAATTAAGTGTTCTGAATATCTAAGTAAATAAGCACAAGAGGCTATATTTTCATGGTAGTCAGAGAGCATGGTTTGCATGCAAAAGGTCTCTAGTACTGCCATATGGGTGGGAATCTTCTAAGAAATCCTAGAAGGCTTCTGACAGTGTAAGAAATATCAAAAAATGTGAACCACTATTCCAATTTAATACAAGGAAGCTGAGAATTATCCTTGATGTTTTATAATGTTTTTAATATAACACCGCCTGATGTTTTACCTATATTAAGGATATATTATGTTATTAATTGGAAACAAGGGGTTGTTTTATCACGTTTTAATGGACTTTTATTACCTTGCCTGACTTTACTTAACAATAACTATATGTATCTATTTTATATTGATTTGGTTTTACTGGTCTTTGACCATAATAAAGTATACTACTTGATGCCTCTCCAGTGTCTCTATCTCTCTCTCTCTCTCTCTCTCTCTCTCTCTCTCTCTGTGTGTGTGTGTGAGTGAGTGAGTGAGTGAGTGAGTGATTGCAAATCTCTTTCTTGCTGTTAATAGAGCATAATGGGTCAGTGCTGTAAGCTTCCAGTTATAAAACAAGAGTAGTTACTCTGGATGCTTGCAAAACCCCCGAAAACCCCCTCTAAGATTAAAAAAAAAATACTTGTTCCTGGGGAGGCACATATGACCACCTCTCTCTAACAAAGGGAATGCAAAATATCGTTAAGTCATTAAGTCCTGTCAGACTCTCCTTAAAACAGACACTCCTTAAAAATTCTGGAATCAGCCCTGCTCAGCCTTCTGAAGCTTGTGCATAAACATGTGCAGACACTGAGGTTGGTTCAGCATAGCTGATCTATATTTCATCTTACTACTGTAGTGCACCACCCTTTATTCTTTTAGTCCATCTTTATAAACATTCAAAGTCCAAAGCTAATTCATTTGACTCTCTTTGGTCTTTAAAAAAATTAAGTGTAGAGTTTAAAAGAAAAGATGCTGCATTCTAGAAATACATATTTTTGTGGAAAGTTATCATTATGGTTTGTTGCCGTACTTTGAAAGTACTCTGTCTGGATAGTTTTAAGTGATGACGGTTTGCTATGGCTGTATTTTTAGGCTATGTTCGAGATGATATTAGAGGAAGTGGCAAATGCATTGAGAAAGCAACTTGTGCTTGCAAATTTAATGGAAATGTATATAGGTCTGGCGAAACAAGGAAGAGTACTTGTAATTCAGAATGGTAAGTGTTTTCTGCATTTATCTTCTAACAATATAATATAACAGTGCATATCATCTGTGCCAAACATGAGAGGGTAACACACTGTTAATGGAGAATTTGTGCCATCCCTAGGTGTGCTGGCAAAATAGAACAGCAGATTGCATTGTTGAAATTTGGGGACAGAGCCAGAATATTACCTCTAAATGGTTTTCACAGTTCACTGCTGAAATTCTTCTTTGCCTTAACCCCAGGCCATTTTGATTCTGAATCTGAACTGTTTGTGGCCACACTGAAAGAATCTCATAGCGTGTTTGAGGTGAATTATCTGTGGTGGATGTGGGACGCTGTGGGTTAAATTGCAGAAGCCTGTGTGCTGCAGGGTCAGAAGACCAGCAGTCGTAAGACTGAATCCATGCGACAGAGTGAGCTCCCGTCGCTTGTCCCAGCTCCTGCCAACCTAGCAGTTCAAAAGCATGTAAATGAGAGTAGATAAATAGGTACCACCTTGGTGGGAAGGTAACAGCATTCCATGTCTAGTCACGCTGGCGACGTGACCACAGAAACTGTCTTCGGACAAACGCTGGCTCTATGGCTTGGAAACGGGGATGAGCACCGCGACCTAGAGGAGGATATGACTGGACTAAATGTCAAGGGGAACCTTTACCTTACCTATCTGGCTCGCCTGCATGGTGGCCCACTTTTTGGGCAAGATGTTTGGGATAGTTGTGCCCCACAGGGGCTAATAATGCCTCAGAAATGAGAAGAAGCTCAGTTGCAATCAGTATGGGAAACTGGACAACTTATTTAGTTAATCGACTCCCAACCTCTGCAGATTCAGAGGTTGGGAGTTGATTCCCCACTGTTCCTCCTTGACAGGACTGGGCCTGATGATCCATAGTATCTCTTCCAGGTCTGCGGTTCCAATATATTGAATTGCTGGATAGCTTAGCGGCTTGGATAGAGGTTGGGAGTTAAATTCTTCACTGCGCCTCCCTAACAAGGGCTGGACATGATGATCCAGCTCTGCAGTTCGATGATGATGATGATGATGATGATGATGATGATGATGATGATGATGATGATGATGATGATGATTGTTGTTGTTGTTGTCATCTTCTTCATCATCATTTTGGAGGTCAATCATTCATAAAATTGCTGTAAAGCAGAAGCAGCTTGACATCACATAGCAACAAAAAATCACCATATATCCAGCTTGTCAATGAACTAATATGGCAAGAATTGAAATTCTGGCTAAAAATGTTTTATAACTCAGACCAAGTCAGCTTATGATATCAGCTTCTGCAAGATTACAACCCTCCTTTTTGGTCTATTGCCCTTTTTTAAAAAACTGATTGGCCTAGACATTGGCTATTTATGTTCACTAAGTCTAGAGCTAGCATTTCAAACAGTCAAGAGGCAAATTATGGACACTGAGTTTCAGGAATTATGGAGCGCAGCTGATAAGACTTGTTCCCCACTGTCTCTCCACCTCCCCTTTAAAAAGGGACAACTGACTGCTTTCCTCACACTGCCTAAATGTCCACAGAACCACAGGGCCTTTTATCTGGCCAGATATAACGTCATGCCTGGTGTGGTATCATATGGTAGGTATAACGGAACCACTTATCTCAAAAGATATTGTCCATGTGAGCAGGGTGCTTTGGAAAACCCTCTCTCACACACTGTTGCCCTGTCCACTTAATCAGGACTGCTGCAAGGTCCGTTTTATGTTATCAGTGGAGGTGGTCGACACTATGGAACAAGTAGCGGTTTTCCTTGGGTCAATTGTTAGGAGGTGAAGCCCTGACCTCGAATGAATGTATTTGTTTCACGCTCCCTGTGAATCCAGAAATCTAACATACTAGCTTGACTATGTTTTATATGCCAATAAAAGGTTTTTTAAATTTATATTTATTAACCAATTGTAGCAATTTCATTCATAATATTACAAATGCTTTTTAAAAAATAACCCAAACATTAGAGAACAGATTATTTTATTACAGTATAAGATTGCTGGCTTCTACCCAATAATATTAGTTTCAAGAAACAGCCAATGTACTCAGTTACTTCACACTATCCCTAAAGGAACAGTATCTCTAAATAGGCCCCAGTCCCATGTGGGACTCTGTGAAGAACATCAAGAACAATCAAAATAATGGTAGTTAATACAACATTTTTGAGGAAGCAATCCTTTTCAGTAATGTTCTTCAGATAGTAAAAATATAATAGTCTTGCTGTAAGGGCATGATCTCTTACAGTCATAAACATAAGGTAACACTAGTGCATTGTGTGAATAACCCTCCCTCAAAAAACATATCATGGTGTCACATAGACTGTTGAAAACTCTATTACGCAAGAAGAATCAATACATTACATAATGGCCAACATTTATCATGCCTAAAAGCACAATACTGTACATTTTGTGCCCACTGTATCATCTTATAGGTCCTATTATCAGTCACCTATAGTCATCTATTTATCTATAATTTATGGTAGGAGATATAGTGCAAAATGTAACCATTTCCCTTAAGATTCACTGTAAATGTTCTAGAAATGTTCCAGGATTTAAAAAGAAATTATTTCAGGACATTCATTCTAGCATTAAAACACACCAGCCCTGAACAAAATATGTGGCGACGTCCTGGATATTTCTGTGGTATAAAAATGGGGTAGAAAGTAATAGTCAAAGTTATGCCTGACCTTTTCTGCAGTGTGTCTTGAAATTCTGTTTTCCTTCTTCCATTTTTCTTATTACTGCTGGGAAGCTCAAGATGCATAAAAGCTTGCCTTTCCTTACAGCTAGCAATCACCTGCTTTCATAAGCAAACAAAGCCTTGAAGGCTTTTGATTAGGAGCCTAAAGAGAAATTGGCCAGATATATACTGCCCTCTGCTTCTAGCAATGATGGCTACTATTAAAGTTCTTCCCCCCCCCCTTTCTTTTAATGAATGTGTCTGCACTGCACTGCAAGGTCATTGCTTACGGCTTCCTACTTTGGCGACAGGAAGAGAAATGGCAGCTTAATTTGACACATAAAAATGCCATGGCAACGTTACTCCCAGCAGTTCTGTGCTGTGCGTGACCTTGATTGCAGAGTTGGTTGATATTAGATGGTTAGCACAGCAAAGTTAAGACTTCCTGTCACCCTTAATAGCAGTTTCTCATATTTTAGATTTTCCTCTGCTTTAAATTGGGGTCAGAAACTGCCTGTCTCATAAAAGTGAGTTGTTTACAACCAGAACCTGCTAATGCACTTAATTCCTCCCTTTTCTCCTATTTCCATTCCAAAAGCACTTGCCAAGACACAAAATGGACATGTACCGAATCTTTATGTCCAGGAAGATGCGAAGTGGAAGGACCTTTCATCACCACCTTTGATGGCACTTCTTATACCCATGCTGGAGACTGTCATTTTGTAGCAATCCAGGTTACTATTAGCTTTGCTGCTTACACAAAGCTGGCTTGATGCAATGCCCTCTGCACTTTGACCTTCCATAAAAGGAAATCGTGGTTTAAATGTTTCTCAGGCGATTCCCCTCTCTGCCCCAAAGTCATGACATAATAGTGACACATTCTCTCACACTTTGTCAAAGCATTACATCCAGCTAAACATTTTCACCTCAGTCCGCAATTATTTGTGATGACAGATTTGAACATAATCTGAGGGACAGCACAACCCAACATATCCATATTCAAGCAAACCTTTGTCCTAAATTCAGTAGTAGTTGCTTTCCACTCAATGGAACATAGATCCTATTACATCAAGGTATGCAATTGTGAAGGCTATGGGGTCTGTTTTCCATTTCTACCGTCTATAGACCTCTATGGGCCTCACCACCCCCTTCCAACAGGCGACCTGAAAGTTGCTTCTGTTTTTTAGGAAAATGCTTTTTGAGGCATAACAAGGTGCAAGGGGGGCACAATTTGTTATAGGAAAATCATGCATCTTGGAGACTTCTCACTGGGACACCTCTCACATTTTGCCTTTAGAGGTCTAGGAGAGACCAGTGGACCACATGTATGCATGTACCCACAGGCCACATAATTCCCACTCCTGCTAAACACTTTAATTTAGAAATAAGCAAGAGCCAAGTGGACATATTCCTAGATAAAGGAATATGGATTGCAGCTTTATAATGCAATTCTGTGCCACTTTATGAAATCAGTACTGCTGTATTAAGTAGGGCTTATTCTCCTATGAACGTTTTTACAATTCTTTAAATCATTGACATTAATTTGGTGAGCCTAGTATTTCATCTACCTGCAATCCTGATGAAACACAGCAAGCTGTGTAACGTACTAGCCTAGTCCTGTGGGTACGCTTTTAATTGTATCATCGTTGGCTGAGACAATGGTTAAAATTTGCATCCTTAAGTTTAAATGTGCTTTGGGTCTTACAGCTTGTATCTTAATATACCCAAGCTGCTGCCCAAACATGAAAATCAATGTTAGTTATTTCTTCCAAACTATAAATAGAGCTTATATCAATAAAATACACAAAAGTGATTCACGAGATCCAAGATGCGACAACAGGACATGATTACCAGTTAGAAAATGTGGACAAGCTGTTTTATTATGCTTTTTGTCTTTTTACGTTGGAGTGAAAAGCTTTGCTGCATTTATTTATATTGTTTTCCTCGCCTAATCATTCCCTGAGTTATGAAAAAATAAAAGAAACTCCTATAATGTCCCCTGCAAAGGTCAGCAGAACAAAAGAGGCAGATACATTTTGTACTGTTGCTAAATAGGCTGTAGAGGGAGGACAGGTACAAACAGTAGTCTTCTTGCCACCTCTGGATTCTGTAACCTTGGTTTTCTGGTGGACTTGAAATGCCTGTTTCCTCCCATAAAATTGCTTGTGGTTCTTAAATGACAGAAAGTATGAGATTATCCAGAGCAATAAAACTGTCCTGAAAGCTCTAAGCCAGTGGCTTCTAACCTTGGGTCCCTAGACAATCTTGGGCTGAAACTCCCGGAAGCCTTCAGCACTAGCTGTGCTAGCCGGGATTTCTGAGAGTTGTAGTCCAAAAACATCTGGGGACCAAAGGTTGAGAATCACTGCTCTAGGCACAGAAGTCATTTCCCTCCTTAAAAGATATGGGATCTTTACCTATGAGTTTCCCACTGGCGCCTGCCGATTGTTGGTCACAGGGCCCCACAGTTCCACGTGGAGACCCAGAGTTTGCAGGTTGTTTACATTCCAGATGGAATGACTATGAGCTGAAAAGACAAGCAGGACAGATAGAGAGGGCATGCTGGAAATGGCATCTAAAGTTGTTTAGTTATGTTCACTTGTACATTTCCTGATAGCTGTTCCTGCAAACGAAATATGAATATTACACTTTTGGAAACTCCTCCTGAGATACTTAGGCATTGAAAGGAAACTCTCCTTGTCTAGCCTTTGATTTCCACTCAGTTTTCCCGGTCTTTCCCCCCTTGCATATGCCAAGCTCTGCTTCCCATCAGTTGACTATTTTGAGCATCACAAAGAATGATCGCAATTCAGAAAAGGACAAAGGGATCCTGTTCTCCTCCTGCAAAATTCCCAAGGGAACGTTGGCAGGCATTAGTCATGGGATGGCTGAATTTAGCACAAGGCACTATGATCCTTGCCCAAATTTGGCTGAGTTCATTTAATATTCAGGCAATGCATTTTGATCTAGGCATTTGTATTCAGAACACCCACATTTGAGCTCCAGCCTTCAGCTGCAATATTTAATTTCACATAGGTTTTCAACTGTATACAGTAAGACCCCTGTATCTACGGGACTGGTACCTGAAGTTTCAGTTATCCACAGTTTACCACAACCCTATATACAACACGAGGGGGTGGGACATGTGCCCCTTGTCCCACCTTGCGGCTTTTGACCCACCTCCGTGTATGTTGTATATAGGGTTTGCTACTATCCACAGTTTCAGGCATTCACGGTACATCATGAAATGGATCTCCTGCGGATATGGGAGTCCTACTGTAATTATGGTTGAAATATTATAGACTAATTGTGCAGTTTATCACACATTGAGCAAAGTAATATTAATCAAACACATGTCTAAATTTATTTTCTTAAACAATTCATACAACCATTTACAGATACCAATTTGAAATTTCCCAGACTGGAAGGTTATTTTAAACAACATAATGAGATGCCCAAATGACCCATAACTCAGCAGTGGGAGAAAGATGCTCTGGAACTCAGTCACTAGTTGTAGATGCAGCTGATATTTTACTGTATAAATTATGTGTCAAGTAACTTTCCATGCTTTTCCCTTAATATAGAAAGAGCAGCTATACTGCACTCATAATTTTGTAGGTTTTTGTTTGTACACAATGGGAAATCCTTATGGATAGATTTTCCTTCAGTGCTCCAGACAAGAAAACCTTATGTGCATCGATTACATGTATTATGGACATGTTTGCAGCGATTCTTTACTTTCTAATTAGGACAAGAATTGGTCATTGAGTGTGGAATTACACCCATGTCATACTGGTCCAGGTGACACATGTCTTGAAAGTGTGACTTTGGCTCTTGGGCTAGTAAGTATCAAAGTGATTTAAAGTGTATAATTGTTTGAAATACCATGCACACACCCTTGTCATCAGCATAATGCAGCTTTTGTTCATTGCTCCTATTGATCTATTTCAATAAGTGAATATTATTTAGTGGGATTGTTGATGTGCAGATACTATTTTGTCTAGTGCAATAGAAAATCAAAAAGGAAATATAATAAAAGGTGGTTTTCTTCTGCTAGTGAACTATAGCTTTTGTTTATGAGATTGTAAGTTATATTGCATTCATTTAATTTCAGTATTTGAAAGCAAATGTTTGGAGCTTTAGTAATAGTAAAATGTAGACATGTAGGGAAGACAACTTGTGACCCTATAGCTGTGAGGAATGATTTTGAAACACTTTTGTTAATAATTGGGGCAGTCATCTCACAAGAGTGATCTCCAATCCACTACCACCACTACCAGGCTGCAGGTTGTAGAGGAGGATAGAAAAATAGCACGAAGAGGTATCAGGGTGTCAAAGAGTGGCGATGACCATTGTTGTAGCACCACTTCTGCCCATTCTGGTGTGCAGACCCTAACAATTTACTCAGAATACCGGGGGGGGGGGTTGACAGGGAAAAGGTTCTCTATCAGTGGCTTAAAGACAGCTGGTTCACATAATATATTGCAACTAGAGTAGTCCCATCAAATCAGTGGGGAGTTGAGCCATCGTTTAAGAATTTGACCCGTTGACATGGTTAAAATTTGTTTTGTTTTTGCACTGTGGTTGGCCAAAGCTCTAAATTGTATGTAATTAATTCATTTAATGAAATACGTTGTGATTAATACAGCAATGCAATTATTAGACTGTTTCAGCAGACAGATATGTATTTCATAGCAATGGCACCTTCTTCAATGAAAAGATAAAGCAAACGGATTATTATGCTTCAGGTAAGAAAAGGCCTTCGCTACCCTTTCCTGACACTTAAAGTCTGCCTGAGGTGAACCTTTTTCTGCCTAATGCAAGGGTGGGCAACATATGGCCTGTGGGTCTCATGAAACCCTCAGGGTACCATATCTGGCCCCTCAGTGCCACATTTTATTTTATTTTTTTGGAAAATAATGATTTGTTCAAAAAATCCCCTTCTACCCTTTTAGAGTGTGGGCACAGGGGCATTTTACCATGTTTTAAGATGTCCTCAGCACCCCTTTTCCAATAATTTTTATTTTTTACCTTGGCCACTAAAGGATATAAGCCAACTTTTAAAAATCCTGATTTTCATAAGGAAAAATGCATTTTACAGCGTGCTGTCCAGGGAGTAGCTGCAGCAGTCCAAGATCCAGCAGCCCTTAGACCTCTAGAAGTTGCCAACTCTGGCCTGTTGGGAGGGCCATCCTTGCGCCAGGGAGCAAGAACAAAAACTGAAGTGCCAGTGAACATATAGTCATGTTGTTCAACTGTTGTAATCAATATGTAGTCATGTCTCTACAGATACAATCATCATCTTCAGACAATCATCACTCTACATTGAAGCAGAATTATACTTTGGCCTTAAATTACAAATACAGTTAGGCCCAACTATGCAGCTGTATGCCTCCCTGCCAGCAAAAAAGTATACAAATACGAGAGGTAAGTGTCTGGCAGAAATATTAGCAAAAATTTAGTAGCTTTGGTTTATTAGGAGGTCTCTGTCAGGAATATTTGGAGAGATGTTTTGGTCCCACTACTCCTGGTGACAATTATTATGAAGACTCTTCATTCCCTTTCAACCCTCTTGTATTCCCAGTGGGAAATGCAAATAACATTCTCTATGCAGAAAGAGAGAAAGCACTCTGCCTCTCTGAAGGGGAACCAGATGTTGAGGTGAAGGGGAGGAGCCACATGACATCACATGACAGGACAAGACTCTAGTCTGTAGAAAGAACTAGGGAATTATCTATGGATAAAATTCAAAATATGATATTGTATCCTGAAAATGCTATCAGTATTCCTGAATATAAGAGAAATTTAGTGTTTCTATTACAGAATTTTGTATGAAGAATGAAAAAGTATAACAGAAAATTCTGCTTTTCAGGTGGGCGGCAGTAAACTAGGGTAGCCAGAACAGATGAAGGAAAATTTTTATAAGAGTTCAATTAGACAGAGATCGTATAAATCAACTTGCATTTTCCTGATTTGTCTTTTCCATACTTCTCAAGCAAGTGTAATTGTATATTCTGAACAGGAACTTTGTGGCACAGTGGTTAAACTGCAATACTGCAGCCAAAACTCTTCTCATGGCTAGAGTTGGGAAGGCCTGGGGGGGAAAGACGGAAAAATTGGGGGGAAACAGTTTTCTCCCCATTTTTTTTCCAAAGCCATTTTTTGGGTTTTTCCGGAAGAAAAATGGAGTGTCCTTTTACAATAATATGTCCATGATATGGTAGTCAAACTATATAACATGAAGACCCTAATGAAAGACTTCTCAGACTTTATGTATTTAAGTTCTCTCAGGTTCAATTCCAGGTAGCCAGCCTCCCATCCTTCTGAGGTTGATAAACTGAGTACCCAGCTTGCTGGGGGACAATGTATAGCCTGCATAATTAAATTGTAAATCTCCCAGAGAGTGCTTTATGCACTACATGGAGGTATATAAGCAGCATGGTTGGCTTTATTTAGCACAGATTTTGTGCAGGTTCAATTTGATGACCGTCCACAATGCCTTGGTCTGCACTGGCATGTTATCCAGAGCAACAGACAGTTGGAATGAGCATGAGCCTATTTGGCTGGGATGGGACACTAAGAGCAGCATTGGGTGAGGAGAGATACAAAAGTAGAAAATATGCATATGTTGACTTTGATGGCTGCTTGTTTGCTGTGTGCCTCTTCAAGATAGTTCAAGCACAGTCTTTTGTATTGATGTCACTTTTATTTATTTCAAAGAGTATCACCCATTTTTGCCAACTGTCTCCAAATTTTTTAAAGAACGTTAGATTTCCATACATGTGTGTTCTTTTTAATTTAAAGAGTGACTCTTATTTCCTTTCAAAACATAACTGAGATAGCAATGAAGCTAGAAATCATATTCAGAGTAGGTCAAGATCACATTGAAGGTGGTTTGAAACCATTGGCAAGCTGATCTATCTCTTTATTTGAATGAAGAAGAAGGAATACATACTGTATAGATATTTCCCTGAAGGCCCAATTGCACAAGGTATTGGCGCCTCCACAGGATCAACATATGAGCTCTTTTGGTCTTTATCAGCCTTGTGCTCATGTCAATAATGTAAATATTTGACTTCAATGTACATTGATACAATTAGCTCTATGCTTTTCCAAGCACAGCGTCAGAACACGTGCTGTTGTCAGGGTGCTTTCCACTTGGAGCAATGAAAGAGTAACCTGTTTAATTATTCAATGAGACTCACTCTACACATAATATTGTGTCAGTGATTCTCCTACTTTCAAAAGCAATGAAGTTCATAGTTATCTTACTAAGATTCACCCTATGTTCCCTTTTGCAACTCCCAGCCAGCAAAGCTGGGTGGCCTTCCCTAACACTCTACAAATGCTGCCAGAAGTTTTTCAATGGTATTCATATTCAGCTAATTATATTTTAAGCTAGCCATGCTAGTATATAACTAGGGACCATCAGTACGTATGTTAATAGGCTTTAATTTACTCCCCTCCCCCATGAACACTAAACGATTTCTGCACCGCCAGCCCATCCCCCATCACAATGGCTTCAGCATTTCTGGAACTTTAATGTCTCGATTCTCCTTGGAATTGTTTTGAATATTCATGAATAGCCCAGCCACCCCTGGATTTCTTCCATGTTATACAGCAATTATGAAGGAATGAAAATACATTTTTACTCTGTTTTGGTAATCTACAGGGCTCTGTGGTTCATTCAACAACAAAGCAGAGGACGACTTTATGTCTAGCCAGAACATTTTGGAGGTGACCTCTGAGGCATTTGCAAGCTCCTGGGAAATGATGACCTGTCCTAAAGCCAGGCATCTGTCCTGTACCAGCATAGAGAAAGGTGAATGTCTTAAAGAAACTCCTCTCTATGTGAAAATGTTTGTTATGAAGCTGTGCTTAAATAATCAGTGGTCTTGGTTTGTTCCTAACATGACGAATAAGTCCTTTTCTTTAGAAACCATTTATGGCAGAACATGTAGTTCCCTTTTTGCAGAGAGCCTAGCCTTTATCATTCTGTTTTCAATACCTGTCCCAGCTCTGTAATATGAGAGATGACAATAAAGAGTTTTCATGTTGGGAAATGATGCCTAGAAGAGCTTGGATCCTTGAAGCAAGCATGCAGAATGAATAAGAACCGACTCGTTTTTACACTGGGAAAGGTTTAGCAAAACTCAAATTAGATTAGCTAAACTCAGCATAGGAATGAAGAGCAGAAAGACAGAAGAAACATGGAAGCAAATATTACTAGGAGAAAACATGAAAAGAGGCTTCACCTTCCCTTCCATCAGCCCTTCCTATTACCAGTCCAGACCACCAATCAGCCATGAGCTGCAGTACTGGGAACTGCACAGCTATGTGGCACTCCGAGAGTTGTTGGCCATGCTACTGGATAGCAGACAACACTGCTCGCAGCTAAGGTTTTCTTGCTTCTCCGCCACGCCTCCCACGCGGGTATAAACAGATGTATACATTCAAGTGGGTCCTGGGGGTGGGACTATACTCCCTTTGTGGCCATTTAATAGAAAGGAACCTGGGGAAATGTCAGTGCTCAGATGCAACTTCATAGCAAATGAATGTGAGCGAATTTGCATTTCCCTTGCTGTGTAGTCACACCTTGGGGCTCATCAGAACTTGTGTCCGTACTGGGCTAGAGGTAAGGCTCGCTCTCTTCAGACACATTTGAGTATTTCCAAGATTTATTTCATTTTGATAGAGTTGAATCCCATGGATGGGTTTTAATAATTACAATGTACCTGATTAACAAGATTATATGTCTACAACATGGAGATCCCTGAGGGAGTTGTGGACAATTCTGTCTTCCTGTTATAGACAAGTAATTTGGACAGTCAGCAGGTGGGTGTGCTACATACCCACTCAAATAAAAGAAGTTAACAAGCACTTGAACTGCATTTTAATCCTGTAGTTGTCACAACCAGTTGCTGCCTTAAGATACACAGGGTACACTCATAAGTAATGGGCAAGATTTCTATGACAGGTCATTTTCCCCCCCCTGCAACCTATGTTTGGAGCTTATGGGTGGGTTTGAACATGTTTATGAGTAATACAGTGAGAAAGGCCAGATTACTCATAAACATGTTTGAACTTGCTTATGGGTTCAAACGTAGACTGCAGAGAAAATGTGAAATGTCTTAGAAATCCTCCCCCTACTCATGAGTTACAGACACTGGAATTCTCTGACCTGCTCATGGAACTGAGGTAGTATGTCTTCCTTATGATAAAGAAAATAGTGAAAAGTGTTTTCTACCTCTTTTGAAGTGACACTGGCCACTGTCATCCTAAGCCTTCACTAAGTGAAAAGTCTTGCCAACGGAGAAATGCAAGGCTGTGCCACTTGTGCAAGCACTGCCACTATCAGGTAAATGATGGTTGTTCTTCTGGACAGCACCACTTCTGCAACACCATCAGTTGTGCGTGCAGTGTGATGCCGTTTTACTATGCTGGTGAGGATTTCTACTGAGCAGAAACTTAAGAACATACTGCTCAAGATGTGTTTTAAGGCCTGTTAGAAAAAACAACATAAAAGCTGTTATTTGCCACTGCATAGTTTGTGAGGCTCTTAGAACAGAGGAACCTTATTCTTTGCTTTGCAATATACCTTGCTTCGTAATGGTTCATGCTCCCTTCCATCTCCTCCCTGTGCCCCTTCACTCATTTCACTGACATGTTTGCGTGTCTTGACAGCTGCATAAAAACACTGAATGTATAGTTGTAATTTATATAACCGATTTACCTCCTGTTTTGCCTGCTGAGTTCATGTTGAACAGCCAGTGACATGGCGTTAACTGTTCTTGTGGTGTACGTTTTTCAGGAGGTCTTTGACTGTGATGATTGTTGGAAGACAGCAATTACTTACTGTAGGTTTCACATGTCTCTCAATTTTAGGAATGGATTCCAAATTATGAATTTATAAACCTAGGCTAAGAACTAGTAAGAGGAGGTTAAGGATTCCAAATTATGAATTTATAAACCTAGTAAGAGGAGGTTAGTTTTCTTCAGGATAAATATGTTTAAAATATACAATGTAAGATTCTCTATTTAAATTTAATGTGGTGTGTTTTACTTGCACTGGGGATATTGCAGTGCATTGCAGTAGGAAGCTAATTCTAAATAGAATTATATTCCATAATCTGGTACATTGCTGTGAGATTTTAAATATATATACTAGTGTGTGTGTGTGTGTGTGTGTGTGTGTGTGTAAAGCTCCAGAAGTGGAATTATTATGTATAATAGTCTATTTTCCAAACTCCACACTCTGAACAATATACTTGTGAAGTAATAGTGTCATCTAGTGACCAATAAAGCAAATTACAGCAATTGATAGGAAACCATCATTTTCTCTTCCACGCACACACCCCACTCCTGGCCTCAGTATTCCTTTGCTTAAAATTATGTAGAGAAACACTGTGGATAGGGGAGGCTCACCTTTTTGCAAAGATACTTTCTACGCAGGTAGAGCAATTGTTGAAGGGAGCCAGGAATAATGTACTCCTCCTCATCATAAACTTAACAGACACACTTTCATAAAACCTGAAGATACGTTTTGCATCTGCAAAAACCTGTTTCTGTCACCCACTCTTTCTTTAGAGGGGGATTTAACAACATATTTCTTGAATAACTGATCTGGAATGGGAACATTTTTACACTCTGTAAAAGTATGTGTATGCTTTCTGTATATGTTAAGTTGTTGCCTATTATAATACGAAAAGGCCTAAATCCAGTTGTCCCTACTAGAAAAGAGTCGTTGGCCAAAATCCCATTGTGCAACTACATGGACACAGTTTGATGTTGTACCTGCAGTAGTTGCACAATGGCTGAGGTGGAAATGCGATCTCCAAGTCACTTCTGCCAGTGAATTGCACCATTGATCATGCTAGGGATGTGCAACCGATTGTGGAATTGCGTGACACAATCCCTTGTTGCCGGTTGTAACAGCAGACACTTTCCTTCATATCATGTTCATGCTAGCGTAATGTAAATTTCAAAAGGGGCACCATAAAAATGGCTGCCAACTTTGACTTAAAATAGTACTGTTAGTCCGATTTAGAGTAACACCACTGAATTACTGAGACTTTGATGTCAACAATGATGTATGTGCATTGATTCAGTGGCCTGAGTCATGTTTGTACTGGCATAAATATGATTTTGGGTGCTGGATCAATGAAACGTATATAACTGTTGACTTATCAGTAATTCAATGGTATTATTCTAAGTGGGACTAACAATAGGATTTAGGTCAAAGTTGGTTATCATTTTTATGTTGTTCCATTTGAATTTCCTCAAGTGTATTTTAGAATAGAATTCTTAGAAGTACAATCCCGTTCCATCCAATTAATGTTGTTATTCACATGAAATATTGACAACCAACTTGAAGGAAGTTGCCACACATTCACATTTTCCCCTATCAACTGGAATATCAAATGGGCATCCTGATAAAGTGACCCCTATAATCATGGTTTTAATTTGTGTTATTGCATCACGTTTGGATAATAATGGTCGATTTTCTCCCCTTGGTAGTATAAAGTAGCATCTTACAAACATTGTAGTATTACTCTTGTTAGCATTACACATAAAGTTCAAACCATGTACTGTATTAGTTTCAGGGCCAGCATGAGACTTTTTTTGCTTTAAGTAAAGGACAAGAATTATTTAAATCCTTAAAATATGACTCTGTTAAGGTGCTACACTCAATATTCCAGCAAATATGGAAAACTCAGCCTTGGCCAGAGGATTGGAAAAGATCGGTCTACATCCCAATCCCAAAGAAAGGCAGTGCCAAAGAATGCTTCAACTACCATACAATTGCACTCATTTCAAACACTAGCAAGGTTATGCTTAAAATCCTACAAGGTAGGCTTCAGCAGTATGTGGACTGAGAACTCCCAGAAGTACAAGCTGGATTTTGAAGGGGCAGAGGAACTCGAGACCAAATTGCTAACATGCACTGGATTATGGAGAAAACCAGAGAGTTCCAGAAAAATATCTACTTCTGTTTCATTGACTACGCAAAAGCCTTTGACTGTGTGGACCACAGCAAACTATGGCAAGCCCTTAAAGAAATGGGAGTGCCTGACCACCTTATCTATCTCCTGAGAAATCTGTATGTGGGACAAGAAGCAACAGTTAGAACTGGATATGGAACAACTGATTGGTTCAAAATTGGGAAAGGAGTACAACAAGGCTGTATATTGTCTCCCTGCTTATTTAACTTATATGCAGAATACATCATGAGAAAGGCTGGACTGGAGGAATCCCAAACTGGAATTAAGATTGCTGGAAGAAATATCAACCGCAAAAAACGGTCTGAAGCTCAACATCAAAAAAAACAAAAACAACAAAAAAAAACAAAGATCATGGCCACTGGTCCCATCACCTCCTGTCAAATAGAAGGGGAAGAGATGGAGGCAGTGACAGATTTTACTTTCTTGGGCTCCATGATCACTGCAGATGGTGAAAGAAGCCATGGAATTAACAGATTCTTGGGAGGAAAGTGATGGCAAACCTCGACAGCATCTTAAAAAGCAGAGACATCACCTTGCTGACAAAAGTCCGCATAGTCAAAGCTATGGTTTTTCCAGTAGCAATGCATGGAAGAGAGAGCTGGACCATAAAGAAGGCTGACCGCTAAAGAATTGATGCTTTTGAATTGTGGTGCTGGAGGAGACTCTTGAGAGTCCCCTGGACTGCAAGGAGAACAAAACTTTTTTGAAGGAAATCAACCCTGAGTGCTCACTGGAAGGACAGATCCTGAAGCTGAGGCTCCAGTACTTTGGCCATCTCGTGAGAAGAGAAGACTCCCTGGAAAAGGCCCTGATGTTGAGAAAGTGTGAAGGCAAGAGGAGAAGGGGAAGACAGAAGACAAGATGGTTGGACAGAGTCACTGACGTGAATTTGACCCAACTCCGGGAGTCAGTGGAAGACAGGAGGGTCTGCCGTGCTCTGGTCCATGGGGTCACAAAGAGTTGGACACGACTTAATGACTAAACAACAACAACAACAAAGGACAAGATGGCATCTATTCTATTCAAAGTACAGAGAAGGGCTACACTGGCAGCTGGCCTTTTTTTCCAACACAGGCAATGCATTTTAAAACTTGGCTCTTTAGGCAGGCCTTCCCTCCAGTCAATTAACTGTTTCGTTTCTCTAATTTCCCATCCTGATAATGTATATATCCACTAGTTAGTTGCTTGTATTATTAAGTTTTAATAACTATATTATTCAATTGTATTTTATCATTTTTTGTAAGCCGCCCCGAGTAGACTTTGTCTAGAGGGGCGGGGTATAAATCTAAATAAAGTAAAGTAGAGTAAAAGTAGTGCCTTCTAACGGAACTGAGGGCAACAGGCCACTTTAGGTAGGGTACAAGGCTTCTTCTGTGGCATAAACGGCTCTGACCTCCAAGAAAGAGGGAAATGACTATTCCAGGAGGCGACCACTGGTACCCAACAATATCTGCCTCTTTAGACAATTGACTTGTTCTGCTACCCATGCATAACAACATAGGGTGCCCTGTGCCTTAGCAAGCTAACATTCCAAACTCAGGTCATCTCTGTCAGCAAAAAAAATCAGGTAACCTAGTGTTCTTATTGTGGGTTTTTGGTTTGGAGTGACTCCATTTACATCTAAACTTTAGGATAGCAAGATTTAGGGGTGTGTGGAAGTCCTAAATCCACTCTGAACCCAAGCAAGAGACCTACAGATTGGAGCTGACTCCACCATACCCTTTAGGAGATAACTTGATCTGTTCTTGGATTTTTAACATTATCTGTGTATTTCTGGATACAGTATCTGTTTTTCTAAAAAGAAAATCCTGCACTTGTCCCTATCGGCCGTTCCTACTGAAATATAATCACATAAAGTTGTTTCACAATAGAAACTTGTGTATGTTTTACTTCCATTATCAATTGCAGAGAATTTTGCCAAAGAACACTGTGCAGTACTCACTGATCCCAGCGGAGTATTTGCACCTGGACATTTCATTGTGGACCACAGAACCTATTATGAGGTAGGAGTGAATCATTGTAGGGAAATGTTCAGAGAGGCCAAGCTCACTTGCACTGTAGATCAGGAATTTCTGAAGGCTGCAACAAAAAGAGAGGAAAATTTGTCAGACTCACTTTTTCTCCCCCCCCTCGAATCATATCTAAATTTTCTTTTTATCCTTGTTTTGCATTTTGCTGAAAGCTTTGTCTTCTTCTTCCTATAGTGAAATTCATCTGTCTTCCTTTTTGTGCATTTGTCGTAATGTGCACATTTATTTACACATTTTACCCAATTTGTACTTTTTACCCACTGACAAAATCATGTTTCTGTATATTTTAACTATATACTGTATTTTGTTTAGCTGCCTGCATTTCTACATGTGTGCATAAATTTGTGTCCCTTCTTTCTCTGAAACAGCCTATAGATCTTGCAAATTTATGCATTCTTGAGGTGAAGTCTAATTCTTCTCACAGTGCCTAACACTTGCTTTTCCTGATCTCATCAAATCTAACCAAAACATTTCCCATCCCTATTGCAACGATTGTGGATAATTCACTGAGTTTTCCCATCAATAAGGTTTCCTTCCTACATTTCCCTGGATGAGCAGACTCTTTTATTTAGTCCTGCAGAGTAGGCAATATAGAGTAACTCTTGAACGTGCTCTGAGTGATTTGTCCTTACAGCCAAGCTGAACTTCCAGTGTGAGAGTTCAGCTGATATTTGCTTTAAATACTTATTTATTTAAAATATTTCTATCTCGCCTTTCTCCTTTAAAAGGACCCATTTTACTTTGTAAAATGGAATTAAAATTTATAACGTAATGATGCTATTGCCCCTTTCATTTAAAAGTAGGCATCTTGCCCTTTCAGTTTGACAATGACAACATTCACATGTGTGCAAGAGAGACAGTGTGGCAACATCCTGTGTCTCATTAATGAAAGACTGTAATCAATTACTTTGCTGCTGGATCTAGTCATTTGTTTGTAAGGGCCAAGTTATACGATACAGATAACTCATCATTAGAGGTGAAATCATGTTAGCGTTCACAATATGTGACTGACATAGGCTGTCATATCTGAGAAATCTTGTACAAAGGAAGAATATGCTTATACCTGAAAAACAAAACCAGATGATCTGTAGATTGTAGGAGGCGAAAAAAGGTCTTGTTGTGACCATCACACACAAGCAAGTTTTAAGAAATCCTACCTTCTACTGATGGCTAGTTGAGCCCTGAAATACCATCTAATTGTTTAGAGGACTTTATTGTTAATATTTTTGATGTTGATTGCAGTAACAACACAAGACATAAAGATTTCAAAAAGAGGGACATGGACTTAACGTTTGTTTGTCTTGCAGAGATGTCTTATATCAACATGTGTATGTGAAAAAGTAATGGATTGTTTGTGCACAGCCCTGGGAAACTATGTCAAAGCATGCGCTAAACATGGAATATACATAACTGATTGGAGAAACGGGATCTGTGGTAAGATAAGAGAGACAGAATTTGTATCTGCAGAAATTACTTGACCTCTAAAATCTGGCATTTGGGATTGTATCCTGAATGCACCAGCCAGACTAGGACCAATTAGTGTTGAATACTTGGCTGGCATCAGGCAGAAAAGAGCTCAATCACAATGAAAACTGGGGCTTCTGAAGATGAACTAGAAAGACTGAAAGACATGGAATGAAGAATAGTCAATAGGCCCTTTCAGTCTGTGCTGTGTTCTTAGGAGTGATCTCACAGTTTAAGCTGCATACGCTGTCCCCTGTATATAACTTACTTATTACTGTTATTTATTATTTCAAACTATATATATTCTTTCTAGTTAGACTCAAAGCGTCTAACAGGAGTAGCAAATATCTCATTGGATATTTTGTGTGGCTAATTGACAAAGTGCCATTTGCAGGCTGCTCATGTGTCTGATCCCACACCCAGTACTTTGAATACTTAATTGCACTTTGGCAATTCTTTTGATGAAGGATTTTGGCCAGTGAAAATACAATAAAATAAAATAATTACCAAATCAGTAACAGTAACAAAAAAGATTTAAAAAAAATAATCCAATATTATTTTATTCCCAGTTTAAAATTTTTTACAGACTATTTTACAAGTGCTCACTGTTGCTTTCTTTCTTAGCAGGGGAAAACTGTGAAGATGGCAAAGTTTTCCATTATGATGCCAAAGCCTGCAATACCTCTTGCCGTTCCTTTTCTGAGTGGGATTTGAGCTGTGATGTGACAAATACCCCAGTAGATGGATGTGTTTGCCCTGAGGGCCGATATGCAAATAGCAAAGGAATATGTGTCAAACCAGATTTATGTGATTGTTACTTAGATGATACGGTGCTGATACCAGGTCAAAAAATTCAGATGGGTAATTATACATGGTAAGTATATAGTCATACATTTCCCTACTCTTTTGTGGAAAATATTGAACAAACTATAGACCTAAAGCCCTGTAGGAATTGTCTTACTGTAATCTGGTCACATGCTGCTTCATGGTATTTTGAAAGGAAGTGACTGAATTCTTCCACTTTTACTGTTCAGTAAAACCAATTCCCCCATTATGTCTGAGCTCTAGAAACTGTAGTTTGTTCTAACTGAATTGCTGGACAAATCCATGTCAAGCTCTTGAAACCAGGGCGCATGTGAGTTCAATGCTCTACAACTTAATGTTTCACCATAGCAACGGGGAACCATGGTTTCCCATTTGTATCTAATCCACAATCGATTTATATTCCGTTCTGCAAAGCCATATTCCAATTTCAGATGATCCAAGCAACACAGAGAAATAAAAGCTTTCTAAAAATTAAACGTTTGAAAACCAATAGGCTAATAATACAATCAGGGATAAAGCCATTGTCACATAGCTAAATATGGGATAATAGTATCTGAAAGGACCTACTTCCAGGTCCTGCTGGTTGGGAGTTCCAAAGAGATAAAACCACAGCAGCAGAAGCCATCATGGTAAAAAAATTGAACAATTTCACCTTCTGTCCTAAATGGGGCAACTTCAGTTGGGCTGAGGACCAAATTCCAAATATTTCTCTATTGGAGTTCCATCCACCCACTGTCAGATTCACTGCAACAGCTGTAAAAGCTGGTAGTCCTGTTTCTTGGAGATAAGACATGTCAGGTGAATATACTTTGTTTTCCAGGCTAATAGCACTCTCGGAAATCTCCTAGAAGTGATATTAGCCTTGTAAACAAGGTGCGTATAGTTTGGCTGCTTTATGTCCTATGGAATTGCTACTTCTAGTTCACAGGATGTATGTACCCTGTTTGCTTTGCTTTGAAGTGGGGAAGAGCTGGGTATTTGCCATGGCAAATTCAGAGGTGGTGGTCGAGACAACACCCTCTAAAAGAAAGGGTGTTTTTTTTCTGCTGAAACAGCACCAGTACAACAACAGGGCCTGGGGGGGGGCACCTTAGAACAGCCATTCTCAGCGGGGGCCATATGGCTCCCAGGGGGACCCTGGCACATTTGAAGGGAGCCACAGACTGGAAACAATTCTTCACACACCACTTTATAAGGTTAGTTTTGCAACTTCTATACTTCTGATTCGGCCTATATTTCTATATTGTGTTTATAGCTGTGCCCTCCCCAAAAAGGTTGAGAATGGCGGCCTTGGAGGATGCAGGCTTCCCATGCTACCTTAGAGCATGAGGAAGTTACAGAGAAGGTGTACTTCCTAGCCTCTATCAGGATGGCCTCCAGGGCAAGCAGCTGAAGTACATTTCTCCTTCTTTACCTTTTACAGCATTTGTAGAAGAGGGCAGGTATTTTGCCACAATCTTTCTGATCTCAAACCTGGTAAGTTTTTTGATACCAAAGAACAAATTTAAATAGTAGCATGTTAAAGCAGTGATACTCATGGGCAATAGCTGGTCACAATCGACCAGATAGGTGGGGTATTAACTGTAATAAAATTGTAAACCGCCCCGAGAGTGCTTGTACTGCTATGGGGCGGTATATAAGTCCAATAAATAAATAAATAAATAAATATAGTTAGCATGCCATTAGAAGAAGAAAACATTTGTATTTTTTTTAAATAGAAGCTAAGTTGGTGTTTAATTCCTGATGGCCAATCATAAAACAAATCAAACTAATATGTAGAATATGGGATATCAGAAAGCCCATAGGATTATAATCAGACAACTTTTAAGATTGAAGGAATTACCACCTCGGATTACAAGATGTCTAGAATGTTTAGTTTGGCAATGAAACTGATGAGAATCTCCATAGTGGGATACGATCCTAAGACAGATGGTACCTCCTTTTTCTTTCTAGCCATTACTTAAGAATATTGAATTGCCCCCCAGCTGGACAATTGATTATACAGTAGTTGCCAGGTTTAGAATAAACCAGAATGTCAAACCTATTTCAAACCATGGTTTAAATTCCAATATTGTTCTGAAATTGGCAGCCACAAGTTCCCAGTTCAAATAAAATAAGAAATTATGGTTACTTTGAGACTAGGAGGCTTATTAAGATACACTGCCAAGGTTGGGGGGGGCTGCAAAAACAGGCAAAAGACCATTCAAATTAGATCATGTTGTTAAAGAAAATGCTTTTTGGGTTGTTGTAGGGTTTATGGGCTGTTTGGCTATGTTCTTGAGTACTCAACAATACCACACACTACACCAGAACACAGAACTCTCTAACTCCTGTCCTCTGAAGATGCCGGCCACAGAGGCTGGCAAAATGTTAGGAAGAAAAACCTCCAGAACATGGCCAAACAGCCTGAAAAACCTACAACCACCATCGGATCCTGATTGTGAAAGCTTACAAGAATACAAAATGCTTTTTATTTTTTAAAAAATGTGTAACTTATCTTTGCTTTCTCCTTCAGTAAACTGTACAGGTGGAGCTGAATTTGTGAGTTGCTCTGACCCAAAAGCAAAGTTAAGGGTTGACGAAATATGTAGTGGTCTAATCATCATACCTCCTATGTCTGTAAGTTAAAGAATCAGAGAATGTTCTTGAGAGCCCATGCTGCTACAATGATGTTAAACTAAGTGGCCCCTAGTATGAACAGTAGCAGTTTAAGAGGCTGTGGTCCAAACTAGACTGGCTGTGAATGGACCATAGCTTTGCCTTAGGGTGCATACTTTATGTGTAGAAAACCTCTGGTTCAATCTCTGGAAATTTCAGGTAAAAGAATCAGTGAAAGAAAAACCCTCTATCTGTGACCACTGAGAGCAGGAGTGTGGAAGTTTGGGTTTCTGGGCTACAGCTCCCATAATTCTCCAAGCAGTAGAGCTTTGGAGTACAGTAGGATCTCCCTATCCACAGGATCAGTATCCACAGATTCACTTATCCACTGCCTGAAAATATTAATTTAAAAAAAACCTGAAATAAGTATTTCCACGCATTTTCAGGGTGTATTTACCAGACTTAGCTCCCTAGGATAAGAATGAGAGTGTGAAGAATGTGTGACCTTCCTTCCCAGTATATTACTTCTCTTTCCAGGAGCCAGAGACCATGCTGTATATAGTATTCGCTATTTCTGCATTTTTCAATATCCACGGGGTGGGAGCTTGGAACCGGTCCCCCATGGATACCACAGTTCTACTGTAGTAGTACATAAGTGTTCACTCACCAAGTTGCAGTCGATGCATTGACTCTACTCTAACTAGGATTAACAATTCCGTTTAGGACATAGAAATCTGAATTATCTTATGTTTACATGGTTCCCATAGCTTGTTGTTATGTGCCTTGAAGTCAGAACCAACTTAAGGTGACACGAACAGGGCTTTTAAAGTAAGTGAGATATTTAAGGAGGAGTTTTACCAGCCCCGGGACATAGTGGTGCTGCAGGCTAAACTGCTGAAGCCTGTACTGCAGGGTCAGAAGACCAGCAGTCGTAAGAGTGAATCCACGTGACAGAGTGAGCTCCCGTCACTTTGTCCCAGCTCCTCGCCAGCCTAGCAGTTCGAAAGCATGTAAATGTGAGCAGATAAATAGGTACCATCTTGGTGGTAAATCCCAAGATTTAAGGTTATTCCTGAAGAAAAGGAGAAATATAGACATGTAAGTTATTCCTCCTCAAAACTGGATCTGGCCCAGTGCCCCAAATTGGCTGCCAAAATTGAAACAAATAGAATTATTAATAAGAAAATAAAATTATGTTATAATATTTTATTTTTATTTTATATTTTTAAATAAAATTAATAAAATAGAATTAATTTTTTGAAAAGGAGCCCAAAGCCAACAGAATAGTGCCTCTTTGCAACATTACCCATCAGTTTTGTGCCTCATAGTACAATTTTCCGGAAGCCAAAGGAGAGTGAAAGAACTTGCAAACCACCTGGCTGCAGAGATATGGTGTGAAAGAGTGTGCGTGTTTTCCAGTGGCAGAACAGAGCACTGCCCAAGAAGACTGCCAGCCAAGCACAGCTGAGTGAGGGGGGAACATGAGAGGAGCAACCCAATAGTCCATGCTTGCCACATGGGCTCTAGTGATGGCTGTCTGCCTCATTACACTAGGCAAGATGGCAGCCACCCTTTCTAGCCGCCAGCAGCAAATGGATTGCAGGGGAAGTCCCAACCGCAGGCATTGCATGTTCCAGTTTGATACATAAAATATGAAGCTTGGAACCTCTTTTTTCATATTCCTTGGCACCCAAAGCAGTATAGAAGTGTTTTTAAAAAGCAGACAAAATAGGACAATTGAATCAACTGAATGCCAACTTTTGTACACAGGCAGACTTGTCCTGCAGGCCTGGTTGCTATTGTCCTTTAGGCCTGGTTCGAGACTCTGAAGGGAAGTGCATTCCACGGGCTCATTGCCCATGTTCTTACAGTGGTCGAAAATACGAACAAGGAGGCACAATAAACATTGAATGCAACACATGGTAATCTTGACTTTTGAAAACTTCTTGATCTGAAAAGAACCTTTCTGCAACTACTATAGCACTGTGCATTCACTACGATGTTTTGCCTGTATTTTGTTATGCACTGTGCCAGTCTATTTCTCCTTAGGTTCTTATATAATGCCCTTGTTGGTTGATGGCTGTGTGCCTGCCAAATGCAGGCATGTGTCTAAGTTTAAAATTTTTTACCTTTCCTTTCCTCTGTCTCCTGCTGTTTCATTTCTATTGATCAGTTACTCTCTGCTAACTGTCTTTAATCCCTTTTGTTGCTTAGATGTTTTTGTTATTTACCCAATTAATTCCATATTTATATATTTACTGAGGGGGAACCCTGTTGTGATTGTTTGGCCGTGAAACAACACACAAAGCAGTGAATAAGTATGCAAATCCTTGCTGGATTCATTTTTAAAGCCAAATATTACTTTGTTGACTTAAATCACAGCCTAGAATAGATCTTATATTTATAATCAAGTGCAGTGATTAATGTGTGACTGGATTATTCAGTTTAGCAATGAAAAAATACACCATTCTTATTTGTTTCAGCAAATGTGTAGAAGGATCTTGGATATGTACAAGAAAAAAGTGTCAGAGTGCTTGCCATCTCTACGGGGATGGTCAGATTCAGACGTTTGATGGGAAGTGGTATAGTTATGATGGACTTTGTCAGTATGTACTTGCTGAGGTAAGCACATTCATTGGCACTCTTCCCACCTGAATATTCATACCTTATTGTTTTCCTTACCTTGAACAGTACTACAGCTGAGGGGAAGGTGAGATGACTGGTAAGTGAAAGGGGAAATATCTGATTTCAAAAAAGATAGATGGTATGATTTTGTCCCCTATTTCTTTGGGCATTGACCTTCTGTTAAATTGCATAGGAAGGGTGTTGCGGCAAAACAAGATGCAGGGACTCTGTGAGCAAAATTTAATGATCTATCACTCATTCAAACATATATTTTTGCCACAGTTTTACATGTGAAAAACCATTTCAATACAGAGTTTTGAAAGTTGCTTTTAAGACTAATGAATATAACGATACACTAAAGTTGTTCATAACAGAGCAATGGTAGGATGGTTCTTTGAAACACAGAGTATCATCCTACCACTGCTCCATTACAGGTGCATTCTACTGCGCTCATTCTTCTTTAGAATGAGTTTTCTAGGCAGGATGGAAGGGGCAGTTTCTGAGGTCAGTTGTGTTCTGAAAGAGATTAGCTCGGGGACTGCCATGATGCCTTGATTCCAAAGACTTTCCCTTGGAACCAGCATTCAAGAAAAGGAGCAACTCGATGCTGTAACCCTTGCAGTCAAGCAGGGATGTGACACCATTCTTGTGGGGAGGTAGCCAGGGTCATGGACCGAAGCAATCCTCAAACCTAGACTATGTCTAGATGGGCGGCATATAAATGCAATCAATCAATCAATCAATCAATCAGTCAGTCAGTCAGGCAGTCAGTCAGTCAGTCAGTCAGTCAATCAATCAATCAATCAATCAGTCAGTCAGTCAGGCAGTCAGTCAGTCAGTCAGTCAGTCAATCAATCAATCAATCAATCAATAAACCTAACAAAATCCCAAAACATGAGAACGGAATAGCAAGTCCTATCCAAAACACACTCCAGGAAGAGGTTTTGGCTGAAGTGTCTTTCTACTGGAAACCTGTAGGGCAAAATAGGCTTCCCAATGGGGGAAATAAAACTGCTGGATAGCTCAGTGGTTTAGGTATCTGCCTGTGGAGCCAAAGTCTGGGAGTTTGACTCCCTGCTGTGCCTCCTTGACAAGAGCTGGATTCAAGGTTATATTTTCACAAATGTAAAAAAAGGAGCTGGATGATTTTGTTTTGTCTTTAAAAGAGGACATATCCTCCGGAAAGAACATACCTTGTCACTCTGTGTATGGTTAATTCTGCACACCAGGAGAGGCTTGGAGTTTGCATAGGTTGATGAGCAAATATGGGTTGAAATGGAACCATGCATTTACAGCTGGGATTTTCCAAAAGCAGTTTCTAATACCGCACGAAAGCCCATGTTCCTCAAAGTAGAAGAAGTCATCCTATTTTCTGCATTTTGATATTCACACAGGCTCCAGCCTGTGAATAAATCTGAACGGCCTGTTTGATCATCATTAATTAATAACTGTCATACTGAGTGTTATGGAAGTGAAGCCTCTTTTCTACTGAGGATGGGTTTAGCTAACCTGTTTCACTGCATAAATACTTCTGTATGGATAACTTGCAGGACTATTGTGGCAAAGAAAAGGGGTCATTCAGAATCTTAACAGAAAGTGTCCCTTGCTGCGAAGACGGAGTTACATGCTCCAGGAAAATCACAGTAGTGCTAAAGGTAAGACTGCTCTGTTCAGGCCTGGTTCTCTCTATTTCCTGTTTTCAGAAGTGAATGCTGTCCCTCATGTAACCAAAACAGTACCACTCCTACAGAGCAGCCCTTTGTCAGCACACAGGGATGTTGGCAAGTCTTCTGAACCAAGCCCCAAGACTGAGTCCCTGTTAAAAACAATCTTTTCCCACAAAAAAATGGAGGGGTATGGGGGGTATGGGGGGAAAGGTTTGAGACTTGTGAACCACCCACTTTTGGCCCCATCTGCCCTGCTTGCCTCACCTTTGTTCACCCCTCTGCCACCCCCATGATCTCAAAAACCCTCCCTCCCCATCATGACTTCCTTCCCTTCTGCCATTGGCCACTGTTTGCCCGGCTCGGGTGCATCTTCTGGTGAGCATCACAATGCTTCTTCCAGGTTCATGGGGTTCTTCCTTGAAAGAATAGGAACTAAGAAATGCAACTTGGAAAAATGGTTCCAAGTTGCATGTTAAGTCTAAGTCATTAAAAAACTGAAAACCTCAGGTCGAGTCTGTGAGGGTTCAGTTGTAGGGGCTTCGGTCACACCCAATAAAGTACGAGTCGGTTTATTCTCAATAACAACTTCTTCATTTATTGAATGTTCAACATCAACAGGAACCTCATCATGTAAAGTCTCTAACTGCACTTGCTGTCCTAACCGTGGACGCAAGGGTGTCCATACATTGGTTACAAATGGATTTTACTCCTCAAAGTTCCATGGTCCAGATAAAACCTTCTCTGGTGCAGGTTGCTCTTGTTCTTCTTCTTTCAACGCTAGAAGCGGTAGGGTTTCCTCATCCCTGGTCCATCCCCAGAGTGGTGATCCTTCTCTCGGACTGGCCAGCCACGGTCCGGGAAGAAACCCATCTTCTGGAGTTCTGCAAGATGCCACCGCCTCTCATTCCTCCCTTATGCGGCGTCTCCACTCCTTTGCCTCTGTCTCTCCCCAATAAGAAGGACATGGTCATGGACCTTGTCACCTCTGCCTTTGCGCCTCTTCATGGGGAACCTTCACTTGTTCCCATTTCCCCATCCAGGGATCCTGGACCCAAACCTTTTCCCAACCACCCGGGATCTCTTCCCGACTCCCTCTTATATCGCCCGTTCCGCCTCTACCAACCGTTCCCCTTTTCCCGCCAAATCTTCCCCTGTTTGTATTGCCACATTTAACCCCTTCACTCCTACATCCAGGTTGTGTGTGTCTGCTCCCTGATGTCTCCGTCCCTCTCTGTTCTTAATATCCTCTAACTCCTGGGTGTCCACCATTTTATTCTCTTTCCTAGGAGGAGAAGGCGGGAGGGGGGAGGTCTGAGTCTCCTTAGCACAAGTAGGGAGTGGCGGCACTCCTATGAAAGCTTTCTGGCCCTGTCCTGGGGTCTCACAGAGTCCAAGTCCACAGGTGTGACCAACTTGACAGCAAGTCACGTGACCTGAGTCCCCATCCCAGCCAGCAGGGTTGGGGAAACCTCAGGTTTTTGCAGAAGTACAAAAAAATCCTCACTAAGGCCTCAAGTGGGAGGAGGGACCACAGAATGCTAAGTGATCCTTGTTGTGGGTAGAAAGAAGAAAACTGGATGGAAGGAGGAAGGCAAAGAGGGCAATCCCGAGGAAGTGGAGAAGCGAACAGAAGCACTTCACCCTGTCACGTCTCTTGCGAGTTCTACTTTTTTATATATATTAATCATTTGCAGATACATATCAGTAGCAAGAGAACTGCTTTTCTTTTCTTTTCAAATATGATTTCAGGATGGCAACCTTGTTCTAGAAGATGGGAAATTCATGTTTGTCAAAGATGCAGCTAGTATTGCTCAGTGTAAAAAAGACGAAGACCGATATACCGTACATACTGTTGGACTGTATTTGGTAATCCATTGCATAGATGGAATAACGTTGATCTGGGATAAAAACACAAGAGTGTCAATCATAGCGGATCCCAGTCGGACAGTAAGCACAACGTGAAGAGATTTTTTTTCCTCTTAAAATTAGTATTATTTAAAATATTATTCTGAATTTTATATGCATGAACTGGTAAGCAGGTAAAAATTTGTACTAGGCTTGCATGTTTCAAAGGCTGTCCATGGTTATATTTTCATCAGTTCCTTTACAGATAGCATATTAAGAAAATAATCTTGATGGATTGTAAAAAGGAAACAGAAAGTCCATAAAAATGAATGGAAAAAATGGAGCTGCTTGTGGGAATTGTTTATTGTATTATTTATTTACTGCATTTTCTTTTCATCATCACTACCTATTGGTCCCAGGAGTTCAGTCCATCTGTCTGTCTCAGTCAGACAGTACACCAGTCCTGACCCCAGTTCTAATGTACCAAGAGAAGACTTTTTCTCTCTCTGCTCCTCTCCCCAACATGGAACAGGTGCATAATAGCAAAAGCTTCTTTAATAATAAAGGAAACAATAGGTGATGCATCACCCCATCTTACTCTTTGTGATATAGGAAGAAACATGTGGCCTTTGTGGGAACCAGAATGGAAACCTTCAGGATGAATTTACTACTAGACTAGGTTCATTGGCTGCTGGACCAGTGGAGTTTGGCAACAGCTGGAAGACCAGTCCAACATGTTCGGACACAGTAGCTGAGTCTTTTCCATGTGATGGAAACGCATACTGCAGAGATTGGGCTGTGAGAAAATGTGAAATAATTAGAGACTTCCGCTTCAGGGCCTGCCACAGTCAGGTAAGTCTTCTACATACAGGGAAGTTGTTTAACCATGTTTATGGGTTGGTTCCCACATTGACCCAGGAAAGCTCTCTATATGGTGGGAATTGGGGCCAAGTTCCCACATTGACCCAGGAAAGCTCTCTACGTATATGGTGGGAATTGGGGCCAGTGTTTACTTACTACCACACAAATAATATCATGTGAGAGACAGGTTCAAACAATGCAAAGAAACACACTTACTGTTTCCCCAGTGTGTTCTGTGCTTTTTGTAAAGGTGGAGCATAATGAATAAATGGTTTACATGGCTGAATATGTGAATATTCAGCACACAGCAAGCAAACACAGCCCCTGTATCCAGTAAGGTGAGGTGGAGCATAATGAATAAATGGTTTACACAGCAAGCAAACACAGCCAATACCATCCCATATAGTAATATGATTCATGCAATGTATTCTCCTTAGATTGACCCTACTCCATATCATAAGGCTTGCATTGAGGAAGCTTGTGCATGCTCCATAGAAGGGAAGTACCTTGGCTTCTGTACTGCTGTTGCAATGTATGCAGAGGGTGGAGCATAATGAATAAATGGTTTACACAGCAAGCAAACACAGCCAATACCATCCCATATAGTAATATGATTCATGCAATGTATTCTCCTTAGATTGACCCTACTCCATATCATAAGGCTTGCATTGAGGAAGCTTGTGCATGCTCCATAGAAGGGAAGTACCTTGGCTTCTGTACTGCTGTTGCAATGTATGCAGAGGCCTGCTCAGCCATTGGCATCTGTATATCCTGGCGTACTCCAGACCTCTGCCGTAAGTGCAATGAACATTGATGTATACATTTGCATAAGTTGATGCAGGTGGCCATTAAGAAAATGATCTGATTGTCATTTGGTGTTCTTAGGCAAGCATCCAGTGCTCTGCCTTAGTTCTCACATCTGTTCTGTGGACTGTCAATGCAGTCAATTGATAATGACCTAATTTACATGTTAATCTGAAGAGTGAGGGTGCAATACTATGAAACACTTTGATCACGTGGGCACTCCCCAAGTATTAGGTTGTTGCATAAAGTCATAATAAGGAGGAAAAATATCTGGTTAAGTGAAATCCTTATTTTCAAACATCTTCAAGCCTGTTTGTTTTTGTTTTTTGTCATAAAGAAATGTCATTGAACATGGCAGTGCTGGAACAGAATTAGGGGTGCACAATCTGAAAATCATTCTCCATTTCACAGCATTCCACTCACTGATTTGCAAGTATATCAGATATATTGCCATATAAATTGAGATTATTGATTTGAGCCTACATATAATTTGACAGGTTCATGTTGCCAGGTGGTAGTATTTATCTCTCTGCTGTGAAAGAATGTTGCCTGTTGATTACTGTAGTTCAAGAAGGAAGATGGATCTTCTCCTGGCCGCTACATTATAGATAGGTTGGCTAGTCACTTATGCACTGCCAAAGAAGAGATGGATCGCTCTCTCACACACAGAGGCACATACATATAAACATGCATGGAGAAGAGCATATCAAATCTTAACATAACGAGAACATAGAGCTGCAAAATTATCTTTGAAATGAGCGAGAAGTGTTTTTGTGACAGTATCCCGAGAAGCAGCAAAAATCTGAACTCTATATTTATACACAAGCAATTTGTCACACAATCCAATTTCTATACAAAGGCAAGTTCTATACGGACAACAATTGATTTATAGGACTACAGACTATATAGTAATTTAAATATTTGTACATCCTGTGCTAAAATCATTGGTTCAAAGACATGATAAACACTAGCAATAATTGTAGTATAGAACTTTAGATGTTGGAACTGATTCCAGGCATGAATTCTCATTTTAGCTGTCTTCTGTGATTATTATAATGCACCTGGGGAGTGCAGCTGGCATTATGAACCCTGTGGGACTGTGAAATCCAAAACTTGTAAGGATCATTTGGTTGGCAGGATTCTTCCATCTGTCTTGGAAGGTAAGACACAGCGCTTATAGTATCTCAGTATCAATCTCATTCATTGAGGACCTAGCTAATACTTTCCATGCCCTCCTCGAAAGCAAATCTTGCCATTATCTGAGCATGCCTGCATTGTAGCATTGATTTGGGACATTGCCAGCTGTTATGCTATTGGTGGAAGGAGTTTATTTATTTATTTACTTATTTTCCAACCCACCTTTCTCCCCATAGAGGGGCTCAAGGTAAGGTGGCTTTCAAGGATATAAAAACATAAATATGTAAGAGCAATCACAAATATAAACATCTTATTAAAAAGCAGTTAAACATGTTGATTATAAAAGGCATGAGCTAAAATCCTGATAAAACAAGTTAAAAACATGTTTTTAGAATATAAAAGTACAATTATTCCCTTAATATCTCTTCCTCAGCAGCAGTTTATATATTAAAAACCCACCTGAAAAGGAAGGTCTTTGCCTGGCAACAGAAAAACAAGAGGGAGGGGAATAGCCACATCTTCTGTGGAAGGAAGTTCCATAGGATAGTAGCCACCTAAAAGGTCCTCTTCTGCATCCACTCGAAGCATGACTGTGAAACCAGTGAGGTTGAGAGGCAGGCCTTTCTGGAAGATATTCTCTTGATACCCCAGATATCCTGTTATAGGTAACATGGCCACTTCTGATACATTACACTTCTAGGTCTGCACTACAGCTCACCAACAGAGGAAAGGAGCTCTTTAGGAGGTACTTGCCTAGGGCTACTGGTCCTCTGAGGCTTAGTCCTATCTGGAAGACTTGCGAGAAAAGACAACTAACCTCCTTTTCCTACAGGTGGGATTGGAATTAGGATCCTATCTTAATGGAAAGTCCTTGGCAAGATTTAAGACTCTTGTTATTTAAATAAATGCATGGTTTTCTTGGTCTCACCAGCACCGAGATAATTGCTTAAAGAGTGTGTACATTTCTATAAGAAAGGCTATATTTTCCTCACTGCTTATTAAGGTGATGTGCCTGTCCTTCTGATCTTTTTTTGCAATGTAGGTTGTTATGCAAAGTGTCCTGATCATGCACCCTATCTAGATGAAAACACAATGAAATGTGTCCGTTTGTCAGACTGTACCTGCTATCACAAGAATATAATCCTTCCTGGGCAGGTCATTTATGATGACTGTGGAAGAATATGGTATGTTATTGCTCTTCTTTATCCCTCACCTCCCTGCATATAATGTTTTCCTTTTGTTTTAAATATTTATTTATTTTATTTATTTAACTTATATGCCACCCACTCTACCCAAAGGCCATATTGTTTGCAAGTGGTCAGGCAGAGAAATTTCTATAGTATGAATGAGCTGAGTTTTGGTTTAGTTGTCTGATGTGGCATCTGTTGCCGTAGCATGAATAGTGAACACAGGCTTGTGTCGGTACATGACCTAGTAAAAATATAGTGGGCTAGCAACTTTTGAAAATGTCATTGTAAGGTTGAACTATGGATCCAGTGATGCTGCAGTGTTGGTCACATTATCACAATATTCTCACACGTCATTTCAGGGGATTGAGGACACCGTCCTGACAAAATGTTTCCAAGCATGCAAACAAATTATCAATATCTGAGGATCAGAAATAGAAAACAGTATATTGTTATATGGTCCTTTGTTTGTGAATAATAATTGTTCATTGATTCTTTATGTATTCTAAAATAATGACACTCTATTTTTGTAAAAGAATTGTTGAAGATTATTGTTTCAGTTTTTGGGTCTACCTCAGGATCCAAAAATTGTACAGATTACAATTATATCACAGACACATACCTACAGAATTAGTAATGATCAGTCTATAATAGAAATCAGAGATTCTCTATCTTGAATCTGGAACACCTAAAAATGTAGGGCGGTACAGGAAATGAATATCTGTTTTTGAAGGTGTTGTGAAAGCTATTTAATGCTTTATAAATCTTTTAGCATAACCTTTTGCTGTTCCTTGTATTGGCGCTCCTGTTTTGACTTTCCAAGTGTTAACCTACTGCAGAGGTCTTTTCTTTATTTCTTAATAAAACATTGGGTTGGATTCAAAACTAGGCAAATACAAGGGGGGGTGGCAGAGGTAACACCCCATCCCATCCCATTCCACTACCTCCAGAGGACACCTTTCTCTTCTCATGACAGAGACGTCTAGTAGAGGGAAGGATTCCTCAAAATTGGACAAATGCACATTCTGTGAGTGGAGAGTCCTTCTTTCCATTAAAAGTGTAGATCTTAGCTCCAAGTGCATCTGCTTCTGTTTGGTTTTACATTTTAAGTTTTTGGGGGCTGTTGTCTCAGAATTAGTTGTGTCACTCTGATAAATATTACAGAGTGGTGATCAAGAGCTCAATTTCTGCTCCCTCTGGCGATATTATATTTAACACAAAAGTAAGACTGCAATTTTGTACCTACTTATTCTGGAATAGACCCTACTGAACTCAGTGGAACTTACTTAGATATTTATAGAACTGCATGCTAAAAGTTCAATTATGTTCACTTAGAGGTTGATAGCAATCATTTGACCATATGTCTTTCACTTCTTTTGATCTCTAACTTTTGTGTTACCATAAAGTAAGCTATTCAAATAAGCAGCTTGTTGTGCCTTTGTCGGCCACAGTCCCTTTATTTTGTAAACATAGTCTTTTGAGATCCTGATATTTGAAACATCATTTTTAATTTCTGTTTTATTTTGTATAGTGTTTGCAAAGCTGGGGAGCTGGATTGTTCTGGTGAGTACTCTAACAGCCACTTTTAAAGCACTGTTACTTTATATAGCTTTGCACATCTTCAATAGCCAATGCAACTGAGAGATATTTCCTTCAATGATCATGTCCCCAAGGAAGGTTGGTACTGAGATATGCTGGACATCTTATTTTATTAGAGTATTTTACCATGTTATAGAAATCTAATTTTTCAGGCTTCACTTCTCCCTTACCTCTCCTCCTCCTCTTCCTCCTCCTTCTCTGCTTCCCGTCACCCTCATGTCTGGCATCCCATAGCATAAGAACAAGGTGGCAAGGAATTAAAGGTGCACATTTGTTGTAATAATGTGACACCAGTAATTAATTCAGGGACTTATTGCATTAACTGTATTGATTGATTTTGGGTACTATATGTGATGTGTTGTAATGATATTGTGACATCTCTCTCAACATACAAGGGTCATAATCCTGTTAACATAATTACACTATGCAAACCATATGATATCATCATCTGTCAAAGAGATTATTCAATTTAAATGAATTGAGAGCTTCCTACCTGTCACCCCCCCCAGCTCCTCTGTATGTTCTCCCTAACAAACAGATTTGCCTTCAGACATGACAATTTCTCTTGTCTCCACTTCCACTGCCACCAAAGGAAATCCTTCCTCAATTACCAATTAGGACCACAGAATCAGTCGTGTCAAATATAACATTGTTTATTAACAGATTAACACATTTAAGATTCAAGGAAATCATAGATGGTATTGTATTTGATATTCATTAAACTTCATGTAACTTGGAAATACGCTGGTTACTTTGTATTTACTAGTTTCAATCACTTTAAAACAATTGATTTACGGTATTTCTTATAGTTTTCATTGCATTCAATTCTCTTATACGTTTCTTTCCAAGGGTTTCTTTCCAAAACAATTCTTCCAACTACCTAACTCTTTCCCTACTCCTAACTAACTGTCCTATATCATCACTAACTGAAACCCCTGTCCAACCGAAACTCTAACTGATTATAACTGTCCTCCATTCTCTTCTTATATTCCTTGGTTCCGCCCTCCTGCACAACCATTGGCTACTGAATCAGTGTTCCATTGTGATGGACAGGTGTGGTTTCTGGCCTGTCCATCACACTACCTCCCCTGTTTCCAGTTCTGAGGCTCCCTAGTGCTGTTTTTTGCCACGAGGAAGGCTTTGGGAGCCTTGGGAAGAGGGAAAAATCTTTAATAGTAAAAAATCACTGCCAGATTGCCACTGCTGGTGGTTTGCCACTGGCAGGCATTTTTTAAACTATGACAGGCTCTCAGCTCCTGTTCCGAAGCTCCCAAAGGCTTCTCCAAGGTAAAAGGGAGCCCTGGGGAGCCTCAGAACCTGAAATGAGGCTATAGGAAGCTTTAAATTTGTTTAAATAAAATACTGCTGGCAGCAGATTATGACATGATCTAGCTTACATGGCATAACTTTACACAAGAGGATATTTACCATGAATTATATATAGATGTGACTTTCATTTCATACTATTGTTATTATTTTATGTTTACATTGCTTTAATCTTGAGGAATGGGAGGAGCTTCCACATCTGCCATTCCTCTCTTATTTAATTTCCCTCTCACCTATCCATTTCTCACTTTTTCGTGTGCTTCTCCACAATCAGACTTTTATGCTCCTCCCATTCCTGTTTTCTTTTTATTTGTACATGTATGCCTCTCAATCCTGCCTCATCTTCAGATTGGTATTGATGACTCAATATTTTCCCATGTTATTCAGTTTTCCCAGGTGTTCCAAGAGCAGGTGGTGTACCACATTTTAGAACAGAAACGACTAGCAGGCCCACCACAAGGCTGGGTACCACCAGCATTGTAGTCCCTGGTGGGAAAGAATTTGGAGTTACCACTGAAAACACAGAAGCTGGAAGGTTGACAGAAGCGATGGAGCATTTCACTACAGAATCACTTACATATGCCAGGACTGTTACCCTTCCTAGTATCAGCACAGGCATTTCTGGGAGAGCTTTCGAATGGAGCACAGGTGCTACCAGCAGGTCTACTGAACATGGAGCAGTTGAAAGGGCAACTGAAGGCAGCAAGAGTGTCACTACAAAGGCAACAAGCTATGTGAAGGCCAGTACAGAAGTCCTTCCTGGGCCTATCACAGGTATCACTAGCAGTTCCGTCAGTTGGCAGAAAGTTATTCCCACAAGCATCACTGAACATTCAGGAGTTGAAAGTTCAACTGAAGGCATAGAGAATGTCACTCAATATGCCAAAAAAAGAACCACAGGTCCTTATGAGACTGTTGTAGCAGTGACCAGCCAACATGGTTTCCCTAAAACCACAGAAAATCATGCCACAAAGAAGATACCTCTTGTCACAACGGGCTTTAGGACAAGTCCTGCCACAGGAGGCAGTAGTACAATTTGGCCACATGTTAGTGGAGAGACCACCCATGTTACTGAGAAGTCTGTCACTGAATACACTGGAAGTGTTCAAGAAGGCTCATCTCCACCTTCTTTATTATCTGGAAGACCTGGAGGTACGGTAGCTGCTGTCAGAAGGGCTGGGTTGGGTAACAGGAAACAATCTCAAGGCTAAAAAGACAGATTCCTCCCAGCAGAAGGGAGGGAAACATGGATCATATTGAGATTCAAGAGGTGTGGGAATAGAAATGGTAAACTTGTGAGGGCACATTTCTTTGTGCTGAAGGGATCTTCCAACTAATCTGGGATTGGAAAGCGTGGAAGGAAATATTGCAGATCTTTGCCTTCTACATTTGGAAGATCACAGGATTTGGCTTGGGAACTGGAAAATATTGTTGATCTTCTTAGGAGCTTCATCCTGGAAAGAGAAAAGGGAGCAAGGCAGGGTTTGCAAGCCTTGATCCCTTAGGTTCTTTTTGCTTTGCCAGAGGCTCTAGTCCCAAAGATAGGCAGGTGAAAGACTAGAGTCTTCCCAGCCTTCCTTGCCTTACTGTAATGTCATCATCTTATCAGGTAGAACAACACATGATGTCAGGCCTGCCTTTCTACTTGATGAGTGGGATGACGGTGAGCAGGGGAAGAATAGGTCATGAAACTGTCCACCTTTTCCAACAATAGATCAAGATATTAAACGAAAATGGAGATGAATTTAGTATATTTTATTTGCTAGCTTTTTTCCCTGTGGTGAATAGAAGGACATAGAAGAGTGTGAAGTTTATGCTTGGTTGAGTTTCACCAGAACATTAATACAGCACATTGGGCACAAGGCAGGCTAATACCCCAATAACTATAAATTGATGCATTTAACCAAACAGTCAGTAAACTGTACAGCAATACGGCCCATAGATAACTCTATTCAGGCTATCTCTGTACAGAAGAGACCATCATTAAATCCAGCTCATTGATAACTTACTATAGTGCTTGCATTATTAAATTATAAAGATAAAATTGCTAACTGAACTGATACCAATATTTTCTCTTCATACAGAATGTCTGCCATTGCAAGGTATGTTATCTTCCCCTTATTTATTTTGTATAGAACAAGAATTACAGTATCAAAATAACTTATTTCAGGGGGTGACATAGGAAAAGTCTGATCAGATTCAAAAGAGACAAGTGGTATGATCATTTCAACATTGCCAATGAAGGAGGAATAATACCTGGCTTTAAAGAGTGCAAGGAAGGCTGCATGGTAAATGGTATAATATATTCTGGTTTACTAACAGCAGCGTCCCTGTTTCCTGCCATGGACGTACTGACCAGCCAGAGCTTCTGAGGGCCAGTGTGATATAGTGGAGAGATTATTGGATTAGGACTCAGGAGTTGTTTTGCTGTGCACTGACTTGGTGATGGTGACCCTATGAAACAGGGACCTCCAATAGACAGGTCTGCTCAGTTCTTCAAAACCAAGTATTGTGGCTTGGGTTCATATCCTCACTAGCCAAGGAAACTGAGTTGTACAGGTGAGAGGTGTGTGTATGGCAGCATTAAACCACTTTTTGAGCAATTCACACACCTTGAAAATCTTATTAGGATTGCCATAAATCAGAAGCAATATGACAGCACTTAACAATATAACATCCCAGCGGCAGAGACATGCCCTCCTCTAGGATGCCACCTTGTACCCCTGGCCCTGTTTCCTGTTCTTCACTAAACATGATGTGGCTGTCACCCATGTTCAGCCCACATGGGGCTGGCTTTTGGTATGTGTCTATCTTAGTTTTAAAATACATTGGTTGGTGTCTTGTTCCATGGCTATGTGGGCAAAACTCAGCGTTAGACCTGTGGTAGCTATAATAGGCAGAAGTGTTATCCATGGAGCGCTTCCACCAGCACATTATGCCATCAGGCACAGCAGGAACCGTACAACCAATTGCACATTTCTGTTGTGCAATCTGCATTTCCTGGGCATAATGCCTGGCAAAGATAACCCTGTATAACTCTTCACTTATGCAGCAATGAACTGGATTCTGGCTAATAAGTAACTTTTTTTTTTTGCATCTTTTAACATTGAGAGCAGGCACATCACTGAGACATACCCCATCAGCTCACCAGTTAGGTGTGGTAGGATACTCAATCCTCAAGCAAACACCAATAGATTCTGGCCATTATTGGAATGATATGTTGGAATAATCCTGGGCCCAAGGTCCATGAGTCCTTCCTCCAATGTCAGTTTGCTTTTGTTGTCATTGATGGGTAATGCAGAGACATTTTGAGAAAATGAAGTGGTCGTATTGGTTTGGGGAATTTTGAGAGTTGTCCTCCATTGGGGGCAATCTGCATGTGTGGATGCTACCTTTGCCTTGTAGAGATCCTGGATCTTTAAATGCCCTATGACGAACAAAAAATTTAGCAAATCATGCTTTCTATAACTGAGAAAGTGCAATTCTTTTTACTTTCATTATGTATATATTGCTTTTCAACAATGTTTCCAATGTGATTTACAGAATAAAATTGTTACAAGATTCCCATTAAAAACTCAGTAGTCTTAAAATCAATTTAAAACCCAGGCATTATCAGAAATGTAGTAATTCATCTCTCCAAAATCTCATCAGAACAGAAATGTTTTCATTTGCTTTTCAAAAGAAACAAGATAAATGGATCAATGAATGTTCTTTGCAGCTCTGGGGTTACCACAAAAAAAAAAGGCATTACTCTTTTTAGATTTAAAAACCCACAAAGGACAGAATTTGGAACAAGGCCTTCTGATTAACTTTAAAATATAAAAGGGGTAGGATGATATGGATAAAAGTATATGTAACTTGAAAGATTATTCTGACAGCATTTTGACTATTAACATATCCTGTAATTTTTTTTGGGGGGGGGACTTGTTTTGTTTCATAGGAATAAGGAGCACTGCCTAATTTATCAGCCGTGGAAATGTATGGAAATATACCTTATGTATGGTACCTGAATCTGCAAATTATAATTCAGTGCTATCTTTTATCCTTGCAGAATCAATCTCGTGTCGGTTTAAAAATAAATCTTACGAGGTGAGTTTAACTACACACAGGAGGAGAATTGTAGCAGATGAAATACATCTCACTGAGGATTAATTGCCAAATAAAAAAACTTTGAAAAGTTACGCTCAGAGTTCTCAGTGTAACACACTGTAAAACTGACTGAGTTTAATACAACACAGGATTCTTCGTTATTACCATCACTGCTGAAGACTGATAGGTAGACAACTTTCTCTGAAGGTTCACAGCTCATCTCTTTGGTGCATTTTATGAGGTGAGAAACTGAAGGGAATTTGCTGGATACTGTTAGTAAAAGAAACCAATAGGAGCCATCTGACCAAACATCTGTGCAATGTCTGGAAACCATGAAGGTTATTGTCAGATATACACATCCCTCTGGTGCTGAGGAGACTCCTGACACAAATTAGTGCTCCATATCTTTATGCTCCTTGTGCTGACTCCTCCAATAGTGCTCCTCCAACAGTGTAAAGAGCCTTGTGGTGCAGTGGTTAGGCTGCTGTACTCCAGCCAAAACTGTAGGTTGTTCCGTGGTTAAACTGCTGTAGTCCTAATAATGATCAGTGTGCTCTGCAGGGTTGTATTTTTAAAATGCACATTGAAATGCAAATATTCAGTGAAAATTGCTCCTAAATTGGTACACAGAAGATGATTCATGACAGTGCCTCAATTTATGGAAACAATAAAATCAGCAGTGTTCTGAGCAGTGGAACAAGCACACTTTGACTAGTAAATGTGAAGTCTGATTGCTCAGCAAAATAATGTTCAGTATCTCAACATTAGCATTTTAAAATGCCGACAAAGAAGTGTACAAAAAGGGACTCATGTGATTTGAGCATATCAGAATTTCAACTGTCATAATGCTGACTTCAACCAAATACCTGTAATGGATTTCTTTTTCCAAATTAGAAATGTGTTCACTGTTGGCTTGAGGGTGTCCAATTTTGATTTGATATGAATAATCACTTTTAATCACTTTGATATTCTAGGTTGGAGAAACATTTCGTGATCCAGATAATCCATGCCTTAATTACACCTGTACGGCAGAAGGCTTTACAACAAAAGTTAAAGAATGTGTTAAACAGAACTGGTGCAGCAAAGTAGGTTGTGAAAACAGGCTTACAAATATATATGAAAAGGAGATAGGGTGAAATAACCAGACTAAATTCACAAGCTTTCCCTCTGAAGTGCTAGGCAGTGGGAGTGGGAGCTGACTCGCAAGACAGGTATTAAGTGGAGGAGCGGAGGCAAGTTTACCAAATGCAGTTTTGCAGATACATGGATTATTATAGGTTGTAGAGACTTAGCCTCCAATTCTGCAGAATGGGCTGCATTTTTGATCTTATATGCCTAATTGTTTCACTAATGGAAAACAGTGCCAACTCCAAAACTTCAGAGTTCACATGAATTTGTCTATGGTCAGATAAGTCAGAAAAAGGAAAGCCCAATTTAATTCATATGAAGGGCCACTTTTACATATATTCGCTAAAGAAAAGTGTGCTTCTTATGAGAGGCACATTTATGGACAAGCACTTTTGTTACAGTTGTAATTCAACGGCTGAAAGTTAGTAGCAAGTCACAACTGGAGTAGGCCCATTGAATGATAGGTGAGTCGGTACCTATGTTCCATTGATTCAATGGGTCTACTAGTTGTGACTTGCCACCGAATTTCATTCAGTGTGGTTTCTGCCATACTGGTCAAAATCCTGTTATGTAGTTACAAAAAATATGTAACTTTTAAGGCAAATTGTCATAAGTTAAGTAATCTCCCTATGTATCTGCTGCACACCAAGTCAACAGATACAGTGGACCCTTGACTTACAGACGGCTTGACTTACAGACTTTTTGAGTTACAGACTTCTCTGGCCGCAAAATTTAGGTTTGACTCGCAGCCTGAGACTTGACTTACAGACCAGAAAAAAACCAAAATGGAACAAAAACAGCCTGTTACGGGATTAATCGGTTTTCAATGCACTGTAGGTCAATGGAGACTTGACCTACAGACTTTTTGACTTGAGAACCGCCTTCCAATACGGATTAAGTTCTCAAGTCAAGACCCCACTGTAATGTGTATGGAGACTTCTTAACTTATGGCAGTTGGTCTTCTGAAGGTTAAAACCTTTTGCGTAACTGCACAACTTTTCAGCCATTTTGCACTAACCTGTTAATACCATTTTTTCTTCTGTATACCTCATAGCAAGCTATTGGCTCTTTCTGAACATCTGCTGGTCTTTCTGAAGAAATATTTCTGCTAATGCTTCCCTCCCACTATTGTTGTTGTTGTTGTTGTTGTTCCCTATCTACACCTCATAGAGCTCTGTGTTCTCTCTGTACAATTGCAAGGTTATCTGCAAGCCATCTTTTATTTTATTTTATTTTTCCTAGGGAGCAGCTGTGTTTATCATTTGCAGCAAAAGCACTGTAGCATCTTGCGGTATTTAAAAGAGTACAAATTTAGCAGAAACCTTTGCAGATTGTAACTCATTTTTGCAGACACATCTGAGAAGCTGGCTACAGACCATGAAAATTTATGCTGAATAAGACTTCTTAGGCTTTCATGTGCCATTGTTCTTTAATGATGCCCTTTCCCCCTTGTCACTTTGCAGCACAAACATTCATCTTTTTCTATGGCATGTTTCTCCTGTACTTCCGTACTGTTATCTCAAGCCCCAAATTCTTCTCTGTTCATTCTATAGTTTCTCTGCACTCCCATCACTATTCTTTCCTTTACCGTCCTTCATATTTTCTCCTTCCTTTATAATTTTGTCTCTTTTCCCATGCACCACCAAACTCTGATCCCTTACTGTTCTGTAACTGAGCACAAGGCTGCCATCCCTGAAGTAAGTCACAAAATGAGGGATTTATCAGTACAGATGGGTGATACAGTTTGGGTGTCTGGATCAGGTTGGAAAAACTTCCACTTCTTCCATCATGAATCCCTGGAATCATAGAAGGGGTGAACATTGACAACATAATTGTGCATGGATCATTCCAGTCTCACCTTCTGTATATGAAGAATTTGACCAAGACTTTAATATTCACCTCCAAAAAAAGTTGTAGAAAGGTCCACACACAATGGGTATTTTCAGTATGCCTAGGAAAGGATGCTATCACCCTGTGAGCCGTATGTTGCACGAGTCTGGTTTTTAATTGTACTTTTCTTCTTTTTTTAATTTTAAAAACAGAAATTCAGAATGTATCGTGCAGACAACTGTTGCTACGACTGTACGTAAATATTTTACATTTTGCATAGACAACAGTAATATATAATTGCTCATCCTTAAACAGTACTGTAGTGGCAATTTATCAATAGTGTATAGGATTGTTGTAAAAATTCTAGTTCATTTATCTCTGACAGGGACCAACTTTTTAGGGTGTCTGTAAGAGAGAGAATAACACCACCCCACACACGCAGGACTGTTTTTCAGAATTTAAGGGTAAGGTTTATTAAGATGTAATTCTGCAGAATGGAGACAGGTAGAGCTTAGTTCATTAACAGTCCATCTCACTAGAATGAAAGAAAATCCATTTCACTCATAACAAGCTGAGATCATTAGATCAAAATGTCCAAGCTTCTTGATAGTTTACATACATTTTGTTCTGCCTTAGCCTTGTATTGGAGGCATGTTTTTCATTTTTTTATATATATAAACATCAAAATTATGCAATAGCTGTTTTATACTCATGAGAACAAAGAGTTAAATTACTATATGTCGTTGTTAACATTTTTCAGTGGAAGAAATGTCAATTCAGCTTCCCCTTATCTTCCCAGTCTACTTGACTCCAAACTGGGAGGAGGAGACAGTGTCCTTGAGAAGTGCTTAGGAGACAAATGTTTTTAGAGGAAAGTTCCTTTTGGATAAGTTCCTTTGTGTTCTATGATGGCCTGAGACTTATTATAACATAGATCTTATAGTAAGAAATGTATTGAATACTGTATGTGTATTGATAGGAAAAAGGCGAGAATTAATTTTACTTCAGGCTGACATGGAAGAAGTCTTCCCAGAGAATGTGAGAAAGGGCACATCACCCTGTTGGCTGATCTTTCCACATTAGAAGCACCACTGGATTGTTTCCAACATGAATCAATGAAGTAGCAGTACATAGAATATGCTTACATTTTAATGCTTGTATAAAATATTACAACAAAATATATCAAAAATATTGGAGTTTCCTTTAAGGTAAAACAATTAAGGATAAATGAATAAAATGAATAAAAGAAAAGAATAAAAAGGATAGGAGCTTTTTCTTATGACGCATCAGGGAAGATGAAAGTAGCATGGTGAAATCTTATTTATTTATTTCATTTTTACCCCGCCCATCTAGATTCGGGAATCTAATCTGGGCAGTTTACAGATTACAAAGATAAAAACAGCATTAAAATAACTTTAATCATAAGAGCAAACAACTGATAAGGAAAACAGGATCCAAGGTGGAAAAGAAGCTATGTAATGGGAGGTGGGAAGGCCTGCCAAAAGAATCAAGTCTTCAACTTGTTTTCTGAAAATTTCTCCTTGCATGGCAACTAACTGGGGCAAATCTTGTCAGTAGCAGCCATAGATATTTGGGGGACATTAAGATACAGTACAGGGCGTTTACTTGGCTTGATAAAACTCAGTTGGAGTCTTCTGCCAAGCCTCACCCTAGCCTTAATAATAGAAGTGGATCATTGGTATTGCAAGATGTTATGGGCACTGTAGTCAAGCACTGAGAGAGACAGCCCATCGTCTGGAGTGATAAACCAAACATCTTTCCATTTGATCCTGCCATTTGAAGTCAGTGCTTTTGTGTCTCTTGCCATTTTATTTTTTCTGTGACGTGTGGGACCATCTTCTCTGTATTGGTGGTCAGTTAGTGGAACTTCCCATCCTGGGATGTATGTGCATTTTAAACTTGTTTTTTTAGTTTCATTAGCATTTTCAAGAAGGAGAATAGTGGGTGGCTAGAGAGCCCTTTTTTTAAAAAAAGTGTAACAGCAGGAGAATAATGGCTTATTTTTTTATACTTTCACGTCATTCACTGTTTTCTGTTTCTTCTTAGGTATCAATGTATGCAGACCAGCTCCTGTAGAGGTTGGAGTCACTGCAAACGGTTGTAGAGGTGTCATCGTGATGGCAAAATGCACTGGGGAGTGCAAAAATGCAGTTTTGTAAGTCAGTCTTGTCGAGAGATTGTGAGAGCATCTGCTGGGCATCCAGTTGGGGGTGGTGGGTATAAACCAAAGGCTCACTTCTGGAATTGAACAAGTACCAGTTGGAGGAGACAGTTTGGAAATTACTGGCTTTGTTCTAGGCAATTTAAGATAATATAGGGATTTCCTGTCTATTCAATTTGCAGTCACACCCCTTGACCCAGCTTGAAAAAATGCACACAGCAGAGGTACAAGTGTGCCACAGTAGCCATTTAGGAGCCACTGAATAATGTGATGATTTCTTTTGTATTTCTGGATGCATTTCCCCATTCGGGGCCACCATCGATAGTCTATGACAGGTTATGACAAGATGGAGCCCACATGCTATCTGGTAAACAGACGTTAACTGGATCAGCAGCTGAATTTTACTTTGACATTGGTGGCAGCATCATATCCTGCCCTGCATCTAAGGCAACAGGCTAGATTAGGAGACCTGGGACAGGAAGTATAGATATTTCTTACAGGTACTGCTATGTCCTCTTCTAATGCAACATACTGCCAGCAGCTCAAGAGGAGGAGCTGATGGTCTGGTTTTGCCCTGCCTCCCACAGTTGCTCTCTGAGCTGGTAACTTCTCTCTGCCCAAAGACCACAATTGACCAGCTGTGCCTGGGCCATTTTACGAGAGCTTGATAGAAATGGCTTTTTTTAATTGTAGCAGTTTAAGACCCTTAACCACCCAAGCTGAAGTAAAAAATCAGTGCTGAACCCTGGGTTGTAATTAATTTAAAATAACTATCCCTCTCTTTTAATTTGCTATGTTTTTCTCTGTCTCAATTTCAGGTATGGTGATGTGGATCGTCAAATGGTAAACAAGTGTTCTTGTTGCAAGGCAAAGGAACATGTATATAAGAATATTCCCATTGTCTGTCCTGATGGAAGGTTAGAAGAATATAGATACAAGCACACCATCTCCTGCAGCTGCCAGGCTTGTGAAGGTTCCTAATGCAACCGTGTTTTAAATGGCCCTTTCCCCTTCTAAATGTGTTCAAAAATGCTCTTTCAAGATTTGCATGAGTTACCTTAGTGCTGCTGATTTAAATCAGCATTATTAAGACAATACTTCTATTGTAAACAAATCCTGTAATGTATGTCTTGTAGTATCTTTACAGTTCACAAATCAAAATAGGCAAATGAATACTATTTTGAAATAAATATTGGTTCCTTTTCATCTATGTGTCCAGACACCATTGTATTATAAAATGAAAAATGCACTGCACTATGTTTCCTTCATGCTGGCCTATGTCTTGATTGTATTTCATTATCAGTGTTATTTAATGATTGGTTAGATGAGAGCTTTACTATAGAAAATACAGTAACTGCTCTCACATACGGTCCTATTGTAGTCAATGCTTAGGTTACAGGAAATAGGACTGAACTGTTATTATCCTGGATAGGTTTTGATCTGTACCCAAAGCTAATATTTCCCAAGCTGACAGCTGTTGCAGAGTTTTGAATTTTTGGTAAAATGATTTGTGCTACGCGGTTGAAATACAGAGATTCACAAAGGAGAGCAGCTTCAAGTTTCCCCAGATAGTCCAAACTTTTCTCAGTAACTAACTTTGAGATCTTAGTAGTAAAAAGAGTGAAAAACATTTTATTACTAATAATAGTGAACAGATCAACAGAAAACTATTTTCAACAGACTAAAGAGAGCAAAAGGACTCTCTGCAGAGAGGCAGGGCTCTTTTTGATTTCAGAGATGGTAAGGAATAACTGGACTGGTTAGTACTGGATACATTGGGTCACTGCAGCCCAAATCACAGGCCATATGCAATGTTGTAAAAACTCTGACAACACCTTCTAGGTGCTTGTGGAAGTGTCTCCTGACCTTCAACCTTGTTGGCTTTGATCTACTTGGCATGTAACTGGATGTGGCAAATCTAAAGTACTCTCTTAAGCCAAAGTAAAGGGTTTCACAAATGATTGTGATGGTGGCCTTAGTAAAGGTTCAGGTTCCCCTTGACATTTTTAGTCCAGTCATGTCCGACTCTAGGGGGCGATGCTCATCCCATTTTCAAGCCGTAGAGCCAGTGCTTGTCCAAAGACAGTTTCCATGGTCACGTGGCCAGCGTGACTAGGGAACACCGTTTTACCTTCCCACTGAGGAGGTACCTATTTATCTACTCGTATTTGCGTGCTTTCGAACTGCTAGGTTGGCAAGGAGCTGGGACAAAGCGACGGGAGCTCACTCCGTCACATGGATTCGATCTTACGACTGCTGGTCTTCTGACCCTGCACCACAGAGGCTTCTGTGGTTTAGCCCGCAGAAGGTTCTGGTGGCCTTACCAGAACGCTATTTAGGCATTCCAAATGTGGCTTCAATCACCATGGAAAGATGAACATGGTAGCTCTGGCTCCATCTGTTGCTGTTCTACTCACCTTCCATGTTCAAGCAAGCTCTAAACTATAGGAGGACAATGACAACACATGGAGGGTAACTAGAACTGTGTTGGGGAAGCACAGCTAGCTTATTTGCCATTGTTGTTCTCACTTGTTAATCAAAGGCATTTACAGATTGCCTGAACAAGACTCATGTATGTGATGGAAAAATTACATAACGAGTTGCCTTGTGGTATAGCTGCCCATGGAGCAAAGATGGAGAATTGTATAGTCTCCAGATATTTTGGACTAAAAATCCCATAACCTGTGGCTGGGATTTTTGGCAGTTGAAGCCCAAAGTATCTGAAGGGCCAAAGGATCCCTGTTCTGCTTTGGAAGCTGTTCAAGTAGATTTTATGTGGTTGCTGTAACATGTAGGCCACACACCGAGGTAACAGGAACATTTGTTTCAAGGCAATTTGTTTCAAAGATAGATGAACAATAAAGAAATTGGGAATATGGAGAGGCGCAATATTATTAGTAGTCTTTCTTACAATAGTCTTTCAACCATTATGTGCTTAATGCTAAGAAGTGCTGCTCCACTGTTCCCTTCCTCCATCTCTCCCGTAGCGCAGGGAAAATAATCACAGAAATCAATGCATCAAGATTTAAGAAAGCTGGCAGAAGACTCCCAGTTGTGGAAATGTTAAGATGATGATCTAGTGCTGAAAATATGGACTTAGTAACTGCAGGGAACTTAAATCTATTATGAGTGAACTGACAGTAAAGGCACTCACTCCATCCTTATGGAGAATGTCCCACGTGTAGGGCCTCTCCCTGACTAGAATCCCGGAAGGTTCCTCATCTAGCTTTGTACAGATGCAGAGATCAGGTACAAGAACATAGCCGACTCCTTAGGCTACAGCTAGATCCCCACACATCTTTGTTTCAGAAACAAATACTTAAGAAACTAGTCAAAGTAATCACAGACATTCTGAAATTACTTTTAGATAGGGAAGAAAGTGTTACTACCAGTTCAAAAAAAGATTTGTTGTTGTTGTTGGATGGGTGGGAACAGTGATTTTTAGATATCATTCCTTGCTTTGTCAGACTGATTATGGCTATACGCGGAGTTAACTGGTTTTTATATGTATGGCAGGACAGCTATTTCTGCATGTGTAAAAAGAATCTCTTCTGTTCACAAGCAAAGGCAGACTGCAAAGTGAATATAGCTATAGGTTGCTCTCCATCTCAAAAATGTTTATAGATCAAATGTTAACACCAAATATTCATAACCCCTAGTAGTTACTGTATAAAATGACAGCCATTTCTTTCTGGTGAGCTTTCAAATTAATAAAAATAGTCGTTTTCCCTCAACAGGGAAATTAACAGTAATTACCAGTGACATGAGGCAGATATGATCTTATAGGTAAAGGTTCCTCTTGAGAAATGTCCAGTCGTGTCCAACTTTAGGGGGCGGTGCTCATCCCCATTTCCAAGCTGTAGAGCCAGCGTTTGTCAGTAGACAGTTTCCGTGGTCACGTGACTAAACACGCCCATTACCTTCCCACCATGGTGGTACCTATTTATTTACTCGCATTTGCATGCTTTCGAACTGCTAGGTTGGCTGGAGCTGAGACAAGCGAGCTCACTCCGTTGCGTGGATTCGATCTTACAACGGCTGGTCTTCTGACCTTGCAACACAGAGGCTTCTGTGGTTTAACCCGTAGCACCACCACATCCTATTTATAAGCTTATAATGCACTTCGAATTGCACTTATAATGCAAATCAAACAAGTTTTTTTTTAATTTTTCAATCTGGACTATCTCCAAATCCATTAAGCTGCTGGACACGTATAGCACGTCAGTTTTAGCCCCTGGTTAATGCATAGGCTACTTACTATACGTTTTTTATATGTGCTATCAAGTCGTTTCTGACACATGGTAGCCCTAATAAGTTTTTTTATGTATGTGAGATGTTCAGCGAGTGGTTTACCAGCGCCACTCTCACCAGTGAGTTTCCATGGCTGAGTGTGATCTGAACTCGAAACGCTGGAGTCTTAGTGTGAGTGTTTACACCACATGGGCTCTCAAAACTATATACATGCGCACAAACAGGAATTATCGTCACGATGGCTATATTATTTCTCATGAACAGTTCAGAGTTTGCTTCTCAATACCAGTAATGGGGGAACATGAGTGGGAGGATATCACCATCCTCCTGTCTTACTTGTGGGCTTCTTATAAGGAACTAGTCAGATGTAGAAAGTGAAGATAACAGGTAGGCCTTGGGTCTGATCCAGCATGGCTTGTGTGGATTGTTTGGAAGAGAAAAATCTTGCAGCCACAGAGTATACTTGAATCATCTAAACCTCTACTGGTTAAAACCACCCCTAATGCTCTACATAGCATTTGAATTTTGGATATCAATAAGATACGTTATGGCTGGTAAATAAAGCTATTCAGGGAACAAGATAGGGATAATTATTATTCCCTTATTACATTTTCCCCATTGGTTGCTTCCTCCTGTCTGAATACACTACGATCAGGTTATTACTACTTTCATCTGAGTGGTTGATCATTACTGCTTTCATCTTAGGCCTTGGGTCTGATCCAGCATGGCTTGTGTGGATTGTTTGGAAGAGAAAAATCTTGCAGCCACAGAGTATACTTGAATCATCTAAACCTCTACTAGTTAAAACCACCCCTGAATGCTCTACATAGCATTTGAATTTTGGATATCAATAAGATACGGTATGGCTGGTAAATAAAGCTATTCAGGGAACAAGATAGGGATAATTATTATTCCCTTATTACATTTTCCCCATTGGTTGATTCCTCCTGTCTGAATACACTACGATCAGGTTATTACTGCTTTCATCTGAGTGGTCTGCTGTCTTCCGGTTGGTTGATCATTTCACCGTCAGTATTTTCCTCTGCATCATAATAGCCATTTACATTTTAAAAACCCTGGTTTTTAAGGAATTCTGTATCAAGCTAAGTGTCTGGAACCCACAAGACCAAAGAAGCCTCCAGGAAAAAGAGAGACAAAGGAAGGAAGATTTCATTGGGACAGGGAGAGGAAATGTTGCTTCAGTGGGATTATAAAAGAGTCCAAAAGAAGTCTCTAGTGATGAGCTGCAGTCCAGGAAAACCAGCATTTTTTAATGGACTTCTTTTTTCTTTTGACCATACAGGGAATGTGAATCCTGCAATACAAACTACAAGCTGCTTTTACCACACACAAATGTGGTCATACTGTGTTTCCCCAAAAATAAGATAGGGTCTTATATTAACTTTTGCTCCAAAAACACATTAGGACTTATTTTCAGGGGATGCTTTGTTTTTTTTCATGTACAATCTACGTTTATTTAAATACAGTCATGTCATCTTCTGGTTGCTGCACAATGGTGAGGGCGGGGTTTAACTTAACTGGGGCTTGTTTTGGGGGGTAGGACTTATATTACGAGCATCCTGAAAAATCATAATAGGGCTTATTTTCAGGTTAGGTCTTATTTTCAGGGAAACAGAGTAGCTATAGCTTTCACAGAAATTTAACTGCTGTGTTGCTGTTTCATAAATACAGTGACCACAGCCCTTTGAAGAAACCTTGAACTGCGTGTCTCCCCCCTCCCCCAGTTTTTACGCCTTTCTTCACAGATTTGGAGATGGTGTACATAGCAAGATTTCCAGAACATCTACAAGCCCAAATCTGGTCTGACCAATGTCACTCTAAATGCTTATCATCAATAATATAATCCAATTTTATGATTCCTGAGAAAGGCAATTCTAAGGTGCTGAAAACCAGATTGGTCTGTGTCATCAGTCGCTAGTATTGCTGGACCTTACATTTCAGTTTAGCTCAGCCATGACCTCACTTATTTTATGTTCTCCAAACCCCTTTCCCAACCATGAGATGTCCGCCACGGCAAGGACACTCTCCACCAAAATTTTGGAAAACATTCACAATAAAGATCCGAACCCATGTCACACAACTCAGCAGTCCTAGATTAATGGCAAGGAAGGGGCAAAGAATACAGCTCTCATCCATGTGAGGGGGTTTCTCCAAGAATTAGAGAAGAAGACAGGGTTCAGTTAGAAAACCCCTATCTCTGGGCAGCACTGCTATGGCAAACAGTGTATATTCCACCTTTTATTAATAAAATGTTAGAGAGTTTGTTCTGAAAATTTATTATTACTTTCCAGTACCTCGAGCAAAATTAATTTAACACATCTGCACAACTACCTTGTGAGGTAGGTTAATCTGTATTGCTTTTCTTTTATAGAAGAGCAAACTTGGGATGTGAAACCAGTTTTGCACACTTAAGTGAATTCATGGCTGAACACAGCGCTTCAACCCTCTATTCAAGCCCTCTATTCCACAGAATTTTCTTCATAAAAATGGCTTCTGAAAATGGAGTTCTAACTCAACAATTGAAATGTTTAAAAGCCATTTCCAACTGGTTTGACAATCAGATTTAGAAGTCCCATGTCAGCACCACAAAGTCCTGGTCATTATCTGGATCACCATGGAAAGAGAATATTTATAGAAAGAGCCTTTCAAAAATCATCGCTGCCCGGGAACAATGTGTGGACACTGCTATGGATCAGATTTCAGTCAGAATGCAAACAAACCAGAATAAAGTGGCTAGAGTAATTCACGAGCTTTGACCACTCAACCCAAAATATCTTATCTTCCTTCCAACTGTCACCTGATCCTCTTCTGCTATACCCCAGAGCTTCAAGCTCTGACTTTACCTTCCACCCTAGCCTGTCCATCGGATGCAAAGACAGTCCTCATTCCTTTTGCTGTCCCTAAATCACCAAGCTGGTATGCATCAGCTTTCACATTAATAAATCATTTCTGCAATGGAGGATGGCTGAATCAATGATTCATTAAAATTTTCCTTTCCCTTTGAAAAGCTTTTCAAGTAACATCTCTGTAAAAGAAAAAGAAAAAACTCTTGACTACTGCATGTCACTCGGGATCCAGAATGAAATCTGCAAGAGTCAAATGAACGTTGTGATCCACATCTATGCATCTTAGAACATACTCCTGCTATGCCAAAGACAGGCCTGAACAGCTTTCAATTTTATACCAATATACCCGGCATATGCTCACTGAATGTGACAGGATTTACTTTTGAATAGACATGCATACTGTACATTCTTAAGCCTCCATATACCTGATTTCTTTAGCGCAGCTGCTATTCTGTTTTGCATTATGGCTTGGAGATGCTTACACAACACCCACAGATAACAATAGAATTTCAATTTGGGGTTGGGGTTGTGCATGGGGGCGGAATTTTTTTGATTTCTTAGGACAACAAATCTCAACAAATTTCCCATTCTGGGAGTTCTGCCTGACAGACAAGTTACAGTTAAATGTGGCTTACTTGGGAGAAAGGCCTCAACTGATAGATTTTGGGGCTTAGCTTGGTCTAACTCTGCCCAAGCTTCCTGCTTCTGCCCCCAGTGCTAGTCGGGAAATCATTTTTCTGTACAGGAAGCCAGTCCGAGAAATCAAAAAATCCCATACTTAGGCTGCATGCATGTATATGTATAGGGATCAGTGTGGTAGTCTAGTGAAATGGCTTTACAAAGGGTTTGGTGACACCTTGAAATTTTAGAAACATAACTGTTGTGGCAGCAAGATTCCCCAAATTTCAACCAAAATATTTCCTTGTACAATAGGTTCAAAAGCCCCCAAAGAAAGAGACCACCATTGTCTTCAAAATTTTGTGAGCTACCAGAACATATCATTGCTTCATCTTTCCTTCCCACCTATTTACTTAAATACAGTGATGCCCCGCATGACGATGATAATCTGTTCCATAGAAATCGCTGTCTTGTGAAAACATCATCTTGCGAAAACCGTTTCCCCATTGGAACGCATTGAAACCTGTTTAATGTGTTCCAATGGGGAAAAACGTCATCGTTTTGCAAAGATCGCCCATAGGGAAGTCATTTTGCGAAGCGCCGATCAGCTGTTAAAATGGCTGTACTGTGAAGTATCGGTCCCGAAAACACCCGTTTTGCGAAGTGCCGATCAGTGCCAAAATCGTCGTCTTGCAAGAAAGGGTTTGCGAGGCACGCACCCAAACATCGTCCAGCTAAAATCACCCATTGGAAACACTGTTTTGCGAATCGCCATAGCGATTGCAAAACCTCATAGTCATGCGGATTCATCATTTTGTGAGGTCGTCGTCTAGCGGGGCACCACTGTATGCTTAAAAAACAAACACCTGCACTCAGTGGACAAGCGTGCATCCATACTCTATGGCTTCTAGAACCTTTTCTTTTCTTCTGCTTGTTTTCTACATTGTGTGCCATTCTCCACGGATGTCCACATTCTCAATACAGCACTTACAAGGTTACAGATATAATGGGGACGGGGAATCTTCCGCCTCATTTTTTAATGTGTAACACTGAAAACTCTGTTTTAAGCTGGTCTTGCTATTTTTCCTGCTATGCTGATGAAAATACACACCCTTCCTACTGCATCCCTTTACATATTAGGGCTTTGTAGGCATCCATCACATGTGGAATAAGGAATGGTAACTGCTGACATCTTGCCAGGAAGCAGTTCAGCAAACTAGAATCACGTCCAAGGAATGGTCCTGTTCATTCAAGGAGAGAGAATGAGCTCATTGGATTTCTTGGCATCTTTCCAAATTCTTAAAGGGACAGAGAAGCCACACAAATAGTTTAGTTTTGTTTTCAAAAGGCTTGATTTTTGGGGAGTGGGTGGGTGCCGAGCACCATCTTAACATATTGCACAATGTTTTGTTATAAAAAAATGTTTTCTGCATCTGACGGAAAACAGTTTCTGTGGAAGGTGCTAATGCATGATGTCATCAGTCATTAGAGGTACATGGTTGTTTAGGTGCCCATCTTGAAGTGTCACCTGTCAAAGAAAACACAAAGATATTTTTAAAGCATTCTTTTTTCCTCTTTGGTGTTTATTATTCCTTTTCTCCACCCATATGCCTATTTTTTTCTTCACAGAGAAGCCCCATGACTATTGCACTCTGCAAAGAGGAACAAGATACTAAGTCTTTAAGTTTTATCTTAGGAGTCTTAACAGACTATAATGATGTAACCGCAAACCTTTTTATAGCCAAGACTGCCTGTAATTTTATGTGAACATTAGATATCAGTCTAGACTCCACAAGAGTCTGTCCCTATTTTTGTAGGGAAGGAAAAAAATGCTTAGAAAACTTGGAAACACTGCCTGGTGATGGTTACAAGTTACAAGTTACACAATGGCAGGGCTGGCTGGAGTGTATTAAGATTCAGTTCTCAAGCTCCATCCTGGAGCTAATACTATGGGATGCTCTATGACTTTCCCCTACACGAGGGTAGGTAAAATATGGCACATACACACACACACAGAGCTCTCCAGCAAGCCCCCTGCCGAGGAGGAGGAGAATGGCAAACAGCAGTTCAAAAACATCAGAGGGCAGAATTCCCCATTTAAAGAATATTGCCTACCCACACCCAGTCCTCTTTCAGATGAAATAACAGCCTCTCAAAAACCACAAATCAGAACCGACCTCTTTGTAATTTTTTCCTGCTCCATGGGCCTCCTGAGAAAAGAGTTAAATGATAAATCCATCCTTTGTGGTCACTTCTGTGGGTGCTGTTTGTCAATCTTCAATGAAATTTCTCTAGAAGCCAGAAGGGGTAACCACCAAGGTCTGAGGGAGAGAGAAATGATCCCCTGTATCTTCTGAGGTGGCCCTCTATAACTAACCTCAACTTCCCAGGCCCTCCCTTCCCTCTCCTAAGACTCTCAGTGACTGGACAAACTGTACTAGAAACAGACGTACACCAGTGAACGCACACAAGTAATAGTATAAGTGGTTAATTTAAAAAAAAAAAACAGGCACCATACTTGATTTTGACCATAACAACTTGAAGTTATTTGTTGTAGTTATAGCTTATGACACTACTTGCAACTGTTCACTTTCAGGCTTCTCATGACGCTGTTTTCTTAGTCCGATCTACAGACAATTTGAATTCCCAGCAGAGTGTAAAATTCTGGATTGTTTCCCTGCTGCAATGTTCTTGCAATGAATCACTAATATTCTTCTCAGACTGATTAGAATTTTTTATTTCTTGACATACAAACCACACATGCTGGCTGAAATCCTGTTGTGCACTAATGCAAATGGCATTACTTTTCGAATCAAACTGCCATAAGTTAAGAAATCTCTGTAGATCTTATCTGTTGCATACATAACTGTGTGACTCTGTGGGAGTTTTTTTTAAAGGCATTAAAGGAGATTACTCAGAATACACTTACAGATGGAGATTTGTACGATCCCAGTTTGAAACGACAACAGACAATTTCAACAATGAATCTTCCGATGCTGTGCAGAAGTCCTGGAATATAATAATAGTCAGGAAGTTTAGAAATAATTGTAATTGTATTTTTTTAATGATTTTATACATGTTATACTGATGTGGTTTGATTTATGTAAGCCGCCCCGAGTAGACATTGTCTAGAGGGGCGGGGTAAAAATCTAATAAATAAATAAATAAATAGAAAGGCTGCCAACTCTCTTCTCAAAAAGCTAGAGTCCAAATACACATTTAGTGTTTTGCAATCAAAAAATGAGCAGAATGTTCTAGCTTGAAGAACTGACGAACAGATTGCTCTCAAGTGTACATTAAAGGGAGAATCTCACATACAATGCTCCTGCTTGCCAACACATTCTGCTATTTTTAGATGTGCACTTGAAACATCTTTAATGGACAACTAAAAAATGAAGTGCAGGAAGCCATCCGAAAAAAGCGCTGAGATTCTGCCATGCTTAAGGAAGGTATGGTTGGACACCTTTGTGGCAACACTATTCATTTCAAGCATTAAAAACAAAATCGGGACTTTTTGTGGAAAAAGACATCAGCAGCAAAATCATATATCAAAAATAACAGAACAGAAAGGAGACTTGCTTGGCAGAACTGATTCCCATTTAAATCTCAAAGGAAGGTAAGCAGTCCAGAAAGTAAAAGGAAGGAATACACCTGTAGATCTACTTTAGACACTGTAAAGGACATCATGGTTCCGGGTGCTGAGAAATATGGTCACAGTATATAATTAAAGATAGTTCTCCTAGTTGCAATATTGAAGTGAACAAACATGGAAACAGCTAGATTAGAACCCATGACATTTCAATCGCCAGATACAAGGAATAAAATACAAAGCATCATAGCAGAAACCTGTAGTCTCAAGCCTCTCTGTGTTAAATTTTGCTCTTCTTTATGTATCACTATCAATTGTCTGTAGTGTTTTACGGAGTGGCATTGTAGAAAGCAAGCTCTTCTGAGTTTCAACATAATGGCAGACTTAGAGAAGAAGAAAGAGAATAAAAGGAAAGGTACAAATAGCAAAGATTTGTATAAAGGATTGCAGTTTTTTTTTTAAATCTCCAAAGCTGAGATGCCATAGAGATGTCTTTAAAGGTGTCAACGGTGGTGGGATTGATCTGCTCTTTTGCCGTTACCCACTTTAGCTGGACATAATGAAAAACTGGGTCTATCATTACTGTAACGCCCGACCAGCTGGCTTTGACTGCCAAAAACATATAGCGTAGAGAGCACTATTTCCCAAACTTAGAGGTGTACCCCACTGGGTGAACATGTAGGCATTCTGGAGGGTTGCATAGAGGACATGGCAGGTGTCGTAATGAAGACCTTTCAAATGGGACACAAGGTCCTTATCTCCGGAGATGAATGTGAAGGCATGAACTGCAGAAAAAGCCAGCTTTTCAGAAGAGGACGAGCAACTAATGGGAGAAGTGAGGAATGTGAATACAAGCAGCAGTAGCTCTTGACAACTAACTGCCTTCTATATGCTCCCCTCTTTCCTTTTCTTTCTGTGCACACCATGCACTACTTGGGTCCATCCGAGAAAGAGTTTCATGCACACATACCCATATATTCTTGTAAGCACAGTAATCTCTTACCTGTAGTGGAAAAGATCCCTCCAATGATACCACAAAGTCGCACTAAAAACTGCCAAAACGGCATGTGTTCTTCTGTCACCGTCACCATAAGAGAACTGATGTCATACTTCATGAAAATCCCAGACACCCCGTGACTCCCGGCTGCATGGTTGATCACTCTTTCCTGAAAAGCAACAAGAAAAAGTAAGGCAGAGATAATACTGTATTAAATATAACACCAATAAAGACTTGGATTTACTGGTAGCAAAATAGGGGGAAATAAACTGTTGCTATTTTACTAATGCACCCAGGAGGGATGGGATTTGGGGATTTCCAGGATTACAAATTCTAGAATTAGAATTTCCCTAATTCCCCATTCTAGAAGTTTGACCAGACTTACACAAACCTAAATGTGGCTCACCTGGAAGAAAAGACCTAACCTAGAAGGTTTTGAGAGTTAGCTAGACATAGCTCTGCCTAGCTTCCTGTTCAGAAAAAAACCTGCCCGCTAGCACTGGGCTAGCACTGCCTAGCTTCCTGTTCAGAAAGAAACCTGCCTGCTAGCACTGGACTAACACTGTGCTGTCCTCTGAAGATGCTGGCCAGAGACTGGCGAAATGTTAGGAACACCTCCAGAACACGGCCAGAGAGCCCGAAAAACCCACAACAACCATTAGATCCCGGCCATGAAGGCCTTCGCAGATACAAAATCTCTGGCCGTGAAAGCCTTCACGAATACAAAATCTATCTACATAGGAGTGGTAAAACTAAGACATACAAGAGAAATATCTGATATCTATTCAGGAAATTTTGTAATTTGTGAATTTCTGGAATCTTCTGGAAATAGAAGATTTGACTAAAAAGTAACCAGAAACACAACTGTACTGTACATTGTTTACATTTTTATTCATGGATAAAAAGACAGCAAAATAATAAGATAAAAGAATGCCTATGGTCCATATATACGTATGTACAGTAGATATATAGATCGATAGAGAGAAGCAAACAGCACTAGTATTCCTTTAATTTTTTTTATATAAACTAACCCTTTCTGTCACTGAAAACTGATGAGTTTCTGCTGAAATTTTATATGTGTGAAGCTTTGTTGGCACAACTGTGATAAAGTACTGGAACATCTGGTTGTCTGTTGAAAAACAAAAACAAAAAAGGTACCAGTGAAAAGATGATTCACAATATAGGAAAGGCATTCTTAATGTAGACCTAGAACTTGCTGATTTGGTTCAAATTGAGATATGTTATTTTAAGGCACACATTTAAAATTCCCAAACTGCAATGAACTGCTCTGTTGCTTTTTAATAACCTTAGCAAGTTAATAATGCAACTGAAAAATGTGTAACATATCATACTGTGTAAGAGTAAAAAAAAACCACACTAATTGATCTATTATTAATTGCATCTGCATTCCATAATATACGGTTCTCCTTTTCCTCTCCATTTTATCATCACAACAGATTTGTGTGGTCGGTTAGGCTAGTACTTCTTAGCCTTTGGTTGTCTCAATATTTTGGACTTTTAATGTCCAGAAGCCCCTGGCTAATGGTCAGGGATTTGGTCAAATGGGGTCTGAAATATGTGGAGGACCAAAGGCTGGTTTCAATCCATGGCTGGATTAGTCTGAAAGAATGTGTCTGGTCAATGGTGATCCACTACCCAGTCACTGCTGGGTGGAGATCTAAATCTGGATCTCCCGAGTCCTAGTCTGGCACTCTTAACCATAGTATCGGAGCTGTTCTCCAGCAATAAAGTGAGGCTGAACAGAACATTTTTATTTCACTTTATTTTTAATGTGCATGCTCCCTTTTTTACATTGGCATATTCAAGACAATTTACAGTCCATAGAAATGACCATCTATAGGCTGCCAGAATAAATCACAATGAAAACAACAACCCAAACAAGCAAATGCAGAATATCCACATCAGCTTCCTGTGTGAAACACTTACGATCTGATGCAATCTTTTCAGTACCATCTAAAGGATTAATAATCCCTGGAATGAGCTCTCCAAAAGACAAGTGATCTATCCTGTGGGAGAAGTTGTATGCTGAAAGACACAAAATAATTAGAGCCCTGAAATTAATATTATGTCTTAATTTTGGCACTGTTGCCAAAATTGCTAATGGACTGATGATTAGAGATCATTATAAATGTAGTTATTTAGCTATCTGGTGAGAAATCCATTAGAAAGATAGGATGGAAAACTCATAATAAATAAAAGGCAATACAGTACTGGCTTTTTAATTCCTTCCATCAAATGACTCTTTGTTTGCCAAATGAAAATCCTGCCCTTGAACTCTACTGCCAAACTATTGGCAATAGAGATCTCTATTGTCCAGGACGTAAAAGTTCATTACATTTTGTGACTATGATAACCTCAGTGACAACCTGCATTTGAGAAAGAATAAAACTACAATGATCAATTTGTATATCAGGCTCAAAAGATTTTATTAAGATAAAATGTGAAATGTTTGGGCATCTGTATTTGTGATCGAAGTCAGTGCTTCATCCTGAAATGTCTTACATTTTAATTTTTTCAACCTGATGCTCAAATTGATGGTCATTATTTTATTTTTGCATGGAAGTACAGTATAATTTCTTCAAAACAAAGGACTAAACATTGCCTAACACGACTGTGTTCCAGGATGTGTGCTATGGCACACTTCCAGCTAAAACAGGATCAGGCAACCATCTTATAGCCAACAATGTTTGCATGCAAGGTACTGGAACTGGCTTACATTCATGACTCACAAGGGCTGCCAAATGCGCATGGCCTCTCGGGTGGGGAATTGCCCTGCAGGGAAAAAGGGAGCAAGGAGAGAAAGTTTCAAAATCGGACTGTTACGACAAAAGGCAAACTTAAATAACAAGTTTAGAAACTTTTCAGAGTAGACTTCCAGGCTCAAGATGATTCTTCTTCACAAAAGAGTACAACAATCTCATGTCTCTTAGCATGCAATTAAACTCTCCACGTGGCTCCGTAGATTGCATAAAATAAGATAACTTCAGGTACAGCGCAACATGGCTCTCTCATGTCCAGATTAGAGGGCAAAATTCCTTTATTAATACACTCAGTGGAAACCGATTCTGTTGTTTTTTATTATTATTGTGGGTAATTAATAGAAAGAATAGGACAAAAACAGAAAGGCAAAATAGAATGAGAGAGAATGAAAGCAGAAGCAGGATCATGGGGAAAAATATCTATGCATAAGCATCTTAAAATTTGGAAATGTTTTCAGAAGTCCTGTTCTAAACTGCTCAATGAGGCCTCCGCTTGTTACTAGACAGCTTTTATGCTGGATTACAACTATCTGAAAAGAGCAAAATAAATAAATACATAAATAATTTTTTTAAGTCCAGAAGAAGACTATTCACAACAACACAGAAGAATTTGGCATTACACCTGCCAATCACATAAACTGAGCATTGCATTTCATGTTGTTTAATGGATTGTTAGACAGCTGACAGAATGAAGCGTTAAAAGATCAGGGTTTTAACTGGGTAAGAAATAATGAGATAGTTTTTTTTAACTGTAGGCAAAAGGGAACCCTACAGTGCTTCAAATCAAAGAGAATATTTATGAAAGGGTAAGTGAAATATAAATATACAGATGGAAACAGGACTCAAATAATAAACAACACTGGCAAACATGTGTGATAGCTTTCAAAAAGCATTACATTCATGCCTCGCATAACGATGTTAATTGGTCCGGGAACGACCTGGGTAGGCGGCGCGGAGAGGCTTCAAGCTCCCCGGTCCACCCCCCAGCCTGTCCCCGATGACGGTAGCCTCCCCCGCCGCCTACCCATTATATTCATAGAAAGCTATAAGACAGAAGATATAAAAAAGGATGGGGAAGATAACTAATCTAAAAAACCTATACTTTTTAAAAAATCAGAGTAGAAGTGTACAAGCATGATCCAAACCCATGCATTCAAACTACATGGATGGAGCGAAATTCATCATTTTATATGACCAACAGAGTTTTGGTATAAATAATATGTCTGCAACACTACTAGAAAAATACATGCAGCTACCATTAAAAGCAATCGTGTATCACTTGCTCTTCAAGATGCCCAGAAAATGCACAGTTATCTGGATAACTACACTAGAATCTGCACACTGAAGGAAGATTTGGGTGGCAATCCTAAGCACACAGATTGGGGAGATATAAGGATAAGTTCCACTGAACACAGTGGGACTTCCTTCCAAATAGAGGAGGGCTAAGATTGCACTGTTGGCTTGACCATGAAGAAAGAAAATCCCAAAACTTGGACATGGGAGAGAAGGTCAGTTGGTATTGTGTTTTTAGTAAATAAAATGAACATACTTGCCCACAGTTATGTGAAAGTTCCCTGCTACTTTATTAACATATAGGTGCCCATGGATTCTGCAAGCATCTGGAGGCTGCAACGAGTTGTCCTCCCTGTTGGAAGAACGAAAAACATTCAAAACAACACTGCATGCATTGCTGAGACATTCTGGCAGCCAGCCTGCTGTTTGTAGTACTGTGCAAACAGCAGCGGAGGGCAAATGCTTAGTTTTTCAGTAGTTACGAAGAGTTTTTCCCCTCATCATCTAATTCAGCCTGCAGTTGCTAAGGAGAATATTCCTCTGTAGATGGAGGAAGACTTCAGTATGTAAAAAACTCCCTAGCTATGAAGTGAGGGGAGAATGCTGAATATCTAGTGACCCTTTGGTGAGTTGGGAGAGATACTCCAAACAATGGCCACCAAAGATGGAATTTGAAGCCTACACTCCTGATTTATGTTTGCAACCTCCATTTTGGAATGCATTTTTAAGAAACACACCTGGCATGAACATTTGCTATGACTCTGGGACTTTAGGATTCCCGCACCCTGGAACATGCACAATATACCAGAGTACAGGCTAACGTAGACTAGTATAGGTTGAAAGCTAGCATTTTTTTAAAGTGGTCTAATAAAATTATTGGCCAGCTGGATAGCTCAGTGGCTTTGGTATCTAGCTGCACTATCTCTGGAGGGGGAAAATGTTGAAACTGAGTCTATACTACTTTGTGGACATCACGAAAAGGCAAAATTCAGTGGAAAAAACAATAATGTTGAGGAACGTGGAAGACAGCAGAAAAAGAGGTAGACCAACTATGAGATGGACTGATTCCCTAAAAGAGACCACAAGTCTTGAGTTTGAAAGAGCTGAGCAGGGCTGTTGAGGACAAGACATTCTGGAGATCGGTCATTCATAGGGTCACCATAAGATGGTCACCATAAGATGGAGGTGACTTCACAGCACATAAGAACAACAAAGGCATCACCTGTTCCCTCGAGCAAAACAGGATGGCAATCTATTCTACTGATAAGCTGTTATATGGTGTAGCCATCATTCTAGCATGACAAAGGTGTTGAGTAACTGGCAACAAACATTTCCTAAGGGAGCCACTCCTGGTTCTTTTCTTGCATATGCTTTCTTGTAGGAATATCTGCAATCTCTTGCAAGTTGCTTTTAAATACTGTACCCTGTCTTCAGGGGTTCTTTGTTCTTGGACATTTCCTATTTAACCTGTAAATAAGCATTTTCAGTCCCATGGACACTGTGGAGAAGTACTGGTACTCTGGGTGTCTGTTTTTCTATTCACCCATGAAATAAAGCCATTCTTTAAAGTTCAGCTCTAACTTTGTTACATCAAGGAAAGTTGTTAAACTTTCTTTCAGGAGGAATGAGCCTCATGGCGCAGTGGTTAAACTGCCGTACTGCAGCCAAAACTGTGCTCACGACCTGGGGTTCAATCCCAGGTAGCCGGCTCAAGGTTGACTCAGCCTTCTTTCCTTCCGAGGTTGCTAAAATGAGTACCCAGCTCACGGGGGAAGGGGGGGGAGGGAATGTGTAACCTGCATAATTAACTTGTAAACCACCCCGAGAGTGCTTGAAGCACTATGGGGCAGTATATAAGCAGCACGCTTTGCTTTTTTTTTTTTTTTGCTTTTTTACAACACTGAATAAGGCATTCTCCCAACCAATGAGTAGTTACAGTATAAAATGTGGATTCCCAGTGTAGTGTAGTGAACAGAGTGATGGGCTAGGACTCTGAAGAACAGGATTTGAATCCCCACTTGGCCACGGAAACGAAGGGAGCGAAACTGGTAAAATCACTCCTTAAATATCTCTTTTACCTTGAAAATCCAGTTAAGGTTAGCGAATAAGGCATTCTCCCAACCAATGAGTAGTTACAGTATAAAATGTGGATTCCCAGTGTAGTGTAGTGAACAGAGTGATGGACTAGGACTCTGAAGAACAGGATTTGAATCCCCACTTGGCCACGGAAACGAAGGGAGCGAAACTGGTAAAATCACTCCTTAAATATCTCTTTTACCTTGAAAATCCAGTTAGGGTTAGGGTCACTGTAAGTCGGTTTTGACTTGATAGCACAGAACACACATAGTATGAAAGATATATTCATTCTAAATAAAGAAAGCCTTGGAAAGCTTTGCTTCCTGGCCACCTTCAGGCAACTCTTAGCTGCCTTATATGACAGATACAAAGTGAGTAATTTTCAAGTCCAAAGAAAGCGCACGGATCCTAAAACCACTTTGATTACAACAGCATTTATCTTTGAGCATGCTTGGGATCAGAATACCTACTCAAACAACAAGCAACCTTCTCCTTATACGTATAATCAATTCTAGATGTAAGTGGGAATTATCATCAGTTACATACAGAAAGCACCTACTCACCTAGGAGGTAGTGCTGTTGATGCACTTTTAAAAGCACTTTTGAATATTATGTCTTGAAGAGAGTGCTCTTCCTGCAGTCTACTCTGAATGATGTGAAGCATCCTGCAAGTTGGACAGACAAAAATGGGACTGTTCAGTACCTCCTAAAGCAATGCAGAAAATCTGTATAAACACACACAGGAAATCTACATTAAAAACTCGCCTCCACCACACAGCACCCTAAAATACCCATTAAAAAAAACCTTGAAAGTAAACTTCTCGATAATCCGTGTTTCATTTTTTTGGGCATTATTTGGTATACTTGTGGCCCCAGAAAATTGGCCCCTGGAGCTGCCATGGCTGCCTGTCCCTGGTAGAGAAGAAGACTATTATCACCAGAGAATGAGGGTAAGAAAGGGCCATGTGTGATGCAACAAAAAAAAGAGGGGAAATGGGAGAATCTTTTAGGATAATTTATAATCTTTCGCACATAGAAAAGAGGAAACAAAAAAAAGTCTTGGTAGGTATAGGAGAAGAAGAAAAAACTCTTTAATCCAGCAGACGAAAGAAAGGCAGAATTAATGCTTTTATGGCATCTGAATGCATTCCAACTGTCCTCATTGCTTGCACATGGTGATGCTGATGGGAAATGATGTTCAAGAAAACATGGAAGTCCAAACACTCCCCAACTCTACCTGAAACTTAGATTTAAACAACAAAAGCAGATCCAGTCCTTCCTGCCCCCCCCCAATTCCTAATACAAAATACTTGCTTATAACCTTCCCTTCTGCATCTCAGCCAAGGATCCGACATACAGTACTGAAGAAATTCACCATATCGAGTTACAAGCTGGCTTGAAAAAATATGGTATACATTTCAAAAATAAGAAAGCAAATACAATATCTGGAGGATTTTTCTTTCTGTAAATCTGAGTTGTAAGACGTCTGAGTGCTAAAAAATTCAACAAAAGAAGTCTCTATCTTCAGCAATTGTCCATCAATGACTGACTAGGACCCAAAATGCAGAATGGCAACAGAACGCTTTGTACACCATCAACTATTCATTTTAATTTCTTCTTGGCATAGTCAGTGGACACAAACAGTTGTGAATGTGCACAGACACATATATATCCTGGCTGCTTGTACACAGTGTATTATCCTTAGATTGTTACCTTTGCCATGCTTTTTGCAAAGGACTGAGTTCAAATATTACCTGCAACAAAGAAAAAGCATAAAGCTGGCTTGAAAAAATATGGTATACATTTCAAAAATAAGAAAGCAAATACAATATCTGGAGGATTTTTCTTTCTGTAAATCTGAGTTGTAAGACGTCTGAGTGCTAAAAAATTCAACAAAAGAAGTCTCTATCTTCAGCAATTGTCCATCAATGACTGACTAGGACCCAAAATGCAGAATGGCAACAGAACGCTTTGTACACCATCAACTATTCATTTTAATTTCTTCTTGGCATAGTGGACACAAACAGTTGTGTATGTGCACAGACAGATATATTCTGGCTGCTTGTACATAGTGTATTATCCTTAGATTGTTACCTTTGCCATGCTTTTTGCAAAGGACTGAGTTCAAATATTACCTGCAACAAAGAAAAAGCATAAAATATAAGACTAAATACTTTCCCAGACTTTTTTCAAACATTTTCTGACGTGTGAAGGAAAAATCCTATAACAAGTACAGTGGTGCCTCGCTTAACGATTGCCTCACTTAATGAAGAATTCACTTACCGATGGGTTTCTTTTAGGAATTTTCCGCATTGTTTAACGATGTTCTCTATGGGGGATTTTCACTTAATGATGTCCGTTTTCGCTCATGTAAAAGTGCCTTAAAATGTTTGAAACCTGTTTTAAATGCTTGCAATCGTTAGTCCACCTTGTGTTATATATGCAAACTTAATTTGGTGTTGTTCTGAGTCTTCGTTAATTTTTGGTGAATTTTTTTCTCTCTCATTGAAAAGTATTGGACGGACCGTTTTCAATGCATTCCTATGGGAAATGGTGTTTCGCTTAACAATGTTTTCACATAACGATTTTTTAATGGAACCAATTAACATCGTTAAGCGAGGCAGCACTGTATAACCAGTTATTTGTTTAAAGTCACTTTCCTCACCTCTCCTGAGGACTAGACGCACACACCTTTGGACACAGGCTCATCCATATGGGAGTCATGCATGAACCTCAGATCAGATCTTCATTACTGATTACTACTTGAAAAAATAAACATTTTCCAAGGAATAAATGAGCTTATCACCCATCATAGCCCGTTTCTGGCAGTTTAGTTGAAAATTATTTGTATTAAAATGATCTAAGAGAGTTCTGAGGGAAAAAATTAACTCAAAATCTTGGCTTGTTACTGTTAGGCCTGCTAGTGTTTGTTGACAGAGAATGTGACTAAACAGGAATTCTCACACTTTCTATACTCCCTCCTCCCTTGTATGCTATAAAACATAAAAATTGTACACAGTCCAACAGTTGCCTTATGCTTGTCCTTATATGTTTTCCCCACACTAACAATGACTGAAGTATCGTCTGCTTTAGGAGGGAACCTCTGCCTTTTCAGAATGACTTCAATGCCATGCTGTGAAAAGCAGGTATGTCTGCCAACAAAAGCTATCACAGTTGCCTAAGAGTGCTAATCAGCATGCTAGCTTAAATCCTAAGAGAAATTAATTCAAGTAAGACTGTGGAAGGGAAGTTTTCTATCCTTCAGCACTAAAAACACAGAGAATTTGGCAATTTTATGCCCAGTATCAAGGGCTTATTAAACCAAAGTAAATGCCACAACAAGTACTTGCATTTACTCTTCTCAATCCTTGTCTTTGCATTTCACCTCCTCTCCTCCCTTATTCCCCTGTCTAAGTTTAGACTGTAAGATCCTTGAGAGAGAAACCAATTTTGTGTATACAGTACTCAGTAAAGTGCCAACTGCCATATACATTGATGCCTGGTCATATACTGTTTCACACATCTTATAGAACAAACTTTGTCTCTGTGAAGATCTGTCACACAGTGTCCTACGACTGATCTTCAGGGTGACTGGTTTTTTTTAAAAACACACACAGATACTTTGATTTCCTTCTCCATTCAAACGTACAGCAAGCTGATGGACAACCACGTATCGTCTGAATAAAACGGAACAGACATACCGGTTCATAAACTAAGCCATCCGCCGAAGCAACCATCGTTTCTGCCAGATCCAGCACGTCAGCACCAATATCTGTTGCACAAGTTGAAACAGAGAGATAAGAATGAAAACAGGCTTGTGCAACTGGTAATTGTTTTAAGTTAACCATTTAAAGAGAAAATGAGATAGACAACTTCCTACTATTGCTTTTTAATGTAATCTCAGTTTGTTACAGCCATCATTTTCTCTCCCCCCCCCTTCCAATTGTGAGACATGAGCTTTTGAAACCAAACAACTGCAGCCTTTCAAAACAGAGGGCAAACAGACAACACGTTTCTTCTTAATGAGCATTTGCAAATGTCACAGCTTCTTCCAAAACAGCAACTATGCAGCTTGCTATTGCAGAGCTACCATCAGCACTTGTGATGAGCAAATAAGGACAGCAGGTTTCAAGATGTATTCCAGATATAACTGCCAGTATTTCAGACCCTTTTTCTTCACATTACCTCCAAAATTTCTGTTTACTACCCTTATTTTTCTTTCTTTCCCATGGCTGTATAAAATGTATTTCAGAAGCACAAGTATATTCGTTATTTGACAGTTAACAGACCTCTATCTTCAATCTTCCCAAATATTTCCCAGGAAAAACCTCAACAGTTGAAGGCAACAGAAAAACTAATAAAATTTAATGTCTTGTTCAAAGCAGTTGTAGATGCAATGCTGATGATTTCCTGGCACAAGTAAATTTAGTACTAGGCACTGGTAAATGACATTTTACTCAACAAAAAAAAATTAAAAGTGTTTTATTTGTAACAGATGTGATTAAAACACAGCCCATGGGCTGCAAAGAGTCTCAGAGGCATTTTTCCAGCTTCTAGGCAATCCCAGAGGTCTCCCTCCATGCCCATCTGGAAAAAAACGGTTACTCCTGCTCCCTATGGCCTCCAAGAATGCTATCCCCCCCTTGATAGGGCCGAGAACCCCCAAACCCTCTCAACTTCAAAAATAAGAATTGGAAGTAACCATCTGGGCACTTCGGATTTAATTTAATTTCTCTTTTGTAGAGTTTTGTCATCTATTTTCAAGCCTCATGTGGCCCATGATGGATGTTACAGATGCATATTTTGCTCCCATGTCCATCAAAGTTGCTCACAACAATTTTACTTGATAAAAAGAATGTGTATTTCTGTGGTCTCTATGCTGTAGCTCCAAGACTGTGAAACCAAGACACCCAAAACACAGCATACCAAGCAGAGCCATAGGGGTTTAGCTTCTCAAGATTATCTGATTTTTAAAATGAATGAGTTTTTACTCAATTTACATCTATCTGCAGCCTGCAGTGCCACCTTAGTTGAAGAGGCCAATAAATTTAGATTGCACTTACAGCACAATCCAGTCACTAGGTGAGAGACTTTCCTAATCACAACATAGCTGTTACTCAGGACTGTTAATCCCATATATAATAGTGGAACTAAGTCAACATTTATGTAACTCCCATTGATTCAAAACAGAAACAATCAATATCAGGAACTACCTCTGCAGAGAAAAAGAAAAGTCAACATTATCCTACAATCCCTGAATTATGGTGCTGATCCATTAAGAACAATTGGTTCAGTGTCAACCTTTCGCATCTATTGTCGTGCATCCAGATGGCACAGAGAACCTTCAGGCATATATTACAATGGCAGCAGCATTAAACTATTCCACATGAGCAGCACCATCTCCTGTGAAGATCACCTCACGAGAAGATAGGAGACCTGTCTATGATTCCCCCATCCATACACTGCTGGCCAGAGTCCTGTTGCTTATGCAACCACATAAGGGCAATCATGTCAGCAGCGGGAGGCATTTTGTTGTTTGTCATGTGGTTGCACAACTAACACAAGAGAGAAGACACAATTGGCAGGTGGCAAAGCATGTAAACCACTTGCAAAACTGTCCTTACTAACAAAATTTTCTGCAAAGAGATTTTGACGAATGTGTTCCTCTTTGACAATTCCAGAACACTGCTCAAAGATTTTTATATATGCTACTTTTAAGGCTATTGTAATCTAATTGAAGCTTAGTCCTTTTGCAGTTTGTGAACATAACATAACAAAACAATAATTCTGTACTTTGAAAATGTGGAAGTCCCAATGTAATAATGCATTTGAGATACTAAATAGAATGAAAATATTCTGCCAATATCACACAAATGGTCTTGACTCATTCATTTCCCTCAAGCGCTATTCAATGTTGCTAATAAACTGGGTAGTACTTACAATTACCAAACAGTAATCCAGGGCAAACAAATAATTATTCAAACAGTGAAAATGCTTTTGTGTGACAGCAAATCACAAGATGGTACGATCCTATGACAACAGTATGGGTGAAATCCAATAGTAAGTTACAATCAGAGTAGGCCCAATGAATGAATCAGTGGAACTGAATGCAAGTGACTCACTCAATCCCCACTGATTCAGTTGACCTCCCCTACTCGCAAGTTACTACAGGATTTCAGCCTGTGAATCTGGGACATTTTTTAAAAAATATCCTTCATGTTGAAACTCCTCTAGATGTAGAAAGGAAACAGACTATATTGTTGAATTACTGCTAAATAATTACAGTGAGAAAGCAGTAACGCAACTTGGGAAAAATTGCATTGGAATACTTACATTGACACTTCATGGCGACAGTAATATCTATATTGATTCTTAATTTACTAGAAAAAGAAAGAAGAAAGTCAATTTCCTGATAACTTTTGTCATATAACAGTTCATATGATATATAATAACTCATGGCTGATATGACACAACCGTTTACTGTATATACGTTTGAACTCTTAACATCAACATGCAAACACAAATATAATGAAATTTGACAAAATGAAACCAGAAGAACTATAGCCAGATTTGAAGAAACATCTTCCATGTTATAAAATACTGATGAGCCATCAGAAATCCTCCTTAGCTCTTGATAATTCCCTAAGGAATTTCAAGGAGGAATATAGCTTTACAATATATAAGGAATATTTTAAGGAATAAATTGGTATGTGACATTATCACTACAAGAGACTTGAACAACTCTTTTCTTTCTTTCTTTCTTTCTTTCTTTCTTGATTGATTGATTGATTGATTGATTGCATTTACACCACACCATTCCACTAAAAAAGCATTCAAGGCACCTTATAAGTTTTTTTAAAGAATGATAACAGATAAAACCCTATTTAACTAAAAAAATTAAAATCATGTAAACCAATACTAATGTAAAGCCATCAAAATCAATTTAATATGTTAAAACCATTATAGTCAGGAAAGGATACAGTTAGAAACAGCATAGCAGGGCAGGTTAGACATCACATGCCAGTCTAAAAATATATGTTTTGACTTCATTCTTAAAACTCGCGCATAGCAGGGCAGGTTAGACATCACATGCTAGTCTAAAAAAATATGTTTTTACTTCATTCTTAAAATATCGGAAATAGATAGCAACTCGAAAGGGAGTGCATTCCATAGCCTAACAGCCATGGAGGAGAAGGTCCCCTCTTGTGTGTTTATTAGGTGGGCTTTTAAAATGGTCTTTTAAGTTTAAAAAGGCCTCTCCTGAGAATCGTAATGTCTGGACAGGCTGGTAAGGAGATGGGCAATCCATTAGATCATCAGGCCTGGAAACATTAAGGGTTTTAAAGGTTAAAGCCAACATCTTGAAATGGGCCTGTTAAACAACTGGCAACCAGGGCAGAAGAGCATAAATGTTACTTCTTAACTAGCTTCGGTGTGATTGCTACGCTCAAAGTGCAGTGAACAACACTTCATGTTTACAAAAGCCCTACTTTTTGTTTCATTCATATATCTCTTAAAACTACTTAGTTTAACCATCTGCTCAGGATCTCATCTTTACAAAACCCCTACTTTTTTGTTTCATTCATATATCTCTTAAAACTACTTAGTTTAACCATCCGCTCTGGATCTCAATCCCAGTAACTGTCTGCTTGATTTATAAACAAAATATTATTTTACATTTTATGTTATTTTATTTTGACTGTCTTCTACGATTTGGACTCCAGATGGCTTTTTCAATCCCAGTAACTGTCTGCTTGATTTATAAACAAAATATTATTTTACATTTTATGTTATTTTATTTTGACTGTCTTCTATGATTTGGACTCCAGATGGCTTATAACAGTATAAAGGTAAAGGTTTCCCTTGACATTTTTAGTCCAGTTTTACCTTCCCACCGAGGTGGTACCTATTTATCTACTCGCATTTGCATGCTTTCTAACTGCTAGGTTGGCTAGGAGCTGCGACAAGCGACGGGCTCAGTCAAATAATAATCCCAATAAAATGTGAAGCATTTTCTTCTGGGGTCTAGTAATACTGCTGAAGCCAAGCTTGAAAAGTAGCTTTGGTTGTAAGAAGGATTATTTAAAATACCCTAACATTAATCCCATGATTTACTATAACTCAGCTTGCCATGATAACTTTTCAAGGAAGTAAAGCAGAAAAGAATGGCTACACTTCTATCTGAACAAAGGTATGTACAGTAGGTTTATTGAGTCCTAAGTGTATTTGTGAAAAGAATAAATAGAATTTAGCATGTAAAGAAACTACTGTGGAAGTAGCTCCTAAACTATGACAGCATTGTGTGAATTAAAATATAGTCTATAGATAGTGTATTTGTGAAAAGAATAAATAGAATTTAGTATGTAAAGAAACTACTGTGGAAGTAGCCCTAAACTATGACAGCATTGTGTGAATTAAAATATAGTCTATAGATTTATCCAACACACTGAACCACCACAGTAGTTGTTAATGTGTGAAGGAATAGTGAAAAGCACACAGAACATGAGTTAAAACTGTAAATATGAGCACTTAAATATTATCATGTAATTTAGGGGGAACTACATAGTCAAATTTAATTGACAAAACAATAGAATACATGGCATGTCACTCTTCAAGTGGTGCCTCTGAGCAAGGAACACAACATCTCCATATTTCCAAGCACTGACTGTATGTTATCATTATCACATAATACAACACAAACAATAAGCTACCACTCTTGTTTCAGAGCCAGCATGCCTGTCGCCGCCATTTGCTTAAGAACATAAGAGGAAAGTGTGACATGGAGGTCTCCCACGGGTATGTGGTTGGCCTCTTTGTGAACAGAAAGTTGAACTAGAAAGGCCTTTGGTCTAATCCAGCAGGGCTCATTTTCTTAAACTGAAACAGACATTGCCCAATTATCTCCATGACAACAAAGCAAGGAGCCAAGATAAACAACACTCCATTTGCATGTGTTATTTTCCAAGTGTTAAGATCACAATGGCATCCAATAGAGGGACAAAACATTCATGATTCCTCACAGCAAACACGCAGCAGGCAAACATGGCAAAAAACCTGCAAGAGGAATCATAATAAATTCCCAGTACAATAAATTCCATGTATAAGGTGCCATGTTCTCTTAGTCTCTAATGTGGTTCCCCCAGGACGCCATACAAATTTTAAACAGGTTATATATAACACTGTCACCAGAATTAACTATGAATAACACTGAGTTTGGCATGAGTTAGGGGCCTGAAGCAGATTAAAAGTTATAACCCCCAATGAAAAACAAATCTGGATTTGTCCCAGAAAACAAAAAGGAAAACAAAAAGGCCTGCTACTATGATAACATTAAGATAAACTTCTACAGAGGACAGAGCAGCCACTGAAAAGTAGTGACAAAGCTTCTGTATGCAGAAAAGGACTTTCTTGTAAGATCTTAAGGTTTCAAGAAGGTGACTGTGGAGACAAGCAGTCCTTCAGCTTCACTAACTGAAAGGTAAAAATTGGCACTTTAAATCAGGCCTGGAAGCCCAACTGGGTCCAGATGTTAACCATTTTTAAGCCTGTGGGAAGGGCCAGGAGAATTCACATTTGCCAGGAAGGTCTACATCATCCTGCAGGCCATGGCTGTGTCTGGACTGGACTGTAGTCTTCACAACCAAATTGGATGATACAGATATTACAGGTGGAATAACAAATTATCCAGTGGCAATCAAACCTTTAGATTCTGGATGCTGATAGATATCTATGTAGCTAAACTGGTGTGGGAGCCATTTATGTGTGCCTGAAATGTACATTGCTTCCCGCAGCTATAATCTCTCAAGCAACCAATGTGAACGTGTGATGGGGAACTTCTAAGTGGCCAAATCAGTTACCCAATCCATGAGATTACTTCCTGCAGACATTACTAAAGCAGAATGGGATCCAGCTACACAGAAAAGCCCTCTGCAACACTACCCAGGAAACAAATCAAGAGGGCTAAGCAAAGCTTTCATGCCAGTACTCTTACTTAAGAGCTTATGCCCTGAAACATCTTATGCTTGGATGCTCTGCTGCCTTCTATGGCACAGGAAAGGGCATTTCTTCCCCTTCCTTGCCTCAGGAGATGTTTTTCGGCTTTCTCAAGCACATGGGCGTAGCCGTTACCAAGGCATTACCACTTAAGATTGAAATAAGAGACCTACTGCCTTAAGGCAGCAAGGATATTTTAAAAGACTACAATAGCATTTGCAATCAACATACATTTAAAAGAAACAAGTAGGAAAAAAATTACCTAGTAAAATCCTTATCCACTTCATATTCATATTTCATCCAGGTATCTCGATATACCATAAATTCCATTACTGTTAGGAGAGCCATGGTTGTAAATGCAATTAATGAAACTGGGGAAGAAACAGACGACATGTGATGTTAGTTGCCTGAATTTACACGAGGAAAAAAGACATGTAGTCTATATAATTTTTTTATTTAGTATTTTAATGAATGCTTCTGTTTGAACAGGTCTTCTTACTGCTTTATGATAGGACTGCAACATTCATACCTGATTACAGTGGTGCCTCGCTTAACGATGTTAATCGGTGCAGCAAAAATCGCCGCTAACCGAAAACATCGCTAAGCAATTTTTTAAAGCCCATAGGAATGCATTAAAACCCCTTCAATGCGTTCCTATGAGCAAAAACTTACCTTTAAGTGAGAATCCTCCATACAGCGGCCATTTTCGCTACCCGGTATGCGAGGAATCCATCCCAAAACACAGCGGGCAGCCATGTTTTTTACCCGGCGTCCATTTTGGAACCGCCAATCAGCTGTTGGGAAAACACCGCTATGCGAAAATCGGTAAGCGAAACAGCTTACCGATCGTCGCAAAGCGATTTTTCCCCATTTAAAACATCACAATGCGATCGCAAAAAACAAATCGCTATGCGATTTCGTCGTTTACCGGGGCGCTCGTTAAGTGAGGCACCACTGTACTTTGTTCCATCCACAGTTTTAGAACCCTTTCTCAAGGGCCAAGGAAAGCCAACAAGATAGTACTTTGGATGCTGAGCTTGTCAGGGTAGTGGTGGTCAAAACTATGATGGCTTCAGGGTGACCCTGGGTCAGTCACTATCTTCTAGCCTAACCTACCTCACAGGGAAGTTGTGGAAATACATCTATGGCAAGAATACGTTTGGTGTGAATGTCCATACATCTATCCATACAGATATATATGTTGACCTCGTTTGAGAAAATGCAACACTGAAAATAATACATTTGACAACGTGTATTCTTTTTGAAAGAAGTACAAGAGTGTTCTACTTGCTGGAAGCAGCAAACAAACAAAATGCCCTGGGTAACACTATCACGCCTGCATCCTCCTTCAACATCTTTGATCCTGAATATATACTTGGATGCTACCACCCTCTCCTACCTTCTGCTGCACAGTGGGAATACTATATCCATGACACCCTCTCCTGAATCAAGATTCTCCTCTCCCCACATTCATTTCTGTTGCTGTTCCTGAAGGACTAAAGATCCTACAGGACACCACTGTCACAAGGCCATGCTGGCTGAGGATTTACAGGTAAACACCGCTTTAGAGGACCGGGCCAACAAAGGCTGAAAGAAGCTAGGCTGGGGTTCAGCCCTGGAGATCGAAAGAGCCTTCACAGCTTTCATTAAAATAGGTGGAGGGAGTAAAGGGCACATCACAGTCAGTAAGACAAGAGAAACAAGGCAATAAAGCAAAAGAAGGGGAAGGGGAATATTTTGTTTTGTAAGTAAAGAAAGTTTAAAAAGAAGTCTTCAGGCCACTTTTTGACAGGTGAGCTTGCAAAGTACACCTGAGAAAACCATCAGAAATGGATGGCCAATCTCTAGTACAGTATGTTCCATTCTAAAGCCCAATGTTTCATTCTGGTTGCATAACCATACTGGAGCAGGCAAAATATAATTGCTTTACGATCATGCTAAAAATGGAGGCTATGCATTCCAACTGTAGAATAAGCTTTCCTGTACCACTCTCTTATTATGCCAGGACTTTTGACTAACAGCATAGCTGTGAAGAATGGGACAGGGAAAGAAGATGTAGCCTCAAATCATTCATTATTATTTATGAAGCTGAATAGCTCAGAGGCTTCGGTATCTGGCTGCAGAACCTAAAGGAATGGCACTTGATTCCCCACTGCATCTCCTTGACAGGGGCTTGACTCAGTGAGCCATAGGGTGTCTTCCAGCTCTGCAATTCGAAGATTACTAATATAAATATAGCACATGCCAGAAACTTCTAAATACATAAAAAGTTACTTGCAGCTACCTATTGGGACCAGCTCTGCCACTAGCCTGGGTAAGGAAGCTTGCCTTTGATGCCAAATTCTGAGGTACCATTAAAAGGCAGCAAAATGTTAATTATTTAGTTTATACTTTGTTACCACCAGAAAGTGTGTACCTTCCTCCTCAGGATCCAAAAGATCTTTGTTTGCATCCACGTGCAATATCCCCTCTTGAAATGCTAGAGATGCTGGTCCTTCCAATCAGCATTTTGAAAGGCAGGATATCATTCTTTGAATTAGAACTTCTCAAGATGCTAAAGGAGAATTAATAAGAGCTGAACATAGTCCTATCAGCTGAATACGGGAAACTCCCAGATAAGGTAACCAGCTTGCCAGCAAGGCTTGTTAGAGACGGTGTGGCAGATTCAATTTGCTTCCAGGACAGGATTTAAAAGGAAGCTCAGGACCCCAGAGTACAAGTGATGTGCCCCTGTCAAAATGCTATATACTTCACCACTCACTTTAGTGTGGTACACCCAAAGTGGGAACTCATTCCTGGTCATGAGGCTTTTTATTTTTTACACACATAAAAAAATGGATTGTTTTTTCTTCTCTGACTGAAAGCTTTGTATGTGCTCAAATTACTCCAAATTAGCATACAAAAACCTTGAAAGCATCTCTTGAAACAGCTGACAGTGAAGAGAGCCTTTGGGACTTTGGACTCTAGGCTTGCTAAAAAGCCTTCCAACTACAGGAGCAAAGGTGTGAGAGCCTCTCAAGATCTGAACCATTATCAAGCACAAAAACAACAAAACTATATAATTTTTAAAAAAGTTATCACTTCTAATATTGCTATTGAAGTCTTTAGTTCAAGATCATTGATCCAGAACTCTAGGGCCAAATGATAACAATCAATGGAACGAAAGTTGGGTGTAGGTGGATAAGAATTCTCACCTCAAACCTTTTGGGGTGAAGAAGGCGGAAGGAAAATGGGTGGAACTCCCAGTAAGAGCCATTTGGGCATTATGGGGTAGTGAGAGCTGTAACATTTTTCACAAACTCAACTGAAACCATGTTGGTATGTTTTTTTTTCTCAAGCTCTAGTCCAGCAAAATACTAATACTTCATCTTACTAAGAAGATGAAAACCCATGAGCTAAAACTGTTATGGTGGCTTGGTTTAATAAGGTCAACAATCAACGGTGGTCCAGCTTTCAAGACCTTTTCTCTCAGCACCATTCTTTCACTGAAAGCAATGATTATCCTCAAGGAACACACACAAAGGCCACCACGTTCAAAACAAAAAGCCCTCCATCTACAGTGGTTACCTGTTCCTCCGCTTGCTGAAGTCTCTATGTAGCTTTCAGGAACTTTTGGGAAGGCATCCAATTCTTTCACTAAATTCAAGGTCTTCTTCCGATTCAGTCGCCTCATCTTCGGCAGATCCCTCAACGTCTTCCTTCATATATCCACTCTGTGTCTGAGAGAGTCCCGTCCGTAGTAAGTGATAAATACCCTTCTGAGTGCTGACACTACAAAAAATACCTGAAACCACCTGACAGGATTATCAGAAAACTCCTTGGGGTTTTAAAAGATAGGTCAATAAAGTTATTGCACTTAAAATTCCTACTCCCCAGGAAATCAGAATGTAAGCAATAACTGTATTTACCCTCTCCTGCTAAAGCAGGGTTGGGAAACCTATGGCCTTCCAGACGAGGACTAATTACAAGTCCCCTCATCCCTGACAACTAACTACTGTATGCTGTATGTGACTCCAAAAACATCTGGAAGGCCACAGGTTCCCAAACTAAAGTAATTCTGAACATCTGCAGAGTTCAATTCAACCAGAATTAAATCTGCATGTCATCTATAGCCTCTTTTAAAATCTCCTGCCAATGTCAGTCACTTCTATCTCACTTGAGAGTGCCTGTGGTCCACTCAGCAATAAGATGGCAAAGGAGAGAAAATGTTCTATGGTCCAGCAACAAGGCTTGCTGTGACCTTTCTGGATGACAGACAATTTAAGACAGTGAAAAGTGGTTTTGCTATTTAACTGCTCCCATAACTCTGTCTCCAGTGAGATGCTCAGCATGCTGGTGTGGTAATAAAAGGGAGCCCTGGTAGTAACTGACAGTTCGACCCCATTTCATAAGGCAATCAAGAAATGTTCAGGAGAGTGGTTGCCTAGTACAGTTAATTTGGAAGTGGGACTTTTCAGTAAGAAATGGGATCCATAAGCGGGTTATGTTTTAAATGGGAAACTTACAAGGTCAGAGGTATGTGACTCCATAAAGAAGATTAAGCAAACTCATGGAAGATGGCTACATATGGGCATATAGTGCCACAATGGTGTCTGAGGACCTGCTTTCTACTCTATTAGCAAAAGCTATTGGGCTGATGAGTCTTTTTCCATGATGGGTGTATATCTCTGGAATAACTTCCCCAGAAAAATAGGTTTGCCTCATTCTTGGTGAGCCTTTGGATGGACTGGAAAGACCTTTCTATTTCAGTTGCTTCTGTATAATGCTGTAACAGTTTACTCTGCTCCCACTGATTTAATGCTTTTTTGTGCTGCTATTTCTATATAATTACTCTATCTCACGTACTGATTTATGTGCTGGTATATCTTATTGTTCATTTTATGTAATCTTATTGTGTTTTTTTTTACTGATTACTGAAAATATGTAGGGATTATCTTGAAAGATGCTTTTGAAACCCCCTCAATAATAATAAAATAAAGTTAATTAAAACACATCCACCAGTGGTGGAAAAGAGCATTATGGAAACTGAACATTTTCCACATTCATAGCCAACAAACATTTGACTCAGAATTATAAAAACAACAGTGAAGAAGGACAATTTCTTCTTTCTCTGGACTTTCTGGAAGCATCAGGTCACTTAACATGGGAAGCAGTATGTTAGTTCTAGCATCTTAGTTCTTTGTTTTTTAGAAATAACATAAAACATCTTTCTAGAGCATTCGCAATAGTCAGGGTGTCTTACAACAATTAAAATCAAAGCAATTCTGTAAAAAACATAAAATGGTACCATAAACATGGAAATCGGCTGAGCAAATAAAAGCATGCTAAAATGAGGGTTTAGCACAGCATTAATGCTTGCCTTGCAAGACAAGTGTTTGCTGGAAGCAGAAGAAAAGGAAGCAAGGAAAGAAAGAAGGAACAAATGGATCTCATATAATAATCCATTTCATGATATAGGCACAATCACCAAGAAGGCCCTCTTTGGTCATGTTGCCCTGACCAAATGCACTTGAGCCACAGAAGGGATACTGGTAAGGAACTCTCCAAGAGATGTCCAAGAGCATGCAGGATGGTATGAGAGGAGATGGGACCTCATGGATCCAAAGTATTTACAATTTTAAACATAATCACCAACACCATGTACTGTGGCCAGAAACAAACTGGCAACCAGTGTAGCTGAAAAAGAATAGGGAAAAAATGATGCCATGGGCAAATGCCCATCATTGCCGCTGGTCTATAAACTGAAAGAAGTTTCCAAAGATAGGCCAATGCACAGCACACTGTAATGATACAATCTGGATGCAATTTAAGCATGCACCACTGTGGCCTGAGCTTATCTTCCACCCAACAAAATCTGTTTGCATACCAGCTTCTGTTGTACAAAGGGTGTGCCTGTTTGGGCAGCCAGTTCTATTAATCCTGGTCCTTTCACTACAGCAATCAGGATGTGTGTCCTCCCAGAAGTTTTTTTTTATCACAACTCTGACCTACCCAACTCAACACGTCCACTGGCAAAAGACGATGGGAGTTGGAATCCCACAGTTGCTCCCTTCTGCTATACTATGAACCTTTCCCTTCTACCAGACTGATTTTCAATTTTGGAGACTGCCAGGGGAGAACCAGCTTAAGGGAATCATGGTTACCAGAAAACAATACTGGCAAACAAAGGGTCAAATACTCGCCTTCCAGCCTGCTCATCTTCCCCCTGCAAAAGTTCTCACCTTGCTCCAACATTGATTTTACTCAGCAGATCTAGAATGAGGGTTATTTTATGGCCACTGGACTATGTCGTTCCAAAGAGAATATATATCCTGACTAAAACACTGTAGTGGGTTCTGCCTTACATTCATTCCAACTGAAATGAAGCCGTCCGTTCTGAAGACTCTCACCTACCATAATGCTATTTTAGGCTTCACAACCCAAAAGGCATTTTCCCCACCAACGTGTGCCATGCATTATGTAAATTCCACAGTTTGCTTTTCCCATTTACAGAAACTGGGCTTAAAAGCAGACTACTTGAAATTTCCCTGGAAAGTCAAAGACATTAACATCCAAAAACAATTTCACTCATGAAAGCACAGAATAAAAGGGAGGGGAGGGAGAAGTGGAAAGAGAGAGAGAGAGAGAGCGATAGGAAGAGAGTGAGATCCTAACATACAAATAGCCTTACCTTCTGTTTATCTTGGAGTAGCTATTCAGCAGTGAGGAAGGAAGACGGCAGGGTCATGGACAAAGGTTCTGAGGCAAGAAAAGATCCATAATTAGTGCAAAAAAATAATTCTGTGCATAGCCCTCTAGGGGAAACTCCTCATTTGCACTACCCCTTTTCTTTTATAATATTTTCCTTCATAGCATGTCCAAGAGAACTGAAAAAACACAAGTTACATGAAGGTACAGAAGACAGTAAGAGACAGCTGAGTTATCCCAAGTACAAACTAGAGGTCTAGAGCAGATCAAAAGAGCAAAGGTTTGAAGAACTGACAAAAAGCAAGTGAAAAACTGGGAAGATGCAGACTAAAACACAGAGCTTGGTAAATTACTTCATGGACTAGAGCTCTCAGATCCATCATGGCAAGAATGGGCCCTGGAAGTTGCCGTAGAAAAAAGTTCAGTTTCTAAAGATCGTTAAAATGTATAAGATTCAGAGCCATACTTATAAATCCACAATTCTGGCACAGCTGTGCTTCTACTGGAGGCATGCCAGCAATAAAGTACAGTACGTTACCTTGACAATCTGTAGATGTGGTAGTTAGGGAGGGAAGGGTGAACAGAGAGAAAGAAACAGAATTAACCTCACAGATCCTTTACCAGGCATACGTAAGCATGAATTACAAAGCTCTCACTTTTATAAACAGCCTTTTTAGTACTAATTGCATGGCAGGTGGAAAAGAAAAAAAAAATCCATGCTGCCTCCAAATATTTTCCTTCTATGAATTCCTGACAAGCTACTTACACAGCTGGCAAGTATGTCAAGCACAAGCATCCTACCTACCCATTAAGAAAATAATTCCGCTGACCTTTTTATGATTTTGCTTTGATCCACAAGGAAGCTAGCTTAAAGCTAGTCCACCAGGAGGTGCAAGAAGGCTGCCAAAGAAAAAGAAGGGTGCCTAGACATGGCAAAGACTGATCAGTACTGGCTAGTGGGCAAGAAAGACGGTTTTATGATTAAAAGAGTATCAGAGGATGCAGAGGGCATTTATGCACAGGCATGCATATATATATATTAAAAAGCAAGGGGAAGACTCCTACAGATGGTTCACATAGAGGAATGAGCTTTGTCCTTGCATGCTTTACTTCATTAAATGTTTCATGATCTTCAGCAAATCTGTTTGCTGTTACATCCAAACTGGCAAACTATGGTTTACGCAAGTTCTCCAAACCAGCCTGTCAACCGCAGTCTGAAGCTGAAGTGAGTGAAATGAGGAGAGGAGAAAAGAGAGAGGATAAACTAAATCATGTCACGTAAATCATGGTTTGATGTTACATACGAATCTTTACAGATTCAAGGAGAAAATTACAATCTATGATGCCTTTCAATTATTTATTTTAGGCAAATATATAGGCAAATTTCTCTTGCCTGTTCCCTTTTCCTGGCTGCCTGATTTTCAGCACATTAAATAACTAAAATAATAGACTACTTGTATTTAGATTTTTGGTATCTGATGTTGACTTATTATACCACAAGTCCCACTCTTAAAAAAGCATTTCTGATCAGAAGCTTACGCTCCATGTTCTTTTGACATGTATCACTGTGTTGTGTAATTTATGCCCATGAAATTTTCCTGAACAGGTCTAATAAACAAAGCACAGATATTTATTTTAAAGCTACATTTCTATACTTACATGAGTTTAAGTCTCACTAAACTGAATGGGACTAACATTTGAGTGATCATACATAGAATTGCTGTGTAAAAATAATTCAGACATAAGGTTGTGTCCTGGAATGGCCTATGTTGAACTTAATGCAAATGAGTGTTTTTCAAAGCAGGTGAGCTTCGGCACAGGTTGGCACTCTTAAACATGGGCTGGCTCTTTCACAGAAAGATGAGAGGATGTCTGTGGAAGGCATAATATCCACCAGACATGTGTTAATTGAAAATAATATTTTATTTTTTTTAATCAAAAATCAAAATAGGCTTTTAAAGAATGCAGTCTGTCTCCTGTTCCAAGATGCTTGAAAATGGAAAATACAGAGAACTGACAGATGTTGGCAGGGGGAAAAGGTAAATAACCTTCACCATCACAAGAAAACCCTGATGCTTTCTGCTAGGATGACTATTGCTGTCAGTAGCTGGAGAAAACCTGGAATGCAAAATCAGGAGTTGAGTGGGGCAGGAATGGGGAGATTTGCCATACAAAAGGGGCAGAAATCATGGCAGCATCCTCAGTCTGTTCTGGTCTCCATGAAGCTTCAACATTATGACCCCAGTTTGACAAACCTTGCAGAAATATAAAAATAAGATACCAATAGAATGATAGTTTCCACCAGAAGGCAGACTCTGATCCAGTTAGTTACTTGTGACATTCACTAATGATGCAATTTAGTTATGACACAGTTATTCTTCTGGGATGTATTTATGATGAGTATTTGCTAGATTTATGCTGTCCTTTTTACTCCCTTCCTATTATGCTTGAGCAAACCATAACTAAACACAGATCACAGAATTCTCAAGGTTGCTTGAAGCTAACCTGCAGTGCCATTTATGCCTTACTGCACAATGGCAGCAGAGCAGGAAATCATGGGCTAGACTTCCTGCAGCACTGCAAGGGGACACACAACATTCTTGAAATGTGAGCCCATATCCCACGTGCAGCTTCACTACATCAGCCTCAGGTTAATGCTGAACCAAAGAAGAGATGATGGAGTTGGTGGGTGGGTGATCAGAAGCAGAAAAGAAATGACAGAAACGCTGGTATCACAGGATAGCATCCTCCACCCAGTTTCAGAATAGAATGCTGCTACCACTGCTTCAACAAGAGCATCTGAGGCAGCAGAAAAAATGCTCAATCCTACCAAGCAGAGAGAATTGTTTCCTTCCATAAAGCATTACTGAACTGAGTGGCTGACAGGCAGCAAAATTTAAAAGGCAGCATAGCAACAATGCAACAGTAATGAGAAAAAAAACAACAAAAACTTACTATGTGAACCTGCACACCCATCATCTAAATGCCAGGTACAACAACTGTCGGGGATGTTAACAGTAATCCAGATCTGCAGCAAGGCTACCTGCACCTCTAACCACACCTCTTTGACTGCAGCCTATCAACAGCTGCCAGATTACCTTCAGCAACCTGTTAGTCAATGTAGGAGGAAGTGTATCACATACGGTACTCCCAATAATACGTTTCTTCTACTTCTTCTTCATCGTCACCACTATGATTTTATTTTCTGACAGTATATACGAACCATTCAGGCCAAAATCAACTAATATAATGTACTGGGACAAAATTTTGAACAAACCATGTTCAAACTTTTGAACAAACCATGACATCAAGAAGCAGAAGGGATGTATTCTGCTGATCAGTAGACTGGCCCCAGTCTAGGTGGTGAAATGAGGACTCAGTGAGAACAGGGAATACAGATCACATAAATGTAGCTCAAACTCTAAATTCCCAGGGTGGTGTAGTGGATAGAGTAACAGACTAGAACTCGGAAAACAAGGGTTTGAATCCTCACTTGGGGAACAGAACAGGTGAAACCACTCTTTAAACACTTCACTTACCTTGAAAGCCCTATTTGGGTCACCATAAGTAGGTTCCAACTTGATGACAGAGAACACACACACACTAAATCTAAGCCTACTGCTAATCCTCAACACATTGGAATTCTCATATGATCAGAAAATCATCCAATACAACAGGGTTTTTTATTCTGCTGAATGAGAATTATACTCATACACACTACACAGTTCTTTTAAAACCACATTGCAAACATTTCTGAGAAGTTTGCTCTGTACATATTGCTTCAATGCAAGAAACAAGAAAGATCACAGCCTTAAAATTAATCACCAAATGACGTTCTGCAACTCTCCCCTCTCTATATTTTTACATAAAGTAATGGACCATAAAAAGAACAGAGGAGAGCAATGAAAGGTAGAAGATATACTAGCCAGAATTGGACTGGGATTTTAATTCAGAGTAAAATCTTTACTCTCTAAACAGGTTACTCTCTGAACAAAATCACATAAATTGTGGTGACAACCAGTCACTTGCCTGGTTGCAACCCCTGCTTACATGCCTGGGATACAACTAGGCAGGCAACAAGCATCTTTTGAATTTTCTGCCACAATATATGTCGTTTCACTTATTCCTGAATAAAATCCTAATAGGACTCGGGAACTACTCAAGAAAGAGACCACTAGGATTGTATACTAAACAAGCACAACATTGTTCGCATTCACTTTTATTCAAGTAATTGGCCACAAATGTACTTCAAAGAGGTTCAAGTACTGTTACATCGATAAGGGAAGGAAAGAGACTTTCCTGTGGGTGTTTTAATTCAGACTGCATCATCTACAAATGTTAGCATGTGATGTAAGACTTAAAGGCATTTTTGCCGAGAGCCACCTTATCAACACTGAACAGCTCTTGCATTATTTGCACGTACAGGAAAATATAACACAGTACAGAAAACAGAGAAAAGCTTTCTCGAAATGAAATCTACAGCCCGATTTGGGTTTACATTTGAAACTGCAAATCACTTTCAGGTCGTTTTAACACAGGATGCATGTACTATCTCTATCAGTCCCCCTGCATATTTTAAGGTTGCCAGAGCTGTCCCAAGCTCTGCTTTAACAGCATCCACACGAGGCAAAAAGAACCGGAGCCAACTTTCGGCCACTAATATAATAGTTTCAAGGGATCACAATTATTTCAAACTACCTGCACAGGACGAAACACCTGCTCTGACTCGCCACCCTTTAGCCTGGCCATATTACGGGTTGGAAACCACTTCTTTTCCTATTCTGCGTGAACAACACTGACACAAAGAAGAAGCGCTTTTAGCGTCACGTGTGAACTGCCACTTCTGAAATCAGGCAGAGGATCTTAACTGCCAGGTCGAACAGAAGGGAAGCCGGGACTACCCCCGACAGGAGGTACCCCGATTTCCCACTCACCCCATGGTTTTTAAGTGGATTGGTGTGATGGGCAGAAAAGGGAGACAGGACACAGGAGGCATGCGGGACGCAGGGAGACGAGGGAGGAAAGGAACCGGGGAGGGGGGGCACATACCTACCGCGGTCACCGTTCCCGCCGCATCTCCCCCTCTTCCATGCGAGCTCGGCGAGGGCAGCAGGACGACCCCGTCCCTCTTCGCCTCTGACCGGGATGGGAGCAGATAAGCCGCAAGGGAAGGCAGTAGCGCCACAAAAATCTTCGGAACCGGGAAAGGAAGGAGGAAAAGCGCAGGCAGCCACCCGGACCAATTACAAAGCTGCTCCCGACCGCCCAGTCCCCCCCCTCTTCCTTTTGCCAGGAAACGGCCGGGAACGGAGGAGAAACGACAAGGGATCGGAAGTGAAGGCTCCTCTATCCCCCTAGGGCTCCTAGACTCTATGGTAGTTGTTACTCTTTCCCCTCCCTTCCCAGGAAGCGGGTAAATTCTTTGCGAGGCCTGCGAGCAATTCCACCCACAGTCTGTAGGGGACGCAGCTGGCTGTCACAGCCTAGGCGGAAGCTGTACAGTACTGTACTCGGCTTGTGGGGGGGTGGGAATATAATATTCACCACGGATCACAATCTCTTGAGTTCGTGTTCTTTTTATGACACGCGGATTTCCTGGCGGGCTTGCCGGAGTATAAATACTGTACTGCTATTTCGTTCCTCTCCCATGTATTAGCTCGGTTTTGTTCTAACGTCTTCGGGAGAAGGATTCCTCGCTGCACCCCTATAGCTGAAGCGGATTTTGACCCTTCAAGACTGGCACTGAAATAAATCTGGGAGTCTTTAAAATGCTGCAATATGTTGCCATTTATTTATTTATTCGTACATGTCCCAACACCATTACAAGCTGCTTCACCTCGGGAGGAAAGTACATGGGCACGGCGGAGCTCCCCTCCGTTTTATTTAACTTAGTTTAAACGGCTGCTGTGCGTGCAATTTTGTTTTGCTCCCAAGCAAGTAAACAAATAACCTTTGCTCCTTTTTACTTCCACAATCTCGCCCCTGGTGGCCAATGGGAAAAAAGTGTGGCAAATAGCCCCCACCCCAAATTCACTGCTGTAGGTGCTGCTCTAACGATGGGACCTGGGTGGCCTTTTGGATATGGTTGGAGTGTAATTTTCATGAGCCCTAATTGGCAGACGAATGGCAAGGCCTGGTAGGGAATTGCAATCCAAAAACATCTGGATGGTTGCATGCTTCTCAACCCTATGCTACAAGGATGCAGATGCAAATGCAGTTGTGAACACGGCACTATGTGTAGGAGAACCGCCTTGAATTAGGCAACACCTGTGTCCTGCGTTAATGTCACAATAAGTAGCACTCGGAACATGGGAGGGGGTCCCAAGACATAGGGAGGCACTTGAATGCTGAATTGTAGCTAGCCAAATTGGTATTCTTGATGGGTGGAAGTAAATCTGCTTGATTTTTGATGTTGTAAGACTGATAGATGTTCGTACACTATATGGGGTTGGGACAACAGCTGTTCACCAGTGGTCCTGAGATGTCAAATGCCTATTTTTTAAGGGAAGCTACAAATGATATCTTTCCATTTGAAATCTTACTAAATGAAACAGAAGCACATCAACATCTCAGATTGATGTTAAAAGAGACAGTTAGCCAACTTTTGGGATCTCTTCAGTTAACATTTGTATTAAATGTTTCTCTGTAGCCATTAGATATGTGACAGTGGTTTTCGCTTTCTGTCATCAATGTGTGTTTTCTTCTACTTACAGCTATGTAAATAAATACATGTATGTATACCTAAAGAAATTAAACATGGGCAAATACAATACTCCTCCACCTAGCCACCATGGATAATGGAGGCATATGTCATGGAATCCAAACCTGGTACAACTGAACTCCAATACCTTTTGTTGTATTAAATCTTTTTATGGATTTAAGTAAGAGATGTTTATTGTTATACTGCCTGGTCTAAAACTTAACTTTAAGGTCAGGATTTAGTTAGTTCTCACCAACCAAGACTCTGGTCCTATCTAACGTTCAGGCAGCTATAGAACCAAGGCCTTCTTTCAGAATCTGGCTGCTTTGTTTCATGTGATTTTGAACACACTTTTGTGCCAACAGTGCTTGTCCACTATATGAATACTCTTCGTTCTAATTCAATCACCATCTGCTCCTGGGGAAATGTAATCCAAGAGTTCCAGGACCTTTTTTTTCCAGGAAAAAAAACACTGAAAGGGAATATGCTATTGTATTGTGGTTGAGTATACTGTAATCCAAGAGTTCCAGGACCTTTTTTTCCAGGAAATATGCTATTGTATTGTGGTTGAGTATAGGATCTCTTCAGTTGTGGTGAATACTAATCAAAAGAATACTAATCAAAAGAACATAGGAAGCAGCCTAAGCTGGAGCAGTATAAGGGTGCAATTAGATGGGCATTTTGGTCTGCTGAGGCAATAGTTTGTTTTGCTCCTTTTTCCCAGCAATCACACAATGTAATTTGGAGTGAACCAAATTGTCACCAGAACATTTCTGTCTGCACCTTTCTGAGCCTCTGTTAGGGACTTCTACTTTTTTGTGTGAGGGTAGGATCACTCTGGTTTGATCCATTTCCAGTGTGAGTGATCACTGTGAAAGGAACAAAAGCAAGCCTTACAACTCTCAAAGCTTGTTAAGGCTCCTTGAGCTGTCAATTTGCCACATCGCGAAGTGACTTAAGAATGGAGCAGAGGGGGGCAGAGGAAGTGGAAAAATATATTAACTTCAGGATATGGGCAAATGAAACACTTCCTCTGCTCCTCTGCAGAGGTGGGCAGAGGAAGTGGAAAATTATATTAAAACTTTGTTATTCCAGCGCTGCACCACTTACAAACAAATTGAAAAACAGAAAGCTGAGGGCAGCTGTCAACCAAAGCAAACCCACAATCAAATCCACAGCAAGGCTCATTTGGATTGACAGAGTCAACACTTCCTTTTGGCTGTAGACAAGTTCTCCGTCAGGCCTGTAAAATTAGATTAGGCATCCTTTAGTCTCAAGAGACTATGGTAAAGTGCTCTGAATAGAGGACTTGGAACAGCATCTAGTGTGGCTAAGAAGGCCAATTTGAGAGTGACAATCTCTTCCACGCTGAAGGTAAATACAATCTGTCCCCTGTCCTGTTCCCTGATTTTGCTGGTTTCGGGACTGCCTCTTTGCCTCAGCCTGCTGGACAAGTGTCACTTCAAATTGGGAGAGGCCATGATGCACCGCCTGCCTCCAGGCTGAATGCTCAGATATCAAGGTTTCTCGTCTGTTGAGGTCCATTCCTAAGGCCTTCAGATCCCACTTGCAGATATCCTTGTATCGCAGCTGTGGTCTCCCTCTGGGGTGGTTTCCCTGCACTAATTCTCCATACAGGAGATCTTTTGGAATCTGGCGGTCAGCCATTCTCATGACATGCCTGAAACAATGTCAACGTCGCTGTTTTAGTAATATATTGTGAGAGAGGAGTAGATGTTGTGAGTGCGCCATCTCATCAAATAAAGGAAGCTGTAACAGAAATATCAAAAGAGGGAACAGAAGGAGTAATTGAAAGAGTGAAGGAAGAAATTGAAATGAAGACAGAGATTTGTTTGTTTAACAGAAGGAGTAATTGAAAGAGTGAAGGAGGAAATTGAAATGAAGACAGAGACTTGTTTGGTTGAAGAAGGAAAGGGAAAGGAAGGAGAGGAGTTAATATTGCCAGTATGGGAGGAGGATAAAAAGGAGGAAGGAGGGATGAGAGTCTTCAGAATTCCAGAAGGGAAGATAAAAGAAGGAGGAGGGAGAGAGTACAAAAAGGCGCACGATGTCCTACAGGATTTTCCTAATTTGAAGGTGGGAGGACTATTGCCAGACCCGACTTCAAGGAAAGAAGGAGTGACTGTAACAGAGACCACAGAATGGACAGTGGTGGTATTCCCGAGGGGCCAAGGTCACTCAAGGAAGGTGGTTCATCCAGATGCGTCAAACCACCACTCATGCTGTGGCATGATCTGTGCGGTGAAGAGCGCTCCCTTAAGGAAACCATCAGACAAGGAGCATTTTGGTCCAGCTCCTCAGTAAAAAGGGACAATTCTTTTCTAAACACCTTTCCAAGATCTTATGGACATCTACCAGAGTTAAGTTGTTTTAAACCTATCGAAGTTGTTATTGATTCACCTAATACCAAGTTTAATAAACCCGTTAATGTTCAAAATGAAGCCTCCTAGTTATTTCCTGCCCAAAAACCTGAGCTGCTCCAAACCTATTCCAAACCCAAGTAAAAAGGGACAATTCTTTTCTAAACACCTTTCCAAGATCTTATGGACATCTACCAGAGTTAAGTTGTTTTAAACCTATCGAAGTTGTTATTGATTCACCTAATACCAAGTTTAATAAACCCGTTAATGTTCAAAATGAAGCCTCCTAGTTATTTCCTGCCCAAAAACCTGAGCTGCTCCAAACCTATTCCAAACCCAATCACATGTATACATGCTAAAAATTCCAGCTCGTTCTAGGAATACTCTATTTGGAACTTTGTCCTGCCAGGTGATATCAAAAATGCGTTGGAGACAATGCATATGGAATATGTTCAACTTCCTCTCCTGCTGTGCACAAAGGGTCCAGGACTCACTGCAGTACAGGAGTGTACTCAGGACACAGGCTCTATAGACCTGGATCTTGGTATGTGTCGTCAGCTTCCTATTGAGCCATACTCTCTTTGTGAGTCTAAGGAACATGGTAGCTGCTTTGCCAATGCGTTTATTCAACTCGACATCTAGGGAGAGAGTGTCAGAGATCATTAAGCCAAGGTACACAAAGTCAGGAACAACCTCCAATTCTTGTGTGGAGATGGTAATAGAGGGAGGTGAGCCTATGCTCTGGCCCATGACTTGTGTTTTCTTCAGGCTGATTGCTAATCAAGTCTTGGCAGGTCTTGCTAAAACGATTCATGAGTTGTTGGAGGTCTTCAGCAAAGTGGGCAACAATGGCTACATCATCGGCAAAGAGAGAAGTCCTGCATGCATTTCAGATGGACTTTGGTCTTTGCTCTAGAGAGATTAAAGAGCTTTCCATCTGATCTAGTCTGGAGATAGATACCTTCTGTTGCAGTTCCAAAGGCGTGCTTCAGCATGACAGCAAAAAAGATCCCAAATAGGGTGGGCGCGAGGACACAACCCTGTTTCACTCTGCTTCGGATGTCAAAGGGCTCTGATGTTGAGCCATCAAAAACTAGAGTGTCCTTCATTCCCTCATGAAAGGACCTGATGATGTTAAGGAGTCGAGGTGGAAATCCAATCTTGGGAAGTATTTTAAAGAGGCTATCCCTGCTAACCAAATCAAAGGCCTTTGTAAGATCTATGAAGGCCACAAAGAGAGTGGCTGTTGTTGTTCCCTACATTTGTTGATCCCTACATCTATTAGCTCGAAATCCAC